TGCGATTATAAAGCATAGTAGATTATGTTTTAATGATTTTATGCTCTTAGTTTGATCATTTCAAACGGAAAAACTTGAAATTGAATACGTTACTTCCATTTTCTATAAGATATGTTCTAATTTTTTACTTAGCTAAATTAATCGAATGGGAAATTGCATAGAATAATGTGTATAGGAACTAAAATAAGAAATGGAAATGCCTGGTGTATCCAGCTTCATTTTGATTCATTCATGTCTCATTCGATGGAGTACATTGAGGTAAGAAAAACCTTAAAAGAGATTGAGCTCATGACGTATTAATGAAAAGTGATGACCGTTTTACTGAAATTTTTACTAAAAGCCAGGCATTCCCAAAAACCGAAATGAGAACTTTTGACTGAAAATTTAGCTTAGAGACGGGTTGAATAGCTATTAGATAGTCCTGAAAGTTTCAACGAAAACGAACATATTTTTCTCAGGATATTCAATTTCCAAAAAGGAAACAGCCATTTATCGTAGGAGGACGCAATAATCAACTCTACTTGAAAATTAATTATCTCGAGAAAAACATGTTTATTTTCGTTAAAAATTGTAGGGCTATCATTTTATGACTATCAAACAGAGCTGCCACCTCTTCTGCTTTTTTTGATACAACGTTATTTATCATTTCAATCGACATTTTTCACCTGAAACACCTTCGTTTCCATAATTATTAAAAAAAGCCGTATCAAAAACTACTGATATTTTTGTGCTATTCTAATTCTTTCTATTTGATACAGATGATTTCTATTTTCTATTGACTACAAACAACTACCAGCCTATATATTTGGCTTCAAATCAATTCTTTACCTTTGGTTTTCTATCGTATTTTAATTACTCATGTAATTCATATACATCAACATATACATTCTTTCGTTTGTTTACTCAATGAACATGAATATTTAATATGATTAGTGAAAGGAAAGGAACAGAAAAAAAACAGCCCTAGATGATAATGACAGCTCGACTAGCGAAGAAGGTATTCACAAAGCAGTGGTAGTTGCTGAAGTAATAATTATGTCATCAGGAGTTAACTAGAAAACAGAAATTGAATAGAGTTATCTTCAACAGAGAATGGTTCAAAGTCGTCGAATGTTAATGATCTTTAAAAGAATATAAATTTGATCTGTCTCAGCTAACATTTATCGTTCGTCATCAACAGTTTTCCGAACATTGCTAATAAAAAGCCAATATTGATAATCCTATGAACAATAAGAAACAAAAAAATTTTAAATGCTAGGATTTAATCAACGATTATTTTGAATTTCTCCTTATCATATACTGTAATGGATAAATATTTGTTAGTTAAAAAAGATTTGTCGAAAGCTCTTAAATCAGATGAAGAATACTCTTTAAAAAAGAAGAAAACGTGTTCAATTAATCTGTCTATTTGTTAATTAGTTGTGTTTTGTGATGCCATACACAGCGAGTGGTTAGTATACTGAAACTAAAATTTAAAATTAATGGGTAGCTCGTAATAAAAGAAGGTCTCAATATTTTGTTAACATCTTCAGCATTATCTTATCGTTCACACTTTATTTTTTTTATCGAAAGATTCACCGTCTGATTCTGCAGAAATTGGTATATTTCGCTGTAAAAAAACGCTTATCTCTCTTTCAACATCATCATGATTTAAAACAAGCATTACACACAACTTTCAGTCTTCATTTTTTTCAATTTTTTTTCCAAAATCTCTAGTTTCTCAATTAACCCTGTTACTTTGGGTATAATTTGTTCGCCATTCAAGAGATAAATTGGTTCATTTCAATCAACGTACCAAAGGCAAATTATTTTATTTTTGGATAAAGAATATGGGCACGACCAATGATAATAAGACTAATCTAAGGACTGAATGTTTTCGAAAAAAATTGAAAAAAATACAGATTTTGAAAGTTGTGTGTAGTACTCTTTTTAAATCGTGCTGATGTCGAAAGAGAAAGAAATAAGTATTTTTACAACGAAATATGCAATTTGTGCAGAAGCAAATAGTGAATCTTTTGATAAAAAAAAAAAAAGTGTGAGGGATAAGATAACGCTTAAGACGTTAACAAAATACTGAGACCCTCTTTTACTACGAGCTACCCGTTAGTTTCATATCATAAACATACTTTCTGCTGTCTTTCTGTTTTTCGGACTTCAAAAGGTGGTAGGGCTGCTATCAAATCTATTTATAGACAAAATTTCAGGTCAAAACTCTTAGTAAAATTTCCAGTACAGAGGCTGTAACTCTTCACCAGCATACGGTAAGCTCAAACCCTTTAAGATTTTTCATCAAATCAAGCAATTATACAGTGATCAGACATGATTTCAGAAGTCATCTTAGGATTTTTGTAACTGTCCAGTGTTAAAAATAGACCTATCTTGATTTTTGTAGATCATTCCGACGCAACCATTAGTTTAATAGATTATGATAAAAAAATTTTCTTCGTATGTTCGGAAGAAGAAGTTAGTTGATTTTACATTTCTCAGTTAGTATTCGTCAAAAAAAAAAGAAACAAATGTTTAAACCATTAATGAACTCGAAACTTTTTATTTAAGTTTGTCTAATTAAATGACAAATTTTTCGATTCCATTTTCGACAATATAATTGATTCTAATTTTCTAAATTCGATAGTGAACGTTTAATTATAATGATATAGAATTCACATTAAAATAATAAGTTTTATTAACTTTTCTCAAAATACGAAATATATGTCTATACTTTTCATCTCTTAAGTGAAAAAAAGGAGTACGAGTCACTTTGCCGACACATCATTTTGCTGACACCACTTTGCCGACAAATCGTTTTGTCGATAAAAATTTAAAGTCAAAAAAATTAAAATTTGTTGGAAATAGTGCGTTAGAAAATTTTTCAAAGCTTAACTATTACTCGCTAGATAATTTACAATTTAATCATGGCTTCAAGTCAAAATAGTGAGAAGGCTTCAAGCAGTTATGCTGAAGTAATTAATTCTATAAAAGACAAGCCCAAAATGAACATTGACGGGTTTTTGCATATCAAAGAGAAAAATCGCGATGATTTGTATTATTGGATTTGCGAACGCAAAGGACAAAAGGAAATGAAATGTGTTGCAAGGACCACTACAATTTGTATTGTGGGTCAGCATAAGATTCGCAAATTTGATGCTAAGCAGCACAATCATGTTCCAGAAGCAAACAAAGCGAAAGTTTTGAAAGCCAGCATTCAAATTAAAGAACTGGCTCAAATTAGCAACGATCAACCTGCACAAATCATTACTAATGTTATTGCTACAACATCACATGAAATACAATCGTGTTTGCCACGAAAAGATGATTTAAGACAACAAATCAAAAGAGGAAAATGTGTTTGTAATGAAGAAGTTGAACCAAAAATTTTGGACGATTTTAAATTATCAGATCTATACTCTATTACACTCAGTGGAATGCATTTCGCAAAAGACATCACTGATGAAACTGAAAGAATTTTGCTTTTCACAACAACTGAAAATATTAAATAATGGCAAGAAGCGAAATTTTGGATTATGGACGGAACATTCAAAACTGTTCCAACTTTGTTTCGGCAATTATGCAGTATTCACGTGCCTGCTGGAGGAAATGTTAATCACTGAATTGTTTCATTGATTTACGCAGTAATGAGTGTGAAAAGCGAAGAACTATATCAAAGATTATTTCAGGAACTAAATGGATTGGCAGAAGAAAATCAATTGGAATTAAAATCAGACTTTATATTAACTGATTTTGAAAAGGGTTCAATCAATCCAGTAAAATCAGAGTTTCCAAGTGCTCAAAGCAAAGACTGTCATTTTCATTTAGGTCAATCTGTATACAGACAAATTCAAGACGCAAGACTGACCAAAAAAGATGGAACTGACGAAAACTTTAATCTTCTTGTAAGACATATTCTAGCTTTGGCTTTTTTAAGCTCTGAAGAAATTCCTGATGCTTTTGACGAAGTCAAGGCTTTACTACCATCTGATGTTGAACCAATTATCTAATGGTTTGATTTGACAATAACTATCTGCGTGGAAGAATAAAAAGAACATTGAGAAATGGCACAATCCAAAGACACAACCTATGATATCTACCAGACACGTGGTCTGTCTTTGATAATATGGAATTCACATTTCTAAGAACTCAAAACAAAGTGGAAGCCAGGCATAGACGCTGGGGAAACATTAATTGCTCGATCTCATGTTGGGATTTCCAGTATGATTAAACAAATTGAAAAAGAACAAAATGAAGTTGACAGGGAAATTGAAAAATCGATGCGCGGAGAACCAGCTTCAAAAAGCGCCAAGAAGACGAAAACAGAGAATCCAGACTTCAAAATGTTATTGCTGATCGCCATAATAGATCAACTATCGATTTTCTTCCGAGCATTGCCCATAATCTTTCATTGTAACTATTTGTAATTTATATTAAAACATTCCAAAAATCCCAAAAAAAGAAGAAAACTTTAAAAACCTCAAAAAATCAGAAAATTCTAAAAATCCCAAGAAAAAAGAAAATTTTGTGAAAAACAAAAAAAATTAGATTTTATGTCGTAATTATCTGTATTTGTTGTCCTTGTCTATGTAAATATCTGTCTATTGTCCACAGGATACTAGTTCATACACCTCAGGGTAGTGTACCCTGGAAACTACTGTATTTATTAGGTTAAGATATGGATAAATCTTGTCGGCTAAACAAGCTGTCGGCAAAGTGAACGCGACCCGAAAAAAAAATCATATTTGTGAATGTAATAATAGGAAGAATGTTATTCTATTCTCAGTTTTTCGCTTTTTTTTCTCATTAACATTTTAAACCTTTATTTGTTTTACTTCTTTCAACGTATATTTGTTTGCTCAGAGTAGAATAAAAGAAACTGTCTGTCGTCAATCAGTGAGAAAAAAAAGAATAATTTTGCATTGGTTTGAATATACAACGGCTTGGAAGTTTTTTGTCACACTATCAAAACATATTGAACATAACTGTACTAATTATAGATTCATTTTTACAATATGACTGAATATCAAAGTGAAATGCTTTCGTGGAACTATGGGGATGGATATGAAAACGTTGATATGGAAAAAATTATTCAAGTATTTCAAGATTTTGTGGATAATATAACTTTGAAAACAAGTGAGGAAATGACGAAATCTGATGTAGTATTCCAACAATTATTAAACAAGTTTCAACAAGTTCGTGAGAATGAAGATAATCTTCAAGATCTTATTCATGGAACAATACCATTATGTAATGAATTTATTGACACTATCGAGAAAGTAAATTTTACTTGTATGAATGATTTTCAAAATTGTCTCAAATTATTTCGTCATATTGAATCTGTTTTTCAAATAATTATTTCGATGGAAGATGAAAAGTTTCTCATACGTGAGATTTTCTTTGCATTACTCAACCTACTTTCTAAACCACAAATTTGTTTCCATTTAAATGATGATCAACATACAACAATACCACACAAAGAAGTTTATAAATGCGTAACCAATCTGCTTTTAAGTTTAGCTTGTCGCAAGATCACACTTGTTTCATTTATAAGTGACGATAGTACTACACGTAAATACACTGATATACTCAATGCCATGTATAAACGAGTGGAACGCAATCTACAGCTTAGTACTCACACTAGACAGCCAACAGTTCCTGATAATCAAACAACATTTGTTATTTTATCATTCTTTTGGAATCTGTCTGATAGAACAGTTATTGTTCCATGGCTTCTTGATATTGGTCTAGTCAAAACTATGCTAGAATGTTTGCAAAGAATAGAAATATCTTCAGAAACAGCTAAACAAATCATCAACATTATTCATAATATATCACGACACGACGAAGGTGCTGATGAACTGAATAAATTCCATGGTCTTGTGATTCTTAAAAATATTCAAAGCAATAATAGCCAAGCATTAGACGAGTTAAACAATCTTCTCATATCAATGGCGATTGCTCTGCTCTCTACACCCAAACAGATTCACTCAGATAATAAACGAATGAATAGAATTCTTAATCAATTATTGCAAATCACTATGGAAGCCGCCGAGGTGAGTTCTTAAAAGAAAAAAAATATTGACATTAGCAAGCTGTAGGACTTTCCAGATACCAGCCCGATCGAGTCCAAGTACAGAAGTTTAGCTTTTCTCGGGTCTGGATCCACAAAAACGTAGACATACAGTTCCCTAGTTAATACAATTATGTATTTAATCCTTTCAATCAAATATATCTTTTGTCAAAATTTAACGAATCTAAAATTATCTAATAGTCACAAACACTTGAATATGCCTCCAATAGAAAATTTATCCATTATGGTAGTTCAATGAAGTTCTCAAAGGACATTGAAATACTACAGAATTTACTCGAATATTAGGATGTAATATTGAGATTACTGCACACTTAACTGTTTTATGAAACAGATTATTTCTAATTTCAGAATATGTCAAGAGAATATTCTAGAATTTCGATAATGAAAATATAATGGTCTATTTTTTTAGACGGAAGATCATCGAGATTCATATGCCTTCCATGTATCTGAACCCTTAGCTGTGTTTACCAAATTGTTTGTTGATGATCGTTCGCTCGAATATGTTCTCAGTCATGCAGAAACTGATCCACAACTTGATGTTATATCAACAATTAACTTATTCATCGATTTGTTCATGAAATTTCGAGGTGCATTCGTTGAGAAAAAACAGTTAGAACAGTTTACATGCACAGCTCTATTGAACATTTTATGGAGTATCTCATTTCAAGATCGATATAAAACAAAACTTCAGCAAAATAAAGGTTTTATGAAGACTATTACTAGTTTAGCTATGGATAATGGCGAAAAAATAGTCGAAGAGTATGTTTCACGTTCAATGGAAAGCATGATAAAAGCTGCTAACGGTATTCTTTATAATCTTAATGAAATATCCGATGATCAAAATGCTGATATCGCAGATCGACAATTAATCTCTAATGCTAGCTGTGAAAAACCAATGATCATGATTAGCTATGCTCATAGTAACAATCATTTTTGTGATAAAATTCTTGCCGAACTCAAGGAAAAAGGAAATCTGTTTGGAATTTGGATTGATCGAAATTATTGCTTGTCAAACGAAGATTTATGGGAAAAAATTGCTCTTGGAATAAAACAATCAAATCTTGTTCTATGTCTTCTTTCACAAGAATATTTCAATAGTAAATCATGCCGTAAAGAAGCTATTTTTGCAATCAAACGAAAAAAGTCAATAATTCCTGTGTATATTGGTGAACCAGGTGATTGTGATTGGCTTGGTATGTTGTTTTTCTCCTAATTGTATACAATAGAATATTTCAATACTGAATATCATCTATTCAAAAGTATTTCAATAATATCAACTATTTATAAAAATTACTTCATGTAGGATATATTAACATATATTATAGTGATGCAAATCAAAACGAGCAAAAGATTAAATTAGAATTATATCCTCTCGTTCTGCTACCAATTACAAATAGTATGGTAGATCGAAAATACAACGAAACATTGTATTAACTGACTTGAAAAATATAGGACAAATCCCAGTATTAACATCATATTAAATTCACTCTGCGTAAAATCTGTCTGATAGCAATCATGTTCAATAATTTTAAGAGAAAATAAATGTATACTGTAGAGTTTATGTACGGAAATATAGAGTTTTTATATTTGAAGTTAAATCTTGTCATGATCTCTCAAAAACGTTTGTGAAGTAGATGAAACTGGTCTAGATTCTCGACTATCAGTATCAGTAGCCGTTTGATTTTGAAAAGGAGAATCTCTATTCTCCATAGTCATATTACTTCTTATTTGTCGTTATAAAACTTTGGTCTTCCAATAAGTTAAATAACCGGCAATTTTTTGTGAGCGTAATGATCATTATAATTCTCAGTCTTTAACCAGTCGCTCAGCTCAGACGAATTGATAAGTAAATCACAAGAAGGTTATCTTCAGCCTAAGCTGATCAAATGATAGTCATTATTGTTTTCATTATACCTACTTCAAATAAAAACTATTTCAAGTTTAAAACATTGCAGAATATAACGACAAAACCATTCATGTTAGAATTGACATACATGCTGGAGTGAGCTTCTGTACTAGGTTCCATTTTGACAGTGGCTCTACTACTATATGCTCTAGAGGGTACTGTTAAGAGGTGGTCAGATTAATGACTGACCAGACGCCAGTACCGATCCCATCCATGGTTCATGGATTTTCTTCCATTTTACAATATAATTAATCAATTTTTGTGAAATTTTGCAGACATTCATATTGCTGAATTGAAATATGTTCGTTTCAAAAACAATACAGAAAAACTTGACCAGGATAGACTTCAAGAACTTTCGAAAACGATTGAAGCTACAATTAAAACAACACAAACACAGCCTCTACAACAATGAGCAAAACAACATACTATACTAACACGATCTCCAAAAGAAGCTGAAATAATTAAATCGACTACTTTCGATGTGAACAAGCCTGTTGAGAAGTGGACAGTTGATGATATTCATGCATGGTTTGATAGTCACAAAGTTCCCGATACTCTTGTAAAATTATTTGATTTTCAATCAGTTGCTGAGATGCACGAATATGCTTTGAAACTACGTAAAGATTCGAAAAAAGAATTTATCAAATATGAACAAAGATATGCTAAAAATCATGACGGAGAAGAACTTGAAGAATACATATTTAATCGATTTAAAAATGCTATTCTCAATCTACCAAATAGTCCGAATCAAACAATGAAAACATCAATATGTTCTTCTCAAATATCAACACCGAAATCGAGTACTTGTACTATTTCATGAATCCAGCTTAAATTCTAAGAACTTGAAATATATTAAATAAATCATAGTATTTTTTTAGCTTGTATGCAATTAACAGTTTTTCTTTCTTGTTGCTTTTTAATAAATCCTAAGAAATACCCAAATAATAATCTTATATTGATGTCATTTCTTAAATAAAATTAATTGAACATCATGAAAAAGATAAGATTATGTTAATTCAAGTTTGAAATCCTATCTTTCCAACGAATAAATATCTTTTTCTTCAGATGATATAAATGTTCTATTAAATTAATGCAATGTCACTCTATTAAATATTTCAAGAGGTTTTTTCTACTAATCACAAAAATTTCTAACATCATCTTACTGTTTATCTAAAATTACACAACACGATGTCAACGGATTTATCTGATTTAAACAAGCAGTCAACAAATTAAAAAATCGTTTACTAGGAACAGTTGCACGAAGCGCAATAAACTGTTTGTCGTGAATAATCTTAAAGTAGCAATAAATGCGCTTATCTAGAAGGATTAGAATGTTGCCTCCTCGGCGATATTATGTCTTGATCACTCCTTGTGGTTAGAGGAGTAAACCAATGCATTGATCGATGGCAGAAGCTGGATTTTTTCGATGAATCTTTTAAAAAGTCTTAATTTCGAGAGATTTTATAATGAATAAGAGAGAAAACGATGGTAGACAATTTAGTGAGAAGAGACTAAACAGTGACGGATCCGAAAACTGATTTTGAATGTCGGAATTTTTAAAAATCAAATATCTATCTTTGTGTCGCAACCGTGGCGGAGGCGACTCAGTAGATTGGTTTATACCTCTGCTCGTGATGCTCTTTCTTGGCAATCTTTCTGATCTTATTCTTTTCCTTGCTTCATGCCACCTTTGTTGTTTCATTCTTTTAATTTTTCTAAAACCTTCGACATATTAGAAGACTCTGTATCGCACGTTGTGCTCTTCCTTCATTTACATCTCCTTATATGGAAGAAAGAGCGAGCACGCCTGAGTGGGCACAAACAAAGCACAAACGGTCACACGATAGAACAATAAGAGATAATCACAAGGTCAACACGTGAACACACAAATATAGCGAAGAGGACAGCGTTATATAAAATGAAGTGTAACGGTCAAATAATCGTTACAGACTTCCCTTGCATAAACGACGCAGCAGACAGATTAGAAGACCTAGTTGATTTTTTACTTTTTCTATCATGTTTATACTTTTTGTTTCTATATGTGTGTGTTTTTCTAAGCTTCGCTTCAAAAATATTTTTCTACTCTATCTGACATGCAACGTGGTATGTGCTTGAATGATACACAATGTAATTAACGAATATATATATGCAGCATGTGAAAAAAAACTAGAGGCCGAATCGAATCGACTTTTACTAGTTCGAGTGCGGTTTGGTTCGATTCATTTTCGACCTCTGTGAGAAATATTGTCTTTTATGATCAAATTCAGTTATTTTTGATTTGCATCATTTGTCTCTTTTCATCAACAGTCAGCTATATGATTGTTTTCATAATATCGACTTTTAGGTTAGTCGAGTCGAACCTAAGCAAAAGTAATTGTTCCCATTGTACGATATATGTTGCTTAGGGTGTATTGCACTGGTGAGGATTGCAACGAGTTTTTATTCATTGTGCTATACAGCATAATAGTTCTTAGCATAGTAGGATTACTATTTTGTCTTGTTATCAATTAGATTCATTGTTTATCGTGACAATCGGTCAGTCGGTCGCAAGCTAATGCATAGCAAACTATTTTTTTCGTTCTTTGTCATTGCTATTCAATACAATGAATAGCCATCAACGAACTATCTAGAAATAAAGTTGGAAGAAAAAACACCTCAAATTAGTGCGCAAGTGTTCTTATCCTTTCAGAGCAAAAACATCACCTGATGGACAGTAGGGTCACTAAAAGTTATGGCTCTATTGCACTCGTTCGGCATAATTATACGATTTTTCGAGTAGATACGACTTGGACTGAACTGAATCGAACCTGAACTCGAAAACCTCGGTTCATTTCGGGCTCTGATTATAGCATTTTATGACTGAGTTCTTTTATCCTATGGAAAATGTAACTACCATGAAGTGTCAATTAATTGTATTTTGTATGATTTAGTACATTTTATAATAAAGATAGTCATTTTGTGAAATATTCTTGAGTAATTGAACATAGACTTCTTTTATTAATTATTCTAGTGTAAAAAAATGAAATAAACGTTTGGTGACAACATAATTAATATAGAAAGACTTTCATAAAAATTATATCGTTAAGGGTAACTAAAGCAAAATGACTTCGTTTAGGGACAAAATAGAAGACCCCCGTTGTAACTTGTCAACGATAAGCTAGAATAGAAGACCCGAGATCTTCTAATGTGTCGAGTACTTTATAATTTATTTTACATCTGTTCACTACTGGTATCTACAATCCTAGTTTTCAATTGTCACTTTAGGATCAACATAATCATAGGGTCAATGAATACTAATAATAATAAAAAAGTTTATTTGATTGCATGTTTTTTTTTATTCGCTCATATATACATGCCACCTACAATGATGAATCATCGTTGATTGTAAGCGTATGGTTATTACATTCCCCCAATCAACACCAAAATGTGTCATGTTATTCGAACCTTTAAATATTTTCTCATTCCTTTATTGCATATTTTACGATTCTGTTTTTTATTATTTTGATTTCATATGAGCTAAAATATTGACTTATTATATTGAAATTTTGAATATTTTTTCCGACATATTCCAATGGTCGTTTGTCTTCGACTCGAGATCGATGACGCATTTGAATCAGATTTAGAAACACTTAAATATATTGTTTACGAAGGTACTGTTCTTTTTTTAACTAATTTTATTTACCAACTATGATAAGTATTGTTATTTTTAAGCATCTTTCCACGAACCAACAGAATTCTTACCTTCAAATACGAATAATAAAGATTTATCTACAGTAAAAACTGCTAGTGCTGGTCAGAGAGAACCACGTGAACTTTTTGTTGAAACTTATGTGTTTGACGGTGAATAGAAAAATTGATAATTATCAATGATTGATACACTTTCTTCTTTTTATTTCATTCAATTTAGAATCATTACCTTTACCAAATCATCGTTCCTTATCATCAAACGTAATGAGTGATGCTATTGAAATGACTTATCTTGATTTATCCAAACGTCGCCAACAACAACAACAACAAGACGTGAATATTTCAAATACAAATGAATCTGATGCTGTACCAAAATCAGCAATAACCGAGGAATCCCAACAACAGCAACAATTAACAACACAATCAACTTTTACCGATATTACTGATTTACCAACAACAACAACAAAAGATACGACTAAAACAAAAAAAAATCGAAAAGTGTCAACAACTACTAATGATACAAATCGTAATATTTCAAAAACACTATATAATTTAAATCATTATAAGATTTATTTTAATTCAAAGGTATAGAATTATCGACTCATGTATCAACATCTCCAGATTTACAAATACCATTTTATTGTGGTAATCATCTTGTTGATATTACTCGAGGCATTTTACATTTATATAAAGACAAGTAAATAAAATATTTAAATTCATTTATTAATAAATTATATATTTTTTAGTAAAGCATTAGGTACAAATAATGAACCAAAACATAGCGAAATGTTAGCTATGTTAGCTATTCCAGCTGATGTAGCTTGTCGAGAATTGATTGCATTCATATACCCTGCTTAGTACGATATTTTATGTTAAAATTGATATTCTAAATTTCTTTTTTTTTTCTTTGATATTTATTCTTAGTGATGGTATTGAATATTTACGTATTATTCGTGATCCAACACCAAATCAATATATGTGTTTAATTAAATTTAAGTCTCAAGTATGAACTATTGTACAAGAATAGAAAAATTACTATACAAGAGTAAAAAAAAATCGTTCTTTGTTTTTTTTTAATTTAAAAACAAGAAAAGTTAGTGAAAGATGACGATTTTTTCTTGTAGTGTTTAATTCTTAAAATGTCTTCTTACTTACAATGATTTTAATATTGATATATTCTATTATTACTCTTGTTCTTTTTTTTTTATTTAGAAAGAAGCTGATGAATTCTATGAGTATTATAATAATCGTCAATTTAATTCAATTGAAAAAGGTGTTTGTCATTTAGCATTTGTTGCAAAAGTTGATATAACTAGTACAGCTAAAGTAATCATTGTTTGATTTTATTCACCTTGAATAAATTTTTGTTTTTCTATATCTATATAGGAAGGATCATGTCCGATTCCTGGTCTTACTGAATTACCACCATGTTATATTTGTCTAGAAAGAATGGTAATTTAGTAATTTTTATTTATTTAGATGAATATTTTTTTTAAGGATGAAAGTCTTGCTGGAGTATTGACTATTCTATGTAATCATTCATTCCATGGTGATTGTCTTATTAAATGGGGTGATAGTTGGTAATGAACTTATTTATTTTTATATTTAATTCATTTAAAAATTTTTAGTTGTCCTGTTTGTCGTTATGTTCAAACACCGGAAATGATTGATGGTCAATCATGTTTTGAATGTGGCTCACAAGAAGTAAAAACCGAAAATAAATATTTGCATAATATCTTTTTGTTTCTTGTTTTTATATTCATTAGGATCTTTGGATTTGTTTAATTTGTGGGCATGTTGGTTGTAGTCGGTTTAAGCAAGGTCATGCTTTTGGGTATGTATGTATTTATTGACTTTGGTTTCTTTTTGTGCAACATAATCTAACAGGAGTGTAGAATAGAGCCCATCGAGTCTGGATTTGAAAATTTTTGAACTCGAGAAACTCTAGTCGTTCAAGAAGTATGTACGATAATACAAAAAGTCAGGAAAAAATATCTGGTATCTTCGGGATGACTATCCAATTGCGATTAGAGAATTTCACCGAGAATGTCAAAATGCAGTTCGACCAAGTCACGATCCAATTCGAAAATTTTGAATCCGATGGACTCTATTGTGAAAGTATAAGAATAGAAAATTCGATCCTCCCACCAGTGTCCGACATGGAATCAAACGTTTGTGATCCGAACCGAATCAAACTCTAATATGGGGTACTTGTCTCTTTCTCTTGAGAAAATCAATTTTTCAATCATTTTTTCTTCATGTCATTTCGTTGTCGGAAACAAAGGATATTTCGCAGTCGGGACAGCACGATTTTTGTCATAGAATTTTTCTTATGTGTCTTTCTTTTCTAATGTATTCAACTAGTGACCTTTATATAGCCATTAAACAGATAGTGCGCTTGCTATGCATCGTCGTCCGATGTGAATAAAGATACTTTGGTGAAGTAGAATAATAGATCGTGCAATATATAACTTCTGGTTCGTATAAGCTTTTTCATCCTTTCTTATAGGTAATTTTAAATGAACAAACACATTCAAAAGGCCTTTGGTGTCTGCAAAATGTTCAGACTGAAGATCCATCTGAAATCGAAAAATTTTTTCATGAGCCGACTCGAGTCGAACACTGCTCTTCACACATGGTTCTCGATTGTATTTGAAGATAGGAGGGGCTAAGAGCTCGGCAGAAATTGAACAGAAGATGCTGAGATCATCGACTTTCTGTGACATTTTGTCTGAAAGAAGATGTAATCGTATCTATATCTACCAGAAGCAGCGCTAAAAACACAAAAATTCTCTTTCTATCATGATTTCCCACGAGATTGTAAAAGATTTTGCAGAAAGTTCGGTATTTTTGGGAAGGAAAAGGTCCAATTAATACTCAACACGGTAGCTTGCCATGTGTCGTTCTTTCGCGTTATATGTTAATAAACCCTTTCTCGTACAATGTCAACAGCTTCATTCAGTTGTACATTTTTATCCCTCAGAGATTGTGCTAACAGACAATTTTCTTTTTATTTAAAACTAAAATTAAATTTATATTAGACATTTTGAATTAACTCAACATACATATACAATGGATTTAAAACGACAACATGTATGGGATTATGTTGGTGATAATTATGTTCATCGACTTATACAAAATAAAAGTGATGGAAAACTTGTTGAATTACGTGGTGAAGGTGTTAGTACTTATGAAATTGTAAGAATTTATTTTTCTTTTTGCTCGTTTTTTATGATCAGATTTAGGATGATTATAATGAGAACACATCGAAAACTGATACAACTCAAGAAAAAATTGATTCAATTGAACTTGAAGTAAACAAAAAAAAATCAATAAATTAAACATAAAGAACTCCTCGTTTCTTTTCTTTTAGTATACTTATTTATTAACTAGTCAATTAGAATCCCAACGACGATTTTTTGAAGATAAATTACAATTTGTTGAAGATATGACGTGTGAAAAAATCGAAGAACTTGAACAATCAAATAAATTATTAAAAGAACATGCACAACAATTACAAACAACACTTGATTTAATAACAAAAGAAAAACAACAACAAGAAAAACGTTCTTCAACTAAAATAACAAAACTTCAACATGATTTTGATGAAGAAAGATTAATGAATGAACAATTAAGACAAAATCAAAATTATTTTCAAGTTGAAATGCAAAAATTAAAAGAAGAATTTGATACTGCTATGAAAAATAAAGATCAAGTTAGATATTTTATTTGAAAAATTTTCGACTAATCTATTTGTGTGTTCTTTTTTTTCATAGGAAATCGATGAACTTAAAGATCAATTACGTGATCTTATGTTTTATATTGATGGTCAACAAAAACTTAAAGAAATTAAAGATCTATCAGTTGATGAACTTGAAACGAGTCAAGTAACTGTAAATAGTCCGACAATTGCAAGTGCTAGTTCAACATCGACAGCTAATACCGGTAAAACAAGACGAAGAAAAAAATAGAAAATGATCAATTTATTATTTCTTTCAAATCATAAATCAAATCTTTTCCAGAATGTATATGTTATTCATTTTGTTTCATACATTTTTTATTATCTAAGAAATCTGGAAATATAAAATAAAAATATTAAAAAACAAAAAATCAAATTATTGTGTTATAACTAAGAAAAAGATATCTTGTTGGACTGTTGCCTAGTAGACATGTGCAGGATCGAGACCTGAATTCTCAATGGGGAGAAGGGATCCTCCTCTCTCAAAACATCCGACTTTTTGTCAATTTTGTAAAGCTTCATGGTAATTGTGTATAGAAATCGGAATTTGAAACACTATTTGCCTTTCTCTGACAGAAAGCGAAATAAAAATAAGCAAACAATGTCGTGGCGAGGCGCATAGGATTTGGACAGGTCACGAAGGAGAGCCGGCCTGGTAGCAAGTTGTGTGTTATGAAAGAGGTTGAGTCACAGCGAGTTTCGCTCTACTTTTCTCGCTCTTGGTCGTCACTTTTAGCACATTAAGGATAAAAGCACTTTCTGGCGAACTTTTAACCTTCCCTAAACGATGTCGACAACCTTAACCAAGACTAAAATTGTCCGAATGGGAACTAAAAATTAGAGTTGAATATTTTATAGTTTAAAGCGAATTATCTTATAAATCATATTGATCAGAACATAATTCAAGCGAAATGACTAAACAGAGTGCTAGTCGTCTACTAAATAAAAGAACAAGTATTAAAGAATTTTAGATGGAATGTGAATAAATTCTGAAGTAATTTTTTCTAAGCGGGACCAAAATACTTAGTCCTGCACATCCCTATTGCCTAGTAATGAACAGTTCGATTGATATGAATTCATTGTTTTGACATTTTTATCTATCTCAAACTGAACTCTTTCAACATACAGTAAGTTCAATATCGTAAATAGTATTATGCTGATGTCTGAAAAACATAAATTATGTTGCTAATCAAACAGTACAGTGAACTAATGTCGGATTTTTTTAAAAGTACCAATGACTATTTTTTGAATAAATTTTCAACAGTTCAAGTTATAGAGATCGGATTTTCACCGTTAGAAAGAGTAAGGCGAGGAGAGGAGGACGTCAATCTGTATAAAATTCATTATGTTTACGACTCTTTTGTATGGTTATTTGCAGTCAAATATCTTATCGGTTGTCTATTTTCATGAGTTTTCATGACAAGTTAACATCTAATTAGACCAAAATGTAGCCCGAATCGTCCTGTATTTGTGCTAAAATTTTCAAATCTTTGTGTCTTATTCTTGAGTTTATTTCCTTATGGCTTGATGTTAAGATGTGAAAATTTTGGCATAAATACAGGACGACTTAGGCTACATTTTGGTCTAATTAAATGTTAACTTGTCATGAAAACTCATGAAAATAGACAACCGATAAGATATTTGACTGCAAATAACCATACAAAAGAGTCGTAAACATAATATTTTTTAATACACACCGCCCCCCCCCCCCCTCCCCGTCTTACTCTTTCTAACGGTGAAAATCCGACCTCTATAACTTGAACCGTTGAAAATTTATTCAAAAAATAGTCATTGGTACTTTTAAATAAATCCGACATTAGTTTTCTAGTTCAGAGAACTTTTACTGAGACAAAAACATGTGAAGAATTGGAATTTTATATTGAAATTCAAAGAAAGTAAGGATGAAAATCAATGTTCAGATATATCGTGGAAACAGCAAATTTTTTCGAATGTCTTTTTGTCTTATGCTGATTTTAAAAGTTTATTTTTTCAGATAGTTAGAAATAGATTTGTTTTACTACATAGATTAAATAAATAGAACATGATTTGGTAATTAAAGATTCGAAAATTTCTCTCTGAAATACAGAATCATCTAATAAATTTTCATTGATATCAAAGTCAGAGATGCCGGAAAACTTCTTGTTTTTTCTATCCATGGGTCATAGACTTGGATTGAGCGAATTGAACACTAAGAGTAACCATTTTGGAAATTCGATTAGATATTGATACAAACACAAGCATTTGTTTTCTCGTGTAATATTTATCTATGATAAGTTGTGGTCATCGTACTAAAACCTATAGAACAACAATACATTTTCTTTCTTTTCATATGGATACTATACATAATGTTCATTCTTTCCATAGTCAATGTACTTGTTTCAAGTCTACTTGATTAGTTAGTTGAATTCTATTAAATATCTAAGCAAGTACTTGGAACAAGCACATCTACTGGTTAATAAATATTTAAAGGTGTCCACGAGTTATACAGGATTCGTCAAAAGCTTCTCCTATGGCAAGCGTCTGACTTGTCCAAGAGATACACAATAGATTTTACACTAATATAGACACTACCAATTTCAAAAAAATTAAGAAAGATAGTTGTTTTGAAAATAAGTTACGAAACAGTTTTCTTCGGTACATATTCATATTTGCAATAGAACAAAATACATGATGATATTATGATAAAAACCGTATCGTCGTAGCTTTTCTAGTTCTTGTGTTATTTCCAAAATTGTTCTTCTTTGTTGGAGTAAGTAATAAATGTAGTAGAAGAAAGAATGCATGTAAAAAATTCATGTCTGTTTTTTATATGACTCTATGAATGCAGTCATTAATCAGTATGCTAATCATTATCGTTTTTTTTACAGCACAAAAAAAAATATTCTCTTCCTCGGATGTCCCACTCTTGCCGTTTAATAATACTTGAATTTCACAAAATTCTAGATATTTCCAGTATTCGACACCAAAAAACATTAAGATCTATATAGATTCATACTGGACAAATTTTACAACAAAATATGTCTCCAAATTGGGATGAATGAGCCAGGGTTAACCCTAGAAAGCTCTAACTCATCCGGTATGTCTGATCGAAGCATTGATTCTATCATAAGAATTTAAGTAAAGTTTAAAAAAAAAAGCATTAGAACAAACAATTATTGTCTATCTACTAGTATTTCGAGAAGTTTCAAAAAAAATTTTTTTAAATCTTTTTCTTTTTTCTTGAATCCATTAAAAATTAATATAATGAAGAAAGTTAGTTCTTTATTCAAGAATTTATTTTGTTGTTCATTGACAATTTTAAACAGAACGGCCAAGTCGTGGTGCTGCTCGTCTTCCATTAAGAGAAGAATCTACTTCAAGAGGATAATCATACGTTGCATCATCATCACCAATATAATATCGGTCAGCATGATTCAAATGTGAAAGAATATGAGCTGGAATATGTCGACCAAGACGTGGTGATGCACGACCAAGACGAGGTGAAGCACGACCAAGACGTGGTGCTGCTCGTTCAACAAGATCATCAGTAAATAAGATAGTTGGATAAATACTATCGAGCATTTGGTGTTCACTTAATTGTTCAAAATCAGTTGGTTTTGAATTAATACAAGAGCAACAAACTAATACAAAAAAAAAAGAAGAAACACGAATTTCTTAAAAAATCAATATCAATTATATTCATATATACCAAAGAGAATAGTTGCAAGAACTAAAATCCAGTTTAATTTTACAATATTTGAAGATAGTTTTTGACTAATACCTATAAAAAAAAACTTTTTAATATTATAAAAAAAAAACAATTTTTATCTATACCTGTTGACAGTTTCATATTGATAAATAGAAGGAAAAATATAATTGTGTATGAAGTTAGTGATGAAATGCAAACAGTTTCTTTTTTTTCTTTCGATCTTATATTTATTCAACGCTCGATGTTCTCGATGTCGTAGGTGTAGATTTCCTTTGACGTTTATTTCAATTGCTTTTTTGATTGCTTATTGATGTCGTCTATGATAGTTTATGTAAGACAATACTTATCAATGTATTTTATATGCTGATTAAATTTTCTTTTTATATTTGCTCTTTATTGTCTCTATAGTTATCTACAATAGATTCATCAAATCAATATAGAGACAAGATATTTTTTATTATTATTAATAATAACATCAATTCTTGCCTTTTATAAGTATACTACTGCATTCTTTTATTTATTTTCATTAGGAAGAAACTTGTGATGTGCATATTGATTGTGATATCCGGTCACCATTGTTATTTGATTTTTCATGAAAAAACAAAGAAAAAAAAAAGAGATAGTTAATATAAAACAGAGAATAGATTGATGACATTGAAAATCTGTTTTTTTTTTGTAAAAAGCAACGAAAGAATAAATATCATAATTTTAATAAAAATTTTTGTACAGTTTGAATATTATTGTATACAAATCTTTGAATTTTATTTAAAAGAACATGAACAAAAGACTTGGAAACTTAATTTCAAGAATAATATTAATACAAATAGTAGATAAACTCGAATATATTTTATTAATAAACTTGACGTTATTGGCTCGAATAAAAAAAATATTTTTCTAACAACGGATAAAGGTATTCATATTTACTTCTAGATCAAAAAAAACTAAACAATTGCTATTGACTATTCCAAATAATTAATTAACTGTTGTGAACTTGACCTTTAGAGAATAGAATTTCGATTCTTTCAGGCGATGCGAAACACTGTACAGTAACTGTTCATAAGTTATGTTTCTTTTCTCAATGCATAACTTAAAATCGCTATATTGTGTCGCGATGATCTAAAGATTGGAAAAGCATAAGATTTTCTTTTAAACGTTATTACAAAGTTCCGTTCGTTCTCAATTCGCCCCAAAGAATGATGATTTTGAAGAGAAAACTCTGGTTTTTTTAGAGATAATAAAAATGAGACTAGTGGCTATGAGATAAACACGAGATGGCGTTTGAATTTCTTTCGGTTCTGAAATGTGATGCGAAACTACAAATGTCGCTTATCGAAAAGATCAATGTCTCTTAAAGTACGAATCATTGTTTTTACGATTCATCATGAAACATTTTTCTCCAAAAGATAGTTATATTTTATTACAATAACATTTTTTCTCTTTTGCTGTATTCAGGATAGACACTAAGGTTCGAGTTATATCTATAGTGAAATTTTCAGCAAGATCGTGCTTTAATGTCTCTAATGAACTGTCAACGAGAATCAGACAATACTCTATTTTCAAGATCATCGCGTCAAAGTATCGACTTTAGACATATCATTGGAGAAAAAGCTAAATGCATTTGAGTATTACTTGACTGCAAAATGCAGTGCGAAGCATGAATATTGATAACCGAATAAATCTAAACCTGAAAACAAAAAACGAGTAATCCTTGCTAGGATTTATCAAGAAATGTTACCTCGAAATAATAGTGATGTTTTATCCAAAGCGAGTTTTTTGTCGATTGTAGGTGTCAGACTATCAATCAGTTTAACGCCGACTATAACAGCAACAGCCACATTCAAAACCTAATTCACACTCAACATCTCATACTCATAAACCGTTAAATTCAATGAAAAATTAGTTTCTTTTCAAATTTTCAGTTTTTACTTGCAAAAAACAACAAAAAAATGCAGTTTTTTCAGCGCTTTATTAAAAAAAGGCAACTCAACATGTTTTGTTTTATATTTTATTTTATTTCAATGTATAATCAAGAATTCATAATAGCAAGTTCTTCTAACACAATTAGCGTATTATTACAGCCAAATTTGGACACTATCATTAGAACAACGTAAACGACAAGGTCGACTAAGTGGATATTGATGTAGTTGTCGTCGAATTAAATGCGGGAAACAAGGTGTATCAGAATAAGTTAGAGTAGAAAAGTTTATTCGAAGCCAAACAAGTTCCTGTAAATGGTTAACAAGCAAATAAATAACATTAACAATATGCTTTGTAGATTTGTTTTTTCCATCATTAATTCGAGATGATTTCCATTGCCAGTGACCATATGAATCACAAATAGTAAACCAAAGTGTCTTTAACTTAGTAAATTGATTCGACAATAATGTGCAAAAACGTTGAACATTTTGTAATGTCAATGATGCATCGTAGATGATCAGTGATTTTATCTAATCAATAGAAAATATAATTTATCCTAGTAAAATGAAAATAGATTTTAATTATTTGATACATTTCAATTTTAAGAAATTCGAGAAAAAAATTTACTTCAAATGAAAGTTACATATCAATCAAATTGAATTTGCAGAAGAAATAATCTCTTTGACATATTTTTCTTTTAAAAAAGAATTTCTTACTTGTTGATTGATACGAGTTCCAAAATTATCTTTATTATGCAATATCATGCGAAGTAGAATTCTTCTATCACCAATTATTTCTAGTGTGTGTACATTATGAGCAATGTATAATAATGACTGTAATGTATGTTGAGTAATAACATCACTATGATTGATTTCAATGTGTGTTAATAATGACCAAGGAACTAACGATGATATAGAACATCCAGATTTAACAAGATTTCGAATACAATTGATCTTCTTATAACCACACAGAGATAATGTATTAGCAAGTGGAAACAGATTTGTTGCATCAGTCGACATTTGACAAGATCTAAATAGAATTAAAAGATTCATATAACTAAAAAACTTTTATTGAAGACATTCTTAATACAAATCAAATTTGATTTGTACGCCATTGGTTTAAATTGAAAACTTACTCTATCGAATCCTTATAAATAAATAAAATCTGCTGATATGCTTGTTTCAAAGTAATTTTGAACAGCTCCTTGTAAATAAAGAATCATATTACAATAAAAAAACTGCTTCTTCTTGATCATTATTATCATCAATTTGTGCTGTTTCACTTGACCATATATGAAATCCACCATAATTTATATCATCAAACCACTATAAACAATGGTAAATAGATTTAATTCTAAACATATTGTTAATGTCGAATCTTTCAATTGAAGATAATTAAGAATAACTTTAATATATAAACATGTATCAAGTCAATGAGCAAAGTTTTATTGCTAAGATAATCTTATCTAAATTTCTATAGATTGTTGTACTACCAATACGTTGTAATTCAACAAGTAATTGTTTACTAAAAGCAATTGTTGTGTTTCCAAAGAAAATCAGAAAGAATTATTTACAGTAATTTCCTCATAAAGCCTTAAATGGTCGTCTAAATGCTGGTTCATAAAGAAGACTTTTTTATCGATTGTAACCAGCGATAGAAATGATCTAATTGCATATCAGCAAATATATTTGTATATGAATGAACATCTTGGAACCAGATTTGAATCATTTCTCGAAGAAGACATAATGCTAGTAAACATTGAGATGTTTTATCATATGCTGTTATGGAAATATTACTTATTGATGGAATTACGCCAGGACTATCTAACAGATTTTGTACAGTTGCATCAATACCTTAAAAACAGAACAATTAATTTATCTAGCGGATCACTGTTTATCCTAAAAGTCAATGGTCTTGATTGCATTACAGAAAACTCTAGTACATATAACTTAATTAAAATTAAATAATCAGGTAGTGATCAACGGTCAATGGAAACGTTCTGTTATAATAAATATTTGAGAGAGCGATCTATGCAAGATTAACTCCTCTAGATTCTGAGACTTCTGACATTGGGAAACTGATCAGCGACTGAATGATTCAGTTTCGAAAATAAAGATAAAATAGGCTCATCATAAAATTGAACGACTTTAAAAAGGGATAAACGACTTTTTTTTGTCAAATTCAATTCCACCTTTTGGTGTTCCAGTACTTCCACTTGTATACATAAGAACCGCAATATCTTGTTTTCCAAGTCTTTTATTCAAAGTTTGTTCATCTAAATAAGAAAATAAATAAATGAAAATAATGAAGAGACATTGCCAATATGTACATTTTGTCCTTGTTCTTCTAATTGATTTAAAAGAATAAATTGAATAGTTTTTTTATCTTGTGGAACCTTGATTGATGCTGGTTTAGCAACAGCAGAAAAATAAATTACATGACGAACTTGTTCCGTTTGATCTAATGTTGTCTACAAAAAAACATGGAATATAGTTTATTCAGAAATCTGAATAACAATTTGAGAATATATTCTTACGAATGGATTTTTAAAAAACGTCTGGTTTATTTATTTTTCTTCAAAAGACTTTAATCGAAAGAGTTTCAATTCCAACACAAAATTTTGTTTTGTTCAAATTTTGAAAAATTATTGACAAAGTAAACTCATGTGATGAGATCATTCACCTCTTTCTATGTGCATTTATTGAATCATTTATATACGGTAAACTTATTCGTAGTTTATAAGAGACAGAGGTGTAAAACATTGATACATGTTTAAATGAGAATGGTTCTCTAATGGCAAAAAAGGAATGGAAATATTTTTCGGAATAGTGATATAATCATATGATACAAAGATATTTTTGTCTTTCGGAAAGTGTTTATGATTAGGTGTTCACTATTAAATATATTTTCAAGATGATCATTAAATCTCTTTGAATACCGCATTCTTTCCAAACAATACTTTATAGAAGATGTTTCGAAAGATCATCAGACTTAGTACATAAATTGTCTAATTGAGATGAGCAATTTTCAAATAAATCAATGTTCTTATGTGTCGTCTTTATTATAGCAAAACCTATATTTCGACGTCGTTTTCTCCATACACAGGTCATTCTAACGCGTTGTCAATTCGAAATTCTGATACTCGAACTGTTTGCAAAAACTTTCAATTCGAAATCCTTATTTCGATAAATAGCTTGTTCTTCTCTTATCTGACCAATGAACATCGAAAAACAAGTGAGTAAATAAGTTATTAACTCTTTGGGGACGGTTGGCCCCTTAAGGGGCCATGGTGATTCTCTGGTACTTCAAAACACACAGATCCCTATATGAGATTAGTTTTTTGTTAAAGCATTTATCAGAGAGTTTTTTGGTATAATTTGGATTGTAATTAGGTTATTTTATTCAGATATTCAGTAATGGATACTAAATATAACAAAACTGACTTTCAGAGAAAAAACTCTATAATCTAGAATCCTTGTCAGCAACGTTGCTCTCTATGTAGGGAGATGTTAGATAATGTTCTACATGCGTATTCTTTTTTCTTCTTCCCTTTTCTCTTCTATTGTGGTGGTATGACGTCATAGATATGCAAATTACATTTATCTTTTCTTTCTTTCTGTTGAAATGCACAAACATGCAGATATTATCTTACTTGTATTTTCAGATACAGTTTTTTCTGTTTTGCTTCTTTTCTACGGTCGTGTATCATCCTCTCTCACAATTTTTCGTGAGTGTTTCTTTCATCCATCGTTTTTGTATATGTATATGACATGATTACGACATTCACTTAGAGTATATAGGAACAATCAGTATCTGATTTACAATTAATAAAATCTATCGATTATTTCCCTGACATCATGGAAAATAAGGCAAGTTAGTTTGACGTAGAATCGTTAAAGTTCCAGAGCTCTTTAGAATAGCTACTCGACATCAAATATTAAGTGACTATGAAATTCAAGAAATTTTGGCTGATTCTGCTTCTGAAAACGAGGCTGAAATTGAAGGTGATGGTGAAGAAGATAATTATGAGGATATGAAAGTCGATGAACCTGAAGAAACTTCTATCAATTTTTTTGTGAGTAATCGTCGAACAGCACGAAATCAAAATGTACCTTCTCCAGTATGGTTTACTGGCAATTTCAAGCCTCATTTGTTTCGTTTTGATTCAAGCGAATCTGGTTTGACACAGTATTTGATGAATCATCAGCTTCAGGTTCCACTAGATTTTTTTCAATTCTATTTTGATCAAACTCTGATGGATATAATTGTAATAGAAACAAATCGATATTGTCTACAAAATTCTAAAAACACTTTACCACATGCTGCTCGTTGGATAGATACAACTATTGATGAAATGTATGTATTTTTGGCTGCAACTATCCTAATGACTCATGCAAAAAAACCATAAAATAAAAGATTATTAGTCAACTGATGAATTAATATTGACTCCTGTTTTCAGCCACATTTTTTCAAGAGACAGATATTTAGCATTGTTCAGATACATACATTTCAATAACAACGATAACTACACAGCTGAAGATAGGTTGTTCAAAGTGAAGCCTATCATTGATAATCTGAAGATGAAATTTCATCTTTGTCTCAATCCTTATCAGAACTTGGTATTCGATGAGAGCCTTATGTTATGGAAGGGTAGACTTAGTTTCAAGCAATATATTCCTTCAAAACGACATAGATTCGGTGTCTAGCTTTATATTCTATGTGATTGTAATACTGGTTATATATTAGACTTCAGTCTTTACACTGGATCTACCACAACTATTCATCATGATAAGAGGCTAGGTGTACCTGAATCTCTTGTTACGAAATTAAAGGAAAATTATTTAGAAAAAGGTCACAATTTATATGTCGATAACTAGTATACTTCTCCTGTTCTATTTGAAATGTTACATTCTATGAAAACCGGTGCTTGTGGCACTGTGAGATCTGATCAAATACATTTAACTGATTCGAAAGGTATAACAGAAATAGAATTTTTGGATTTTCGACAATACTCTCGAAGTCTAGAAGGTGCCGGGGTTTTTTTGAGAGTCCGCTAACACAAATCGCATGTAGCATTATTTTGCCCAAGATTCAACCAATAAAATATTGTATGAAATATTTTATGATCGCATTTCTGAAAGATTTAGGCAGTTTATAAAATTCGAAAGTTCTGTTGAAATTTCTATTATTGAGTTTTATAGGAAATCATTTGAAATCAGTCAAACTAAAGCATTTATGAACAAGTGTTTAGACACACAGACAAACTTCTAATATTGAAATGAAAAGATCGCCGTGATGTTCACACGCTTTCAACTATTCACGAATCAAGCATGGTACCTACAGGTAAACTTGACCATATCACTAACGAACCGATAATGAAACCGATTTACATCAAACAATACAATGAAAATATGGAAGCAATAGGCAAATCGGACATGCAGATTAGTTTCTTGGAATGCGTACGAAAAACTATAAAATGGTATTAAAAGTTTTTCTTCCATCTGCTCGATGTAACTTTGTACAATGCCTTCATTTTATACAAGTTGAAGACCGGAAAAACAATGCACTTGTCAGATTTTCGATTGGAAGTGATTCGATCTATTATAGAATATGTTGGAAGTCAAAAGAACGAAAAAAAGGAAGACCACCTTTAGCAAATCCAATGAGACTCACTGCTCGACAATTTCCCTCAATCATTCAAGATTCTTCAACTGAACATACATCTGAAAGAAGAAAGAGAAGAAAGTGCCATATCTGCTATAATACAACAACAGCTCCAAAGAAAGAAACTAAAACAACTTATGAGTGTGTTGAATGTAATGTTGGTCTACGGGTTGTACCTTGTTTTGAGCTATATCATACTTTAAAAAGCTTCTGAACACATGTTTTTATAAAGTTCTTTTAGAAAATAGAAATGTTGATTGATTTATGATGAAATATACAGAAAAAAAAACTCCATCCTCAAAGGGTTAAAGACCTTCTGATTTACAAATGGATCATAGTTGACTCTAAAATTGAAAAGTCAATTCCGACATATATATACCTCATCATTCTGCTCGGTTCATTCGAGCTAGGATTAGATTGATGCAATAAAACTCCCCTCAAAAACCGATCACCACCTAGATATGTTCAAATGATATGAAATTTTAAGGATATGTTCGGACTCTAGTGGAGAAGTTATGGTAAAATTTCCAGCCCTATGTCATGATGTTTGACAGAGATATGAACCAAACCATGGTCACAAATAGCTTATTTGGCAATCCGAATTTCACTATTCGGACTCATTCTATATCTTTAAGTTTTTGTTTGAAAAAGCACCACAGAGTCTTTTTTTTTAATTCTTGCTTTTTAAGCAGAAAGCAGGAATCACAAGTTCAATGGCTCAAAATACCCCTAAAAAATGGCGATCTTTCTATAGAGATGTTTTCTTATACGATAACAAAAAAAGCTTATTTTAAAAAAGAACGCTGTGATGCCCTGGATCCTGACGTGTTCTTTCCAAAAGAAAAAATTTTTATATATAGCATACACTTGGGCAGAGAAATTTGAGTTGCGCGTTCAACATATCATGAACGGAGAAAAAACGAAAAAGATCTTCGGATTTTTCCAAAAATAGCTTATTTTTTGAATACAGAATGACGAAAATTTTGAAAAATTTTTGTCATTTATGAGAGATTAAATCACGAGCTATCTTTCCATGCATTTATCTTAATCCCACTCATTCTGACGAAAAGTGAGTTTTTTTGGCGGGAGTGCCCTTAAAACTAAAATCGTCTCGAAAGGATATGTATTTTAAATATGCCAGCAATCACTTGGTTTAATTCAATTTTAATTCGTCTAGTCTGTTTAGAGCCTAAAAAGTTGTTAAGTGCCACTGTAATGATTGTGAATTAATATTTTTTTGCGCGCCCTCTATTCTAAAATATAATTGCATTGGATTATATTCAATCATACAAAAATAATGTACATTCATTCATTTATTAAGACAAAGAGTAAAGATGTTCTTGATAAATTTTTAGAAGTCTATTCTTGTTTAATTGATAAACGAAAAAAAAACAAATCTTGTAAAAATATTATTCTCTATTTTAAAAAGAATTTGTCTATGTTTCTAGTTTTAATTTTTCCTATGGGAAACAATTACGGAAGTAAAAATCGACGAGAGTACATGATGAATTTTTTAAATACTGCACCATTTGGTATTCAAATTCCCTCGTCACTTCGAGATCCAAGAGATATTACATTTTCAATTCAACAACTTGAACAAATGAAAACAGTTGATGACGCACGCGATATAGCTCTTGGATATTTACATGATTTTAAAAAATTTGCATCAGTTTGGAATTCAAATAAAATTCATCCAGAGACAAGACGTTTGTTACGAAAACTTGTACAAATACAAACAATCAATGCTGTATGCAATAGGTTCTAGAGGAAAAAAGAACAATCAATATATTTTTTCATATGATTTTCTTTGTCTTTATTTAGTTTCTATCGACTACCTGATAATACTAGAATAGAATTAGACAACGATACAATGGCACATGCTGCTCAAAATACAAAAATGTATAGTAATAACTATGAGTATGATACAAATCGACAACAACGTTCTTATGATCAAATAGTTAAGATTTTTGTTGTTAATGAAGATTGTCTTGATACTGTAATATATTTCAAAGAAAAATATCCAAATTGTAATCCAATTGTTCTTAATATGGCTGCTGCTAATTGTCCTGGTGGTGGCTGGAGAAATGGTTTTGTTATTATGTTTTCTTTAATTACGTAGTTTTATTTTATTTTCTTAAGGTTGTGGAGCTCAAGAAGAAAATCTTCATCGTCGTACAAATCTTTTTCAATGTCTCGAAGATTCTTATAATCAATTAGAAGGAAAACGAAATTGGCATTATCCTATACCTGAAGTAAGTTTTAATAATTTTTTAATCTATATGATTAAAATTAAATTATTTTATAGTTTGGTGGTATCTATTCTCCTCATGTGAGTGTATTTCGGGGTTCAGAATCTGATGGTTATCCATTTTTTTCTCATGGTCCCCAATACGTATCATTTATTGCTTGTGCTGCCTATTCTCATCCATATATATCGAGAAATAAAGATGGACAAATGGAACTTAATGATCGAGATGTAATAAATAATACAGTGAAAAAAATGGAAACTATTTTCAAAATTGCTCTTGAGAATGAACATGATACTATCATCCTATCGGCATTCGGATGGTAAGTCTATAATTAACATTAGAAATCGATAAATCGAAATTTTAAATATTACTAATAATGAAAAAAATTCAATAATTTTATTAAATCTCTGAGTAAATAGTTTATAGAAAGAACCCTATCGGATTTGACGAACACTCTTAAATTCAAAAGCCATCTATATCATTTTGTACAGAAGCTCGTGCCAGGCCTAATGGTATGTAGGAAATCGTATTTTCATCAAGCTTTGACGTTATGAGATCTCATATACTGGTTGATGAGTACTATACAACATTATACTACTTATAAAAGTTGTGACACCAGCATATCTGCAAATTAACTTATAGAAAGTTCTGTCTAGGAGTCATTTCTATAGAAGCTTGCTTGGTGTTGAAGCGCGTATATTTGATAACTTACCTCATTGGTCTCAGAGATGCCCATGGCGGTGGCCGTTATTCGCCATTTCGCTAAGGAAATTTTTATCGAGTAAAGACAATACATGATCCTCTATTGACCAACATATGTTAGACTTTCGAAAATGACGAAAAGAATTTTTGACCCTCAGATCCATGAAGAGGAGTACGGCGACTGATCCACACTTGTGTCCTTTGTACTTTCTTATGTTTCTTGTGATTTTTGATGTTTAAGCAGTCATATAAGGTTATGGCATGCAGCTCTATATGATGCGAGGCATATTTCGTGTCTTTTTGAAACATGATATTTTTCGAAGTTCCGCGTATCCCTCGAAGGGTCTGAGAACCAAAGCTCTTTTGTCATTTTCGAAACTAATTTATGCCAATCAATAGCAGATCATGTATTGATTTTTATTTTGATAAAAATTTTCTGAGCGCAATGGCTAGTAACGGAAAACTAGGATACCATTATGTCGCTAACACGAGAAAAAAATATACCTTTTTCGGGTATTGTACGTTGATACCGCCATGTTTTGATCGACACTATGGTACACTGAAACGTGTTAAAACCGAAATTTTAAGGAAGATAACTAAAGTGGTCTGTATTAGATACGAAGAGACCAATGAGGTGAGTTATAAAATGGACAAGATTCAACAGCAATCAAGTCTCTATAGAAATGACATTTAGAAAGAACTTTGCGTAAGTTGATTTGTCGATATACTAGCATCACAACTTTTATAAACATCATAATATTCTATAGTATCCATCAAAGAGTATATGAAGTCTCATAACGTTAAAGCTTGGTGAAAAATTCGATTTCCTACATATCATTTGACGCATCATGAGCTACTCCACAAAATAATATAGATAGCTTTTGAATTTAAGACTAGTCGTCAAATTTAATTCATATTTCCTGAACTTAAAATTTCATAATAAATAATTTTTCTTATATATTTAGCGGTGCTTTTAGAAATCCTCCACGACATATTGGTAAGATTTTCATAAATCTATATTAATTAATTTTCATATTTTTCTTTTATTTGAATAATAGCAAAATTATTTCATACAGTAATTTCTAAAAAATATTCTTATTCGTTTAAATATATTATTTTTGCTATTATGGATGATCATAATTCTATGAAAAATCATAATTCTAATGGTAATATTCAACCATTTGCTGATATTTTTAATGTACCAATTTTATCTTTGAATGAACTTTAAAAATAAGCTTATGAAAATTATTTTTCTTTTTCAAATGAAATTATTTTTTGTGTATTTTTATTTTATTCTAGATATATATAGTAATAATGTCAGCATTTGTTGAATTACTGCGTAAATCAAATCTTGATTATATTGTTGCACGAAAACCATTTAAAATTGGTTCACGTAGTGATGATGTTATATTGGCGTCATTTATTGATATGAAAACAAAAAAATTACAAGTAAAAGCTTATAAGGAAAATTTTATTTCTTTTGTTTTTTTTTTGTATTAGTTAGTTGCATGTTTAGATAAGCTAGAATTAGTTACTGTATGGTCAACATCATTAGATGAACGTGCATTTCAATTAAATGCTCGTCTATTAGATATATCAGAACTTGGTGAAACAATGAATTTTCTTTGTGAACGTATAAATGAATCTGATTTTACACTTGCTAAAGCTGCATCAACAAATAGTGATGGTCAATATGAAGTTTCACAAGTTAATGTTACATTTACACATCCAAAAAACAAACAATCAATAACTCTTCAACTTTATGAACATGTTGATGAAGGAGAAAAATCTTCATTTTTAAGTAAAATTCTTTTACATGTTTATAAACGTAATGAACAATTAACAGCTGAAGTTAAAACACAACAATTACGTATTAAAGAATTATCAACAAAAACACAACGTGCACAACCAAGATCAATTGGTAGTAATCGAAATTTTGATGGAAATCGATCAATGGATTCAAATAATCAAAAAGGAAATATAAATAAATCACCAGGAAATGTACAAATGAGTTTAATTAATCCAGCAATTAAACGACGTAAAGCACCAACTGGTGTTAATTATGATGATGAAGATAGTGATTAAAGTTTTGTCAAATAAAAAAAAAATTTTTTTTTTCTTCTTGTTTTGTATCTATGTAGATAAACATGAATATTCTTGTACATATTTTTGTTAAATATCATTGTTTATAACGTGACGTATTTGTTTTCCTCTAGATGTCAAAAAAAAGTCACTATCAATAAAAAAAATGTAGAAATAAGAAATAGAACATTCTTTTAATTGAACAAATTAAATCAAAATAGTTAAGATATTTGTGAAACACGATTTAAAGATCGTATTGAAGTATTTTGAACATTCTTGCGTCTATATTAATAGCGTTTCGTCATATAATATATGAACTACTTCCTTGTTGCGTTTCTGGAAGATCAAATAGTGAAGAAATGTATCCCAAAATAGACAGAATAAAACAATTTCCCTATGATTAGCAACAGTAGTTACATTGCGTTTCACATTTTAATCTAACAGAAATTGTGCTAACAGCTTTTTATTCCGATAGATCATTTACTCGATTCAACTATACGAATTACGATTTCTTATTGATTATTTTGCTCTTGAGTTCGAATTAATATCATAAGATTTCATATATTTCGAAGTCTAACAAGTTAAAATCTTAGCCACAAAGATGGAATGTACAGACAGAGAAAAGCCTAAGAGAGTGTCAGTACAAATTACAATTCAGTTGAGATAGGGTCGCGTGAAGTGAGCCAAACATGCTAACCAGAAAATTGTGGTTCACTTCATATAGGGAAAATGAATCAATCAAAATGCCAGCCGTTACTTTACCGTCATCTAACCGTTTTCCCAAAACAGAACAATAATACTCACAACCCGGAAGTGTCATTCCCGTAACAGAACAAAAGTACTCACTACCCGGAAGTGCTTTTGTTCTGTTATGGGAATGATACTTCCGGGTAGTGAGTACTTTTGTTCGGTTTTGGAAATAGTACTTCCGGGTTGTAAGTATCATTGTTGTGTTTTGGTAATAGCATTTTCGGGTAGTGAGTACCTTTGTTCTGTTATGGGAATGATACTCCCGGGTAGCGAATACTTTTGTTCTGTTTTGGGAATAGCACTTCTGAGTTGTGAGTAGTATTGTTCTGTTGTGGGAAAGATACTTCCGGTGCTAGAGTACTATATATTTACAGTGGGTATAGTATGGACTAATGGACTCCACTTTGGCTCACTTCATACGACCTTGAGATAGCGACTTTTTACGATTACCTTCTTGCAGCATCCTACTTAGCTAGTAAAATCAAAGTCTTGAATTGTGACCTCAAACTTGGTTAACACCAAGAACTTAATCAGACTAATTTGCCTGTAAAATTTTAGAACTTCGGGTTAAACTATCCCCAACATAGTAGTATGTTAACAGAAACGCACTTTTTTTCAGAAGTATTTATACTATGCAGGGGTGGCGCGACCGGGGGGTAGTCGGGGGTGCGACACCCCCCCAATCTTCAAAAATTTCTGTTTTTTTGCTCAACAAAATCAGGAAATTTTCTTCCATTTGTCACCAAAAACAATGTTACACCCCCCGAAAAATTGCAGACTTCGTCTTTCTAGTCCAAAAAATTTCGCTACACCCCCCCAATCTTGGTTGACTCGCGCCACCCCTGATACTATGCATAGATATTTTAGAAAATTCATATCTTACGAGAGAAGATCTCTAAGTGATCCATCGCTTTTAAGTCAGAACTATGTACATTATGTATGCCATAATGAGTTATGAATATCCTGAAAAGACTTACTGCCAAGATACTGCATTTTTACAGTATTTTCAAAGCACAGTGCCGTGATCTTCTCAGAAACATCAGAAAAACTTCGACTTGAAACTTTGTATAGTGACAGGCCGCAGTGAGAATAGTATATTGTGAAAGGCTGAGATCTTCTGATTGCTCCTGTTCTAACTGTAACCTAAGATAGGAACAACCAAGAGATCTGAAACTTTCACAATAAACTATTTTCATTGAGGCTAGTCACTATACAAAGTTTCAAGTCAAAGTTGTTCTGATGTTCCTGAGGAGACCACGGCACTGTGCTTAGAAAATACCGTAAAAATGCAGTATCTTGGCAACAATAAGCTATGGAATTGAAATCTCTTAAGTTCTTAGTGCGAACAAAATTTCCGGTCAAAATTCGAGATTTTGATTTTATCGAAAAAGTAAGATGGTGCAAGCAAGTTACAGTAAAAAAATAGATATCTCAGCTGAATTGCAACTTGAGCACAATTCCTCTTACGCTTTTTTTAGTATATATAATCCATATTTTTGAACGAAATTTGAGCTTAAAAGCTTTTTCTCATCTGGAGAGGCTTTCTGATAAGACTTAGTGCATCGATTGTCACTGTCACACGATTTCGTCAATAACATCATCCTGATTTTTTTTAGACCAGTGAATTGTATATTGACTAAATGAGATTTTCTATTACAGTGATTCGAGAGAAAAGAGATCCACTGCTTCTGTTTATGATTAGTTCGACTATAGGTTAGCTTTGATCATTTAAAAATTGACTAAGGATGATCAATAGAACAGACTTGATCTCTTTCAGATTATAATGAATAAATCATCAACACCGGGTATAAAACAAATTCAATATGATCGTCAACTTCGTCTATGGGGTGATCATGGACAAAAAGCATTAGAATCTGGCCGTGTTTGTTTGATTGGTGCTAATGCATTAGGTACAGAAATTCTTAAAGCTCTTGTTTTACCTGGTCTTGGTTCATTTACAATTATTGATCATGAATTAGTCACATTAGCTGATTGTGGTTCGAATTTTTTTGTTCATTCATCAATGATTAATCAATCACGTGCCCGTATTACTTGTGATTTTTTAACACAATTAAATCCTGATGTACATGGTATCTACATTGATAAACCATCTATTGATGATTTACTTAAACAAAATACATTTGATTTTAGTCAATTTAATATTGTTATTACGGCTAATCTATCAATAAATACATTAAATATTCTTGCTAATCATTTATGGATGCTTAAAATACCTCTACTGGTTGCTCGTATTTATGGGTAAGATTGAATAGAAAAAAAAATTTACTTGTGAATTATTTTGTTTGTTTTTATTAGTTTTATTGGTACAATTCGTCTTCAAATATTTGAACATTATGTTATTGAAGCACATCCTGATGATACAATACCAGATCTTCGTCTTGATCAACCATTAAATACATTTATTAATTATTGTAATTCAATTGATTTGAATTCTTTAACACGTGAAGAACATTTACATTTGCCATCACTTATTATTCTATTTAAAACATTACAAATTTGGCAAAAACAACATAATAGAAATGATTTACCACATACACATATAGACAAAGATGAATTTAAAAAAATTCTCGATCAATTATCCCATCATTCATCATATGATATTCATGATAAAGAAAAATATCTTGAAAATTTTGAAGAAGCTAAACGAACAATACCATCACGTCTTGTTAAAACAAATCTTCCATCAACAATAAAAGAATTATTTCAAGATCAATCTTGTTTAGAATTATCAGAACAAACAAATATATTTTGGTTCATTATTCATGCAATAAAATTATTTAGTGAAAATGAAGGACAAGGTTTATTACCTGTTCGTGGTGAAGTACCAGATATGATAACAAATACAGATTCATATATTAAAATTCTAAAAATTTATCAAGAACAAGCAAAAAAAGATTGTGAAATTGTTAATAATTATCTTTTTGATTTATTAAAAAAATATCGTTTATCAAATGAATATATTGATTCATATGATCTTGCTGAAATCTATTGTAACAATGCATCATTTTTAAAAGTATTAAGAACAACAGCAATAAAAAATGAAAATAATTTAATAGATGAAACAGATTCAAATCTTTCTTGGTAATTCGTTTGTCTTTTGTTTTTAAAATACTATTTGACTTTCTTTTTTTTATAGGTATATTGGCTTATATCTATGTGATTTGTTTTATGAAAAATTTCATCGTTATCCGGGAGAATTTCTTTCCGATGACAGACAATTTGAAATTGATTTAAATGATTTAAAACAAATAAGTAAAAAACTATCTAGTAAAAATTTTATGAGTGATGATAAACAACAAATTCTTGAAGAATTATGTCGATATGGAGCATCAGAACTTCATTCAATTGCTGCTTTTATTGGTGGATGTTGTGCACAAGAAGCAATTAAATTAATAACACATCAATATATTCCTATTGATAATACACTTATTTATAATGGTATTCAACAATCCATAAATGTATTTAAGCTTTAAATGTTAGAATAAAATGAAAGTAAATTGAAGGATATTCAACAAAGTTTTTATGATGTAATGGTTGTTTCAGTAAAATTGGAAACAAGTTTTTTTTTTTATAATTAATAAAAAATTTTTTTATTGATGATAATAAATACGAAAACCAAAATTATTATATAAAACTGATAGGAAGAAAAAGTTAATATGAAAAATCAAATTTTCTAAATTCTCTCTTGGAAATAAAGCCTCAAATGATAAAAAAATAATGAAAATTGAATTCTTTCATGTTTATTTTTTATGCACCACGAAAAGATTTCATATCCTAATCGAATTTTCAACAGGAACATACACTCGTTTATAGTAAAACTAAAATAATTTTTTGAAATTGTTAACTATTGTGGTCAACTATAGACATTTTGACTAAGATTGTCGGATCAGACCCAGATTTACCTCATTAATCATCATAAAAATCTTTATTTCTATGAATAGTTAGAACATTTCTTAGCGCTTAGCAGTATGCATACATAGTGTTCTGCAGGACAACATAGTACTGGAAACTACAGCGTGTACTATTTATGCATAGAAACAAAACTTCTTAGGATGAATAATAAGATAAATTTCGGCCTATCATTGTGGTAACTGAACTCATTATAAACTTACTTGAAATGATTGATCTCTCCTTTCTAGTGAGGTACATCCCTAAGTCTTGAAAGTATTTTCAACTTACTGTTCCTAAACTCTTTAATGATATCTTAAAAATCTGGATACTTTGCTTTCCTATTACTTTAAGACAAAATCACAAATAATAATAAGGAATATATAGATGTGTATTAAAAATACATCATAATAATTGTATATGAATATTGAATAGCTGTTTGTATTTTATTCGTATTTCTTTTATTATTGCTATTGTCGAAATTAAAGAGTAGGGATGTATAAGAGCCATCTTCAGTGTCCCTCTGTATATAGAATTTCATGAGAAATCATTCACTAACAAAATCGAACCATTTCTAAAGTATTCAGACCCTTTTTTTGCTCAAAATATTGACACATATACTCTTGTATCATAGGTTGAAGATTATTTATACAAGGAAGAATAGTGAGCCATATAAACTTTCGCATAACACGACACTTCGAACAAAAAACTTTATTAATCAACTACCCATCCCATAGTGTATCGTTGCTGAAAATTTTAGTTCGAATAGTTGAATTTTTGCTGAGTACTGATATAAATATTATGCCAGACGAGCATCAGAATCATATGCTTATATTATCCCTCCTGCTCACTGTTTTCTAAATATGTTGAGAAAGGAAGAAAAGCCACATGAGTTTTCGATCGATTCTGACTGCTAGAAACAAGTGCCACCCATCTCTATTTTTGTTTTTGAACAGTATGAATATTTTGAGCAACAATGGATTTGCATACTTCAGAAATAGTTTTATTATATTGACAAACGATTTTTCATGAAATTCTACATCAAACAAGTTATGAATGAAAAGAAACTGAAGATTGGTGAAAAAATATCTCTGACACACCTCTATCCTTTAAAAACATGATTTTTCTTTGACCACATAAAGATAAAAAAAAATGAAGAGTATTAGATATCTTATATTGACTTTAGATTGAGGGTAAAAAAAGAAAGACAACTTGCTAGTTTGTATCATTCGTAATGATGAATATCAACGAATACTTGCTAATACTTTTCTTATGCTGTGTAACATTCAAATCTGTTTATGTATTGTCACTGTCTGGAACCAACCAGAAACAATACAATCAAATCAATGCTGATCCAATTCTTATTGAAATTGCTTGGACAGCTCATGATTATGATCTTCATACAATTCCTTCTTTACAACTTGTTACAAATCCTCTTGTATCACGTCAATTTTCACCAATTAGTAACAAAATATTTACAAATTTACAACAACTCAATGCTGAATATGCTCGATATGCTGTTTGGTTTCCTTATCCGAAATTAGCTGTTGCTGAACTTGATCCACCATCAGGTTTATTTCAATGTAGTAATGTTGGTGAAAATTATTCAATACATTTGTCATGTGAACAAGGTGGTGGTGTAATAAGTAAAATTGATTTTGCATCATTTGGAACAGCTATTGGTGCTTGTGGTCAAATGAAACAAGGTACATGTAATGCAGCAAATAGTTCAGATATTATTCAACGAGCATGTATTGGTCAACAAAAATGTAGTGTTACAGCAAGTACTGATCTTTTTGGAGATCCTTGTAAGTATTATTCGAGAAAAAGAAAAAAATTAAATTAATAATTTTTATACATTTATTATTTTAGGTACAGGTACATCTAAACGATTATTAGTTCAAATTGAATGTAATCCACCACAAAATAATACCTATTGGAATTTCACTCATATAGATCCAATGTTAGAAGATTTTCTTAAGGCAACTGATGGTCATTCACGTATCATTTCATTTTCTACTCAACCTACATGGCTCTTTCAACAAGATACACCACATATTTATCCAGATAATGCAACATATGTTGATTGGGGATATCCAGTTGGAACAAAATTTATTGATGATACAATGCAAACATTAGGTGATTATTATGGACGTCTATTTGCTTGGTATACACGTGGTGGTTTTATAGATGAATATGGTTTAAAACATAATTCAGGATATGAATATGATTGGGATTATACAGAAATATTTAATGAAGTTGAAGCAGAACACCAAATGACTGTTGAATATTATACTCGAGCATATGATGCTGTTATTCAAGGTATTCGACGACATACAAATAATTATGATATGAAATATGTCGGCATGGCATTGGGAAGTAAATCATTAGAGAAGATTATTGTCTGATAATATATATGTATTAGAGTGAGGGAGCTGCGAATCCTTCCAGACCCAGACTCGCCCGACTTCACAGTTTTATTTTGTTTTGCTGGGTTCGGGTTCAATCTTTTATTTTTTTGTCGAGTCCGGTTACACATTTATGTGGACTCTAGGCTCTCGAGATGAGAAATACAGCAACAAGGTATAACTGTACGTTGAGTTTTTTTTCTGAGTAGCGAATAAATAGCTAAAACCTTGGTCCTTTACTTGTTTATGTACACAAAGGGTGCCAGGTATTGATGCAAAAAATCTCGGGTTTGGACTCGGCCGGGTCTGGGCTCATAAAAACATCTACCCGCAACTCCCTAATTAGAGTTCTACGGGACAGTCCCGAATCTAGAAAAATCCCATTTGCTTCTTCCCACGGAGCAATCGAAATTGTTCAAAGATTTTTCGGGACGGGACAAACGAGACTCAATGAAATCTGGGACACGAAAAAGTTTGTCTTGCAAGATTCTAATATATCCATATATGAATCCTTTAGATCATAATGAATTTGATTGGTATCGATATTTTTTAAATCATTCAAATCATGCACCTGATATTCCACTGGATATGATATCATATCATTTTTATGCTATTGGAAGTTCACGTATTGATCCTCAAAGTTGGGAGTCATTTTTTACTCAACTTGATACATTTACATTTGAAGTTGAACAAATTGAAGAAATTCGAAAAATTCTTTCACCAGAAACACGAACAACTATCGATGAATTAGGTGTTATTCTTTCTGATGATAATAATCCAAATGCACCATTATTTCCATTAATTTATTGGAATGCAGCTGCTGCACTCTATGGTTATGCATGGGGAAAAATATCTCGATATGGTATTAATGTTGTTGGACATAGTCAACTTGTTGGTTAGTATTTGATATATTAATTATCATATGTAATTTTATTTTTTGTGAATAGGTTATCCACAATTATCTGATCTTCAGCTTCAACCTCAATATCCAAGTGTTGCTTTACTCAACTGGACAACAGGTGAAGGAACAGCTAAATATTGGACATCTAAATTATTAATTGATACAGTTGATATTGACAATGATCAAGGTGTTATAACTCGAACAACCGATATTAATAATCAAAATATTTTTAGTCAAGCATTTATTGGTAAAAATAATCGACGATGGGTTTTAATTATTAATAAACGATATGCTAATGTTGACGTATTTTTACCTGGATGTACTGGTGGTCGAATGCAAATTATTAATGAAGCATCAGGTTTTGGACCAGCTACTGAAGTTACATTAACATTAAGTCGAATAACATTAAGTCCATATGCTATTGCTATCGTTCATATGCCTGCTACTGATGTTTAAACTTCAAAACGACAATAAATAATCTTAAGATTAATGTTTATCATGAACAAAATTTAATTTATAATATAGTTAGAAATATATGAATAAAATATAAATTTATTTATTACATATTTTGATATGATTTTTGAGATGCGTGATTTCTTCAGATAAAAATATTTACACCTCTAGGTTTGGGCATTTATTTTATCTAATTTTTATGTAGCAGACATATGTTGAGTTACTCTATATACCCCGAAAAACTCAGTCTTGTAGGCATTGGTTCTGCCGAATTATTATCGAAAAACTAGCGTTAATGATGTAACACAAAAAGGACAAAGGTATTTACTGAACAAGTTTTCATTCAAAAAACTCTGAAAGCTAAATAGTATTTTTAAAAACTAAATAGTGCATTTTGTAGAGAGTTCTTCAGGCTACAAAATCTCTACGCAAAGTTTTTTCTGAACATGCTTAGGGTTTAAAAAATTGAGTTTATTCATTGTCAGCGACGTGAATGAGTACGAATATAGAAATGAAAAATCGTTTTGTAATTGAATGAGAAGTCTAAAAAATCATTGCTAAATGATGCAAATCCTTTTTGTAGATCGTGAAATGATAGAAAAATAAAATGTTTTATTCTGTGACAAGAGCAGACCTCTGAAACACTAGTTTTTGGAGGCAATCTTTTGAGTCCGATCTTACTGAAACTCTTGAACTTTTCTGTCATAAGTTTAATTAGGTGTGAGCTGAAAGATCCAATATTTTTACATATATTCATGGAAGAAGGATTTATTCAAAAAAAAAACCTTTATAAAGAATCCAATGATTATGTCCGATTTTCTCTGATTCTGTATGATTTTGACCTATTATATAACATATCATGAATTACATGCTTAATTCTAATATCTTATATCACTTTCGTTTTTTTTTTGGTTACGTTACATATAAAAAAAAACATGTCTAAGTAAATTTTTTTCACAAAATTTCGAGATAATGATTTTATAATAATTAAATAGCGAACATTATTTTTAACTAATCTCAAATTTTAATTAATTCTGAAATAATATAGAGATAAGTCCAATTTTTCTATCCAAATCATGTTTAATCAAGCTTATATTGGTCAAAATTTCAATTCCCTCATATAATCCTTTAGGCTATTCAATGTGCAACGATGCACGTTCCATTTGATGATAATGAAATATTTCTTTGTTTAACACATTATCTATATAAATAGCTTACGAAATGTGCGTATGCATGCGCATCTTCTGCTTGATAGACAGTCGAAGGATACACGCAGATACACAAGCATTATTACTCCATTCATATCGATTTGATAAGCATGAAAGAATACAGAATATGTGAGAGAATAATAGATATTATCATTTTCGCATCTGTTCAAACATTTCGATTCTTAGTTTCTTTTCTCTTGTTTATATTGACTAATTATTGGAGAAATAAAAAAATATCATCTACCAATCAATAATAACAACCAATAATAAGATATAAGAAAGTGTCTAGTTTATTTATTTTCTTTTGCTATTACCATGAATTCAATGATTCTATATCAGAAGTACAGAATCTACCTGTGTGGGAAGGAGAAGGGAAATTCGAATAAAGAAATATTTCTCTTAAAACAATAGAGAGCACAGACTTCGTACATAGCTTCTGTGATTTATTTATTAATAGGAAAATATCTAAGCAGATTTTTCTTTTATATAACTATACAACCCATGACTTTATGGAATATGAAAACTGTTTCTCTCTTATTGATGATGAACAAAGATAAGTTTTTTTTGTGCTAAATAAATCGCTATCTCTATCGTTTTCTTCATATGTGCACGAATGAAAAAAAAGAGAATTCGACTTTTCCTTTATTTTTATATCAGGAGGAAATTTTTCGTCTTACCGGTAGCTTCTTTACTCCTGCTCTATATAGGATTTTTCAAAAGTCTTGAAGTGTAACAAAATTAGTTTATATGCAGTTAGAGAATAGCTCCTAACCGAATGTTTTTTTATATAAACCTTGAGTAGTCATATTAGTCTTTCAAATAACATTTCAAAGTCTCTTCTCAAATTTTTTATTTGACGCCTGGTTTTTTCCGTCATTTTCTGCATGAAAAATATATTTTTGTTTTGATAATTCATTCCAAAATTCTTGAAGAAGCTTCATTGTAGTCAATGACTTTCTTTTTTAATTTGAAGGACAATGTCAAGATGTAGCGCATGACAGAGCCCATTTTTTGAATTACATTTTGTTACTATTATATAAAAGAATATATTCATAATCAGAGTGTCATTTTTTTGAGACATTGAACTTTTCTCTCCTTAAAAAGTAAGAGTTTAAAAAAGAATAAAATCTATAGAATGAAGGCCTACAGAGAATTTTTGAATTGCCGAACGAGCTAGTTTTGACCCTTGTTTGTTCAATATCTCCCGAAAACATCATGATATAGGACTGAAAATTTTATCATAGCTTTTTTATTACAGCTCCAACATATTCTGAAAATTTCATACAATTTAAATGTTTCTAGGCCAAGATCGATTTTTGAAAGATTGCATTAAAGATTTTTTTAATAAAGTGCTGAACAGTTCTAAGAAAAAAAGTTTATCTTATGCATTTATTTAACGTTCATTACTATCCACTGGCTATATGTTCAGTCATCGGATCGAAATAGATAAAACTTATGAAAACGTTCCGCGCAGAACAAAGATTGTATGTTGAACTATGGATGAATTATTTTATAAATACTAAGTTTACTGACATATAACTTACCAAAAATTTATTAAAGAAAACAGTACAAGAAGTTCAAACTATAAACAAATAAAAACTAGATTGTACAAATACTCAAGATTTATATTAAAAAAATTCGATTAGGGGATTATTCTCAATCTGCATATAAACTAAGTTTGTCGTACTTCAAGATTTATGAAATACCCTGTTCTTATGCTGATTTGCATGATTCATAGCTATGAAAGTTAGCATACTATTCAAGTCCATATCGCGTTGCTTTATTTTTCTTTCTAGGTCAAAACAATACATATTTTTTGTGACGAAAAAGCGAGTTATAGAGATAGACGACATTGATCATGTGTATATATATGCAGGCATACTTTTGTTGTCACCAATCAAATCATTATATATATGTTGTCAAATCAAAAACGAAACGAAAGAAAAAAAAAGAAAACGAATGTTTTCTTCAAATGAGACGGTGTCTATAATGAATCTGAATTTTATTTTTCATATTGTGGTTTTCTTGTAGATAAAATAAAACAAGGCTTTTTTTTGTTACATTGACGTAAGTAATTACAAAATTTTCTCATATGTTTGTTTTTTTAATATTAATAAGAGAATGATTTTGTGAAATCTTATGTTGCCTATATGTTCTGACAAGTTCTATTAATTTTTTTTTTCTGTAGAGAATTGATTCTAATAGAGTATTATCATTGATTTGATTTTTTCATTATTCTCTATAAAAGACAAGTGTAATTTTTTTTTGACCATATGTGACACATTTACATGAGATAATACAAGAGAAAGTCATTTGCTTTTTGTTTTTGGACATTTTTTGAATTTATTAAATAAAATGTAATGTCTCCATTGATGTATAGAATTATTTTAGAAGGTACGATTGATATTGATTCAGATTGTTTTTTTGCTGTATATGATTGTTTTTTTGTTGTATAAGATTGTTTTTTTGTAGGTCATAGTGGTGTTAATCAATTAGGTGGAGTTTTTGTAAACGGACGACCATTGCCTGAAACTATTCGACATCAAATTGTTGAGCTGGCTCGACAAGGTACAAGACCGTGTGAAATTTCACGAAAATTACAAGGTTAAAAAAAGCAACAAAAAGAACTCGAAGATCTATTTAATGAAAAATTTTCATATTATAGTATCTAATGGATGTGTATCTAAAATCTTGGGTCGATTTTATCAAACCGGTTCGGTAAAGCCGAGAGCTATTGGTGGTTCAAAACCACGTGTTGCAACACCAGGTTATTGTTTTATCTTCTTTTGTTTTTAAAGAGCATAATTTTTTTAAAATATATATGATTTTCTTAGATGTCATTGCAAAAATTTCACAAATTAAAACTGAAAATCCTTCAATATTTGCATGGGAAATTCGTGAACGTCTTCTTAATGAATCTTTATGTACACATGATAATTTACCGAGTGTAATTAAGTTTTGTTGATTATTATCATTTTTTTTTGTTTTTATTTGTTATTTATTAGGTTTCTTCTATCAATCGAGTATTACGCAATTTATCTTCTTCATCATTGATAAAATCTACTTCAAATTTTTCATATGATAGTTTACTTAATTCATCAACATCATCATTTTGGCCACCATTAGGAGAAACAAATTCAACATATACATGGACTTATCATAATTCAAAACATAATACAAGTAGAGAAATGAATTTATATAGAAAAGAAATATCTATTTAAATAATTTTTAGATGAAATAAATTCTTCAACTGAAGGAATTAAATATGAATTAATGAATGAAGATAATAATAGTATTAATGATAATGAACAATGTATAAATAATGATTTAGATTTAAAACAAAGAATACAACGTAATCGTACAGCTTTTACACAAGAACAAATAAGAATACTTGAAAAAGGTTTATTATTATTATGCTCTTTTTTTTCCTAATCATCATAATTCTCTGTTTCTTGTTTTTTTTTCATTAGAATTTGAACATACACATTATCCCGATATTTATGTACGTGAACGTTTAGCAAAAAGTATAAATTTACAAGAAAATCGTATACAAGTAAAATCTTATTTGTTTTTTTTTGTGATATAATTCAAATCAGAAAACTTTTTAATTAAATTAAGGTTTGGTTTTCTAATCGAAGAGCTAAATGGCGTCGTGAAGACAAAGCACGTAAACAAAAACATACACCTACTACTTGTGAATCATCGACAACTAATACAAGTATTCAATCGATAGTTTCTCCAACAACATTATCTATATCTACTCCTCAACAAACACCAGGTTATATTATTGAATCAAATATTCCACAATGTTATTTTTCAATGGATAATCAACAAAATTTATCTGTTAATTATTCATGTTCATCATCGAATCCAACATATTCATTATCAACAGGTAATAACAGGAGTGTTACTAAGATTGAGTAGGAAGTCGACCACTGAGGAAGTTGGACTCGCGATATTATTAGGAGAGGCTAACTACTAAAATTCGGTGGTTCCGGCTACTAAAAATGAGAAAAAAGGGGTTTGGGTTCGGTTCCCAAAATATCAGATAGATACAAAAATTTTAAATCTAATTGTTACAATTAAAAATGTTACATATTCTAGTGCTTTATACGTATTGACTGAAATCTTTAATCTCAAGAATAACAAAATGAAGATTTCTCGACATAGATTTAAGAGTTTTTGTACCTGTCTGATGGTTTAATGGTTCCAGTTTTTTTTGGAACCACCAAACTCTATCGAGTATTGAAAAGATAAGGCTCGCGACATTGAGGAGTCGATCCTTGTTACGGGAATTCTTAATCAAGCAAAAGCGAAGAAAATCGTTCAGCTTTGCGAAAAAAAAAACGGAAGGTTTTCAAGATTGAAGAGTTACTCCCCTCACTCGAGACATACCTTTTTAATAATATGGTTCTATCATATTTTTATTAGGTAATTGTTATGAAGATCTTTCATTTACACAAAAATCATCATCATCTTATCTTCCATCGGATTATACTACGCTTTCATCGAACACAATGTGTCAATCATGTATGTATTTTGAAATAATAAGAAAATTTTTTAATAAAATACATTATTTTTTCTATCCAGCCAATTTTCTTCAAACATCAATGCCATCATCAATATTTTGGAATCGATTTTAAATAATAGATTTCTTTTATTATTGACTTTATATAAATTTTAACTATGACAAATATTTGAAATAGTGTCACTAACTAAAATCAGATCAGTAACGCTTGAATAAATTGTTCATTCATTCAATCAAATATATTAATGATTGAGTAGCTAGACAAACATAAACAATATTATGATCAAAAAAGACAACGATGAAAGATTGATTCACATTTAAGATGAAGATGATTATTGCTCTTTTGTTTTGCTTTCGTTCTTTTTTTTTTATATTGTTCATTCAGTTGATCCTTTTAATGTTTAACATAGAAACTTCTTGCTTATAATTATTGTTGAACACAATTATTGAAGCAAGAAGCATTGAAATAATGCTCAGTCAAACATAACTTAATGTCAATAAGAAAACAATGAAATAGACATTGATCAAAATTGAGAATTATCTGTATTCGATTTGCATGAAAAAAAAAGAAATTTTAATAATAGATTTTCATAACTAATCTTTTCATAGATAACCAACTTTGCATTTCATTGTTTCATTGTCCAACAGATTTTATTAAAAAATTAATATATCACTAGATGCAGCGTGAACAACAGTTTCGAAATAAAAGCTTATTGAATATATGCATTGTTTGTTTTCGAAATGGTACGAAATTGATATAATATATGAAATTCTCTTTTTTTTTTGTTCAGATTTAAATATATTTGAAGACGTAAGGTCGTTTTTTTAGAAGTGCGTAATCATACCGTAATTCTCTTTTGAATATTTAGTCTTTTGATTTATGCTGAATTATTGGTCAACTTCCAGTATCGACACGTTCTAATGAAAAAAGTTTTTCTTCAATCAGTGACATTAAAAAGTAATTTGATCGTTTAACAAAAAATGATCATGTTCACATCGTCGAAAACTTGTCCACTTTGAAAATAAATGATACACATATTCAATAAGGTTTTCATATTGTATCTTGTGGTATAATTTGGCATATTCAATAAAAGTTATTGGGTGATGAAACGAGGACATTAATTATTTCTCATTCATTAGATTAATATTTATTTAGAAATTCTTTTGTTTCAGACGTATCAACAATAATATTTGTGAATATACTTCACCGTCAATTTTTCGTTCCTGTTTTATTTTAATTAAAGTTTTCACTTAGCCTATCTGATACTTCATAGGCTCATTTTCGATAGTTTGGTACAGAATATTGCTCAAAAATTCGGGTGACTATAATTAGCTTTCGATTGAGTACTTCTATGATTATGCAATTATAAAAACACAAAGGTATCTAAAAACTCTTTTTATAGAGCCTTTTGAACAACTCATTTTTGTAAAAAATTATTAAAAAAAACATTGAATTGCGCTTGAGTTCCAGAACACTTCTACATTTTCTAGTAATTTAACCCTAGCACCGATCGTTGTTGATCAAAATAGAAATATTTTTTTTACGAAAAAGATCAGCGAAGAAAAGCTCTACAAAATGAAATATGGCAAAAAGGTTTTTGGATATCTTTGGGTTTTCTATAGTTGATCACGCGTGGAATTAATTGAAAAAAAATGGTCAAGTTTTTTATTGATGTAGATCATGCTAGATTTCAAGCGAAACAATAAACTGTTGATTTATGAATAAAAATTTGAAAGTTTTTTCTTTGATCAGGAAAATAATTTGCTTATTTGGTCAAAATGGGGTTTGACATGCATAGCTATTCAACAACCGTCTTCTTTCATAAAGCTCATCTCAATTTGAATGACCATATTCATATTTCTGCAATGTGCTTTGACTACGTATGATTTTGTGATTTCAAAAAACAACTCACTATTTATTCAAAATTATTTTCAATCTTTCACTTGCAACAGGTACGTGTATAATGAAAAATCTCTTTTGTAAACAGAATAGAACCTATAATATCAACGCTTAAAGCAAATGTTCAGTATTCGATTAAACATTTGTTATTATCGTGATCTGTTTCATTTTATGAATTGTAATAAATGTTCAAGTTTTCTTTTTTTTTTTAATAAATAGTTTTACAAGTAAAAACAAAAACCTTTAGAATTTATTTCGTATTCATTATTTTGTTATTATTACAATTTATTTAAATAAACTAAACATGAACATAAAACTTATCAATAAAACTATACAATACTGTTATTTAACAACAGCTATCTGTCTTTAAGAGAAATACAAAATGTTTTATTATGTTTCCGATTCTGTTAATATTGAATGTTCATCATGTTGATATCGATGAAAAATATTTTTTGTACTATTTTGTTGCATAATTATCGTAGGAATTAAATGATCATAAGATATTGACGATGGCTCACTGATTTCTGATGTTGACATAGATTCAGGTGGTTTTGGCCATGTATGTCCTAAACAATCATCTTGTGGAGATAATTCTGTTATGAATTGAATACTAGTTTGATCTGATTGATTTTTTGATTCTTCTAATCCAATTGGTAATTGTGAAGGTTTTCGTAATCGATAAGGTACAGGTGGTGGTGAAGATTTTTTTATTTGATTTTCTTCATTTGTATTAAAATGAATAGTAATTGAATTGAGATTTAGATCAGTTATAGTTGAATGATGTTCTAATGATGATAATTTGCCATTATTATTAAAATGCATTGGTGGTAATGGTGGAGGTTGTGAAGGTGGTTGAATATAACGCAATATACGATCTTTTGGTTTTGGTGAATCAGCAAAACAATTATTTTGAATTCCACAATATGTAGAATCATGATCAATATTTGTTGATGATGATAAATGTCTTCGAAATCGACTAGGCATTGTTTTTGAACCAATTTTTATTATTTCATCTGTATTTGTTGTTGTTGATGATGATAATGATGACAGTGCAGGTGAAACAGGTAGAACATAAATATCATGAACTTTTTTTCGAAAATCAACTGAAACGTGAGAAGATGATATTTGAGTTGGTGAAAAAGAAACATTGTTGATATGATCAATGTCTTTTTTTGTACGATGACGTCGTGGTGTTGTCAAATATGATCGAGAATGATGATGATTGATTGGCATAATAGATATATTTGACTGATTATCTCGTGATTGTTCAATAGATGATAATGATGTTTCATTATCATCTGATGAATTATGAGAAATTGGATTAACTATTTGACATTTTTGACGTTGATTTCGATTAGAAATATTTGAGGAGAGACAAGGTGATTTTGGTGGCATTAATGCCATTTTTTCTGTTTCTAAATTAAATATAAAAATTTAAATCTTTTAAGTTCTTTTTTTTTGTTCAAATAATGAGTAATTGGAGAGTTTTTAAGTAATATGTTTGTCTACTTTTCATCTACAAGAAAGCATTTTCGACGAGTCAAAAGTTATGAGTTTGTGCTCTTTTCGCATATGGACTTAGAAATTTTTGTTCGAGAATAGTTAGATAATCTTTGAAAAGCTCAAAAAATTAATTTGAATGGCAAATTTTTGTATATTTACTATTGCGATTCGAAACTAAAAATTAGCGTCTTTATTTATATATCAGTTTGTAGATCAGAAGCTACCCTACAAAGTGCAATAGTTTTTATCTTTCAACAAGGTATCTCAATATCTGTTTTCAATAAATACTCATTTTCGAAAAATCGACAACTGTTTTGCATTGAAAGAAACTCTTGAAAAAATGCTTGTACCCTCACTTGAGAAGCTATAGCTTAGTTCAATATCACATTTTGTAGAGAAATGTCTGCTTTACAAAACAACTGACTCTGACAATTTTTAGTATGTTTAGAAAGAGACTTATAGAGTAAACACAAACCTACTGGGTCGTTTAAAACCACCTTCATTACTCGTGAACAAAAATAGACACAACCTTTCTAACCCAATATTCAAATTCTGGCTGCGGCCTATAGTTTTTAGTATTTTATTTTTTGGACTTTTCAGAGATTATTGCACTACTGCTGAAACAAACTTTGACTCGTCAGAAATATTTTCCACTTGGTCACAAGTGAATAAACATCTTGTCATTCAAATCGCTAACGGCTGTTTGTCTCAGATGATCCGTCCAAGTGCATGATGATTACGCTTTGACATAAATCTGTTATTATAATTAACTACTGTGTATGGAGACTTCAGACAATTGATTACAAGAATTCTGCATCACGTTAGCCTGCTTTCCAGAGCTACAACTAGTATTAATTGTAGGAAAGATATCGGGCTACTGAATCTGTTGCTAGACAGTACCCCATAACGAAAGGCAAGGAGTATTCTTCTTCATTCTAAATCATATTACATTATGAATTTAACACCATTATTCATAGATGTAAATCAATGCTTTTGTATACATTCATTGTTTACTCTCGGTAATAGACACATGAATATCATTTTAAAGGTTTGATTCAATGTCAATTTAGAAGCATACAAAAACATTTTGTATATATATATATATATATGTACATAGGAATGATAAAGCGAAAAAAAAATGTACGAAAGAAACAAAACCATAAAGAAAAGTATTTATTCATCTTTTTCAAATAAAAGATGAAGTTATTTATATTGAGATTTTCTTTTTATTCTTGATTATGATGTAACCAAGAAAAAAAAAGCTATTTCTGACAGTTTATAATGAACTTACCTATATGTGATGAACATAATGTATAAAAACAATAACGTATTGTTGCAATGATTACTGATAAAAAAAGAAGACTAATTACAATTACACCAATCCAAAATGGAATTTTATAATGTAAATCATTATCAGCAAATATATCTGGTGCTTAAAAAAAGAAAATATAAAACGATGAAAAAAAAAATAAAGTTGAATTCTTACAATCATGTTCATCAAATAAATTCTCATTCGAATTTTGAGAAAATGATGCTGTATAATTTTTCAAAACTAAATTTAAATACTGTTCCATTGATCAATGAATTAGATCATTAGTCAATCTAAAATGAATAGGAAAAAGTCATAATATCTGTTTCATAATACAGACATATACCGTTATGTCTAGACGATATATTTATATTGATAATCAAATGCATCTCAAGTTGACATGTCAAGAAAATGCACGATAACGACGACAATTCGAATAATATGTATGTAGAAAGCACGCGTGATTATTCGACTCTATATATGGAACAATGCAACTGGTTGCACTCTGTTCAATGATTGTGATGTAATTATTTTACTAATGTTGAATAATAGGGTGATATGAGGGACGTCGACATTGAACAAGACTCTCCATATTTCTACTTTTTTCTTTTCTCTCTCCCTCTCTCTCTCATCATTGAACAACAAAAGAAACACAAATAGTAATAGATAAAAAGCATTTATATATATATATATATATTAGTGAAAATTGTTTGATTATTGATTCATCAATCAAAAGAAAGAGAGGCGATCATCATCGGTCGACTATACTATTGACCTGTTTGCATCGTGATCAATATTTCGAAGGATGAATAAAAATGACAATGAAGAAAAAAAAAGAAAAGGGCATACATTTCTGAAAGAAGTATATGAGCAAATAAATCATGATTATATCTTGTAGAATAAACTGTACTACGTAGTGTTTATTTGGATACATATAAGAAAAAGAAAGAAGAAAAAAAAAAAAGATCTCTTTCATTTCTTAGATCTACTACTATATATATACATATACCCTTTTACCTGTTAAAGAAGTGCGAGTGGATATATAATAAGATCCATTCAAACGTAGTGAAGAGCACATATATATTTATATAATTCATAGTCTGCTTATGTAATACAATCAATGAAGGTATACATAAGTATGAAGAAAGAGTGAAGAAAAAGAAAATGAAAGGAAAACAAAAAAATCGAATAAACTCAAATAAATGATGAATATTGTGACAAGTAGTTTGCCCGATGACAGAAATATTAAGTATCATCTCCTGTTTGCCATATGTAATGTCCTTCCATCCTGATATGTATCCTATGAACAGAATACATTCAAAGAATCGAAGGACGATTATGGCAGAAGCAATATCATATTCTTCTATTCTATTATCGGAGAAAAAAGAACAAGTCCTTGTATTAAATTAGCCTTCATCTATCATTATATCTGTATGATAAATATACGAATAATTCTATTTCATCATCAGTGAGAGCAGGAGGAAAAAAAAACTTATTCTATTGATAGACTATGTATTATTGTAAGTAGTCATTGGTTGAAGAAAATAAAAGAACAAAAAGTTGCTTTTATGAGTCTCTTACTTTAAGCAATGAATATGACGAACTATTATTCGGTTTGTAATTTAAAAAATAGAATCTTGACGTCACTGTCAATATTTTAATGAGCATTGCTTTATATCAGTCAAATACTTCAACAAATATCGGTCATATCTACTATACACATAAGAATAAATAAGTGTATATCGACCTCGTTTCATCTTGCTTTTCATTGTCTCATCTGCTCAATATGTATACATTTATCGTCACCATAGTTTTCGTGACAAATGAACTGCATCTATCTCTATGTATTTATATACACATTTGGTTTGAACGATAAAGCAATTAACTAAGTTTTCATCGGTACTTTCATCATTTTATCTGTTCAATTCATATGATGTATACATATGTATAAAATCATTAAAAAAAAATGAACAATCATTCGGGTTTTATACTCATATTTTTTTTTTTTGTCATTTCGATCAGATGTCTTATGAAAATGCTTTATGCCATGCATTACACATACCACAACAAAAAAAATTCACACAAAATTTAATACAACAAGTAAAAAGTGCATAAATATAAGTAAAAATTAAACTATAAAATGCAAATCCATAGAGTGTTGGATGACAATAATTATTTGTATCATTTGGTTTATCTGTTCGAACACGATATCGGGCATTAAATATCCATATATTACCGAAAAAAAACCAAATAAAAAGAAATATTGCTAGAGTACCTTGCATACCACGAGTTAATGCTATTATACATATTATAAATCCATGTGTTGACTTTTGTGCATTCAATATAGACCGATAATATGTACAAGCAGATGAAAAAATAAGTAGAATAACCATAGTTAAACCACAAATACCAGAAATGATCATATACAATGGAATATTCTTATTTACAGGACATTCTTTTACATAAAGAATACCTAAAATAAGTTTAATAATAGGGAATGTAAGAAGAAAACTTAGATAAATAAGTACTGCAACAGTACTTAGACCACCGGCAGATAGAGTTGTAAATAAACCTGGAGGTTTTTCATGTGAACATTTTTTTTGTTTGATTGGTTGAGTAACAGGAATAGGTACACGTCGTTGAAAAGGCGATGGACCAATTTGATATAGAGTAGGAATCGGTGGAGGTGATGGAATTAATGATTCTAATGGTAAATTTTGATAGATTGGTCGTTCAGAATGATTTGTTATTGATAATGGACTTGATGATGTAGATGTTTGTTGTACATGTGTAGGTCTTGTACAAGGTGTCCATATTGAATCATTAGTAGGCAAATGTATTGCTGGACGGGGTATAGTAAGTATTGGTCTTGGAATACGAAATGGTTCTTGTTGCATACAACGTTGATGAATAAAATCTGTTGGACTAATTCTATTAAAATCATAGACATCTAATGGACGTAAAATAGTTGGTCGTGGTATTGTAATAGTAGGTATATAAAAATTATCCGATGAAAATGATGAATTATTACTAATTATTGATGGTAATGATGGTTTACGAATATGAGAAAACATTGTGGTTCAATCATAGAAATTTAATACTGTTCTATTTTGGAAATCGATCAAAAAAAAAAAGAAAGTGCCAATTCTTTTTCTTTTTCTTTTTTCGCTTGATGTTCAAAAGAAATACTGCGTGGTAGTGTTTGCTTGCATATACAAAAGCAAATAATATAAAAGATGATGAACGAATAAAGATGACATATAATTGAAGATTTATTATTGACTAGAAAAAATGTAGATGATGTCATCACATTTGCAAATAATAATCATCTACTTTTAGATCTTACAAATGATTACTATTTATTTCAAAATATATATGTACGTATATGGTTCATTCTTGTTATTTATTTGAACATATAATCAGTAATTTAAATTTCTGGATCTTTGAATTGTTCTATTTTTTTGATAAAAAATTCAAAAGAAAAATAAAACTTGAACTTTTTCACGACTATTTATAGCTTTTTATTTTAAAGAGAACAAATTTAATGCTCAGTATTATATACAAATTATCAGTAAGGAAAGGAAGAATATTCCTATCTTGCAATATAGAGGGTTGCCCATCAGAGCTCTTGGGCTTAATCGCCTGAACTTCTTGTACACACTGACTAACCATATACTAGACACGAGGACAGCTGTATGTCACAACTTAGTCAGCATGCTATTGGACGGACGATCCAAGATAAACAGCTGTTTGTGGCTTATCTAGGATCCTTCTATGACTGATGATACTGATCGTCTTCTTCTCGATGCATTGATTACGATTAAGGTCAGCCACTCGTTCTCCATACCTAGCCATAATTTCAAAATTAGAAAAAGTTTGTCGAGATCATGAGAATGAGACGAGTATATGTCTAAAATCTGTTTTTTTTTGAAAACTCCTTTTCGTTCGAAGGCTATACAAATGCCGATAGTGGCAATTAACAACTGGAAGTTTTCTTATATAGTTTAGATTCATTATCTCTTAACTTGTCAACTGACCCAAAATAGCTGAACGCAACTGAAATCCATTATGAGTTCCTCTACAGAAGCCTAAATCCACGAAATAGCAATGTCGTATAGGATCATGTTCTGATAATTTTCGGACTTGTGCAGTCAGCTGCCTTTTCTATTCGGACTTAGCTCGAGTGGCGGCCTAGTTTTTTTTTCTCTTATTTATTTAAATATTAGAATATTTGTTAGAAATAACAAATCTAAAGTGTACGACAGATTTTGATATAAGGATTCAAGGATTCGGGATATTATTTTTTCTATATTGTCCCGTCTTGAAAAAATTTTCGAGGCAATCTCGATTACCCCATAGGACAGAACAAACGAGCTTTTTTTTAGGTTCGGGACTGTCCTATAGGGTACTAGTTTGAACACAGTATCCATTGAATATGTGTCGAACAATGCAGCCACTCAACCATAACAACCAGCCGGTAAATAAATCAAACGATCAGTATCAATATTATGTTTGCTCAGTAAATTAATAATTATTTTTATTTTTGTCGATGAAAATATTTTGATGTTAATAGAAGAATGGTCCCCCTCATTCACCGATAACGATATTATAATATACATATATATCTTTTCTTCTTTCCTTTCGTTTTAAGGTGTATATATATAGCTATCGTTTGGAAAATAAAAGACATGTAATAATCTGTTCAATCAATCACTCGCTAACAAGATTAGGATCAATTTGGTTTTAAAATGGTAACGACGATGGAAATTATTCAAGTACAAGCTTATGTTTCTGACGAGAAGATAAATATAAATCAAATTGTAAATAATGAAATCAAGAAAAGAGTAAAAAATAGAGACAATGGAATTGAGTAAAAGAAATTATTTTTAACAATACTAAAGAATTCCAAGAGTTAATAATGAAAAGTATTATGAATGCAATAAACTTCTGTTAATTCTAATTATACTTTTGTTTTTTACTCATATAAATCAATAAAAACCTGAATCCTTTTTAAATTAAAATATTCAGCATGTAATAAAAAGAAATACTAAGCAATTAAATATAATCCTTTTTTTTCAATATCACCAAAGAAATTAATTATGTCTTTCGAATTTAGATCTAAAGTAGGATTTACTCTGGTAAAAATATTTTTCATGTGCTCTACAACTCAACAAGTTTGCATGTACGAAGTCTTCATGACATTTTTCATTCATTTTTAATTGAATTCAAGAGCATATTGTTTGCTCGAGGTTTCATGCTGGAAGGTCATTAAACACACATCTAGGTGAATAATATTTAACGAATATTTGTAAATTTTTAACATTGGAATAAACTCATTCATCAATATTTGTTTTTCATGACAATTGTATAAGTGTTTGTAACATTTCTCCCGAGAATTTCGAAATTTGATACAATCAATAAGGAATGAAAAGAACAAATCTATACTTATTTCAAAATGGATATATTATTCATCATAGATTTTTTTTTCATGAACAATGAATAAGAAAATTTACTTTCATCCAAAACTTTCGCTTGTACGTTGAAAGGAAAAAAAGTAAAATGAGTATATATAGATTTTATTAATTGAATCATCCAAAAGAAATTCATCATCTAGAGTATTTATATTGAATAGAATATAAGATTTGACAATAACAGCGAATGAGTAAAAAAACAGAACCAACTAAAATTTTTTTTTTTACATACACTCGTTGACGATTAGAATTACGTCTTGTTTTTTTTTTCTATCGACCATAGCTTTTATACCAAGTCTTCATAGTACAATATTTTACATTGGTATAGCAACAAAAGTAAAAAATTATTAACACACCATTAAAGATCATATTCTACTTTACAATAACTGAGTATTTATAGTTCATCATTTATTAACATGGCAGATGTAGAGAGAGGAAGGAATGAGAATAAAGAACTCGCTGATTTACTTCCAAAAACTTTAATTGTGATACTGAGCTCAGTTCATTGTCTTATTATGCTATGTATTATACTTGTTATTCCAATACTTGAAGTAGCTATTGGTGCATCATATCGTGGTCAATGTCCGATTAATCCAAATATTCCGATCTATCTTATTGTAACAGGTGCATGTGGTATGACTACTATTTTTCTTGTATTAGTCATAGTAAGATATGATTTTTTTAGTCTTTTTTTTTCTTCTAAAGAATTAAGTTTAATTAAAATAGATTGCTGGATTTATATGGTGTGTTCAACGAAATTCTATTGCTGCAACATGTACTGTAATGTGTCTTATTTTTCTTATAGCATCATTTATGATATTGATGAGTTTATTTTTATTTGCTTGGTTTATTGTGGTAAATAACGTGACGGAAATACAAAATTAAAGCACAATTCTTTGTTTTTCTTTGCATTATATATGATTAGATAGAGCGTGACGAGCTAATCGAGAATATATACGTTTCGATAAGTTTTCAATTGAGAATTTGTTGATTATCAAAACTTGACCTATTTTTCAGAAAGAGTAGATTATCTGATAAAATTCAAAATTTTCACGTAAGAAATCATTTCAAAAAAATGGTAAATGCGCATATTTTTGATCAGATCGTCACACTCTATCTAACCATATATAAAGCAAAATAAAATAAATCCTGCTTTAATTTTGCATTCTAACTACATTATTATTTTGATTAAAATATTTTATAATCTTAAATAGGGTAATGTATGGATATTTGGAGCAAAAAAAAATGTTCAGTATGATTCATCGATGGATAATTATTGTCATCGTACATTATATGAATTTGCATTTGCGATATTGATTATAACCTATGTTTTGCCAGTTGTTGGCTGTATTGTTCAATGCATTCGTGGTTGTTGTCAAATTAAAAATAATTGAGAGATAATCAAAGTGAAATTATTAAGAACAACAAAAATGATATTTATTATAATTTTAAAGAGAAAACAATAAATTAAAAAAAGACTTTTTTTTTTGTTCTATACAGTACTTTCCAATGGAGATATGTTTTTAATAATTAAATATTTTGATTTCTTTTTTTCGTTTATTATAACGGTAATTAGAAAGTTGTAATGCATTTTTAATTTTTTCTATTTACTATTATTTGATTTATTTGTATTCATCATGATTAACATGTTTATGACTTTATATATGTTTGCGTATTTGATTTTAATATTTCACTTCTAGTTTATATGGATTTGAGATCAAGAAAAGAAAAATCAATATAATTATCGAGAAAAAGATATTTTGAAGTTACATTAAATTGATTATATGTTTAAAAAGACTATGTGAACGTCCAAAGTAAGGCTACGTCTCATCACGGATTGAAGGAGGAAACTGATGTTAATAGTCTGTAGATCAGTATTATGTTCGGATTCTTATTGATGAACTAGAGAGAGAGAGAGCAGTGGCATTTCAATTAATACAATCATCAATGGGATAAATTAAGTTTGAGTCTGTGAAGTTAAGAACGGTTTTATACATAAGAACTGCTTCAATAGAAAAATATCCATAAACGCTCGAATTTTTACTTAATTTATCCAATGATTGACATATGCTGCAATTCACAATATTTTGCAATTTTAGAAAACAAAAATATTTCGAAGAACAATTTTTCAAGCAAAAATTAGTAAACGACGCAAAACACTCGTTCTGACAGCTCTATTATGCCAATAGGAACAATCTAAAGAATTTCGTGGCTCAGAATTAAATTCGATATTCAATGATATAACAGTAAGCTATTCATAGAGCACGCTAACTTTTGAAAACACGAATTTCGAAAATGCATTCAAAACAGCATATCACCAAGTGTTAGTTCCAAGCATTTTGCAACAGAATGACATCATTAGAAGTATAGAGCATAACATTTGCTGTCTATTGATGCTAAATACTTTACATTTAGCATCGAACTTGATGGGCATAACCTTACACAAATCGTTAGGTATCCGCAGAAAGTCGCAGTTGAGAAGGTAAGCAACTGTTCATCTTTCCAATTTTTCGTCGATAAGAAAAACTTATTTAAAAAAAAACCGAAGTCCACATTGTTGTGGAGGAAAAATTCTCTACAGAATGGTACCTTTGAACGGTATTTCCATTCTCCGAAAATAGAAATCAAAGTGTTCTATTATTTATAGTTCACGTGGCATTAATTAAAATTTTATTGTTTCCTATCAGCCCATCGATAAGCATCGGCATACAACATCGATCTATAAACTGGATCGAGTTTTAATATCAGTTTCTCATTTAATTCGAGATTGGACGCTAACATACATGTACGTATATATATATATATGTCAATGATCGAAAATTTTCTCTTGATTATTTGCTGTATTTTTTGATTAATTAAATATATAACAAATACAAGATGATATACATAATGCATAGTTAATGAAACAAAGCTTTGGTCAGAATTCTTACATGAATGTTACTTATTAAACATTAAATATACTTTTTTAAAAAATATATGACTTCAGTAAAAAAAGAAACAAGTTTTTGCTACATTATTTCGATCATAATATTCATTCAATTGTCTATTGTATTTTCTATATGAATTAATAATATTGATACTTTTTTTTACATTAGTTTCTTTAAATAAGCATTCGATTTTGATTGAAAGACACAGAACAGTAACATGAATAATTTGTATGGAACAAGCGAGCGAATAAAAAAAGAAAAACGCTATGCTTTAGTTGAAGACTTATTCAAATGTATATAATCAAGTGAAAAGAGTATAAAGGATAAAAAAAACGTCCGAAACGAGAGACCAAGGCAAACAAGTATTTGTGTTTAACATATTAATCATAATCATTTTTTTGTATTACACATAAATGAATCCAACATCGAAAGAAGAAACTAACGAGACTATTCCGTTAAAACCTCTAATAAGTCCAAAGCCTTATTTGCCAGTATCTGAAGTTGGTCGAACAGTTGGCACGACATATTTTCTTTCGTAATTTCAATTTTTACATAATAATAAAAATATAAACTCTCATGTTTCTAGTTCAACACTAATTGCATCTATCATTCCAATAATTCAATTAATAATTGGCTTATATTACAAAGGAGATTGTCGAATCGATCAACGTATTCCAACTTATATGATCGTAGCTGGCATCTGTGGTTTAGCATTAGCTGGACTTTCATTATTTCTTTCCATGTAAATTAAAATATAATAAAACTATTTTTATTTTTATATTTCATTTTAGTACATTTAAGTGTTTTCTTTCGGATTCAGCAGTAGTAACAGTATTGGCTAGTTGTGGTATATGTTTAAATTTGGTAGCAACATTTCTTATTTCAATTTTTGTTTTTATTTGGTTTATTCTTGGTTGTGTATGGGTATTTAGTGTTCGTTCTCAAGTACAATTTAAAGATTCTATAAAGCCTGGTTATTGTCAACCTGTCTTGTATAAATCAACATTTGCATTACTCATTATAACAATTATTTGGGCTTGTATTCAATGTTGTTTATCATGTTATCGAACATGTAATCCACGTCGAAATCCTTAAATTAACGAAGAATTAACTATATACTTTAGTATAGTTTTCTGCGTGATATTTTCTTATTAATAATTGTTCTCTTAAAAAAAAGACTTCAAGAACATACTCTATGTTTTACTGTGAAGTTATTCATTAAAATATATGAATTATGCCAGAAATATTTTGAAATTTGCAAGTTTAACATGATTTTTTTTGTTCAATTATTCTCAGGTGAATAATTTCGAAGCGTAGAGCCCGTTGGGTTCAAATCTTACAGACTCGGTCAAATCGTACTTTGATAATATCAATAAAATTGGGTAGTCGCTCCGATGATACCAAACACTTTTTTCCGTTTTTTTTTGTATTCAGTGACTAGTACACGCTACACATTGCTCAGACGACTAGAACCCATTGGATCCAAAATTTTCGAACTCGGGCCCAACTTGATGGGCTCTACCAGCGAATAGTCGTTGGAAAACTCGACGAAATTTTAGAAAGTTGGAAGATGAAGTCTGTGGATCAGATTTGATGGCTGAATTTTTTTTGAAGTTCCGATCGAAACCAGACACTGGATTCCTTCGGATAGTATAAATTAAATTCTTTGATCACCACATGCTTATATAAATCAATCATAGAAAACTGATGATTCATCACATTGAGTGCTCCAAAGAAAATTAATCGAGGTATTTTTTTTCTTTAGGATAACAATTTATTTGTTAATTATCCGATATGTGATTTCAATATTTAATCTGCACTATGTGATGATTGTTGAAGAATTCTAGAGAATTTAGCAGTGCAAATGAACAAAATGTTGATCATAAATTCGAAAAGAGAAAGACAAGCAATCACATCATGAAGTGACGATCTAAGAAACATCATTTTTGAAAGGATTATTCATTTTAAAAACATATGATCAGATTAAAACAGAAATAGACTCGATTCCGGTTTATAAGAATTTTAACTGAATTGAAGAAGAAATTTTTTCTTTTAATTTCATAAGAAATAAATAAAACTATCTGATTTATATTTCAACTGAATCCTCTTATTTCAAACTACTGCCATTTAAACTTCTGCATTATAATAAAAGATTCTTCCTATTAAATAATCTCTCGACCAAAGTAGGTTCCCTAAAGGAACGACACTCTTGACATAATAGAAAAATGTCCATTCGTTACAGTGTTAATGAAGAAATTGTAAGTTTAATTCCTATATTTAATCGAAAAATTCCTATTTTTCAAGATTCTAAGCTTAAAATCAACGAAGACTGAAGCTAAAAAAATTTTTCTATCTTTTCCTTTTTATCACAAAAAATTCTCTCAATTGCTTCACCCTTTTATGTTTTTCTGACAAATATTTTTGATTATTAGTGACTACAAAAAAAGAAGAATTGAACAGAACATTCCCCATGGAATATTTATCTGCATGGACATAATAGAATACTCGAGATCTTCTATTCTAGGATAAAGGTTTAATTATATATAGAGATCCATGCTTTCCTTTTAGTTCTTATTTACTTTATTCCTATACAAAAAAGAGAAATATTCATATTGAAATCAGTCTATATCGAAATACTTTTTTACCCTAACGGATATAATTAGTTTGCTTTTCTTCGACAATGAAAGACAAGAAATATCTGAATAGTTGGCTTATATGTCTATATATTGATCGATATTATCTCCATAAAGCTGTGGATTGAACCAAATTGTAATCATTTCCAAATCAAAATATACAAAAGAGAAAGAGTTACAAACTAAGTTTTCAAATGCTGATTATTTACATAACAATTCGTGTACAATGATTGAGAGAAAAAGATTTCTCATTTATTTTTCATTGACAATATTTCTTTTGTACAAATGAATGGATACTTTGCATTTTTATCATACCCGTTGAATATTTACAGATACTGATCCAAAATATGAGATTAACGTATTTTTTATTGTTTTCTACGATACTAAATATTTAATAGCAAATTCAAATAGTGGTTTGAATTGATAATGAAGTTCTCTATCAAACACATTCCATACTAAGATTTCAAACATGGGCTATGAGAGGAAGGTTTCTGAAAAGCCAAGCACGATAGTTTTCAGTATGACAAATTAGTTAAAAAAATTATAAGCATCACAAAGCGAAATGTATCATAGCATTACTAAAAGACGTATTTTTTATTTTTTCAGATACTTATAACTTCTTAAGAAAAAGTCGTAGGAAACAGGACTTCCAAAACTATTGTGTTTGGTTTTTCAGAAACCTTTCTCTCATAGTCTATCTTTGACATTTTCGTATGGAATGCATTTAATAGAGAATTTCATTGGCAATCGAAACCACTATTTGAATTTGAGTTAAATGTTTGATATCGTAGAAAAACAATTAAAACTATATTAGTTTATTTTGATTAGTACTGTATCAGTAGTTGGATTAACAATATTAAAGAGTTTATTCTTAAAATTTTTTTCAAGTTTATATATTCAACAAAGAGAAAGTTTTTTTTTTCTTTCATTAATTATTTCTCAGGTGTTGATTGTCTCCAACGGCGGTGAAAATCATCAATATGTTGTACAATTACTCCTATGAGAAAAAGCAATAGTTTGCTTTCGATTTATTAAAAGAAAAAAAAGAAGATTTTACCATCTTTTTCAATTGTTTGTTGTTCTTTATTTGTTAATGATCTTGCAAAAAGTAAATTAACTGTTGACATTGAATTAGTTGTTGTTTGTTTATCAAGACTACTTTGTTGTGTAAAATAAAGACAACAATCAATTATTTCTTGAAAACGAATAAAATCTTTGTTTTTATTATTCTTTTTTTTATTTTGATTTGTTAATCGTTCATGTACAGCTTGTGTACGAATAAATCTAAATAAACAAAAAAAATTTTTAATATTCGAATAAATCTACATTCATATCGAAAATTAAATTCAGTTCATGTCCGGTTAAAGGATAAGTCTCTTGTTACCAAATGAAAAGTCGAAATTAGTTGTCCTAATTTTTCCTGAAGTTCATATCGTTTTAGTTTTGGACTTATCTATCAGCGTACCACTTAGAACATTCATAAACATATTCAAACTCCAACAAACGCTTCGAAATGTTCTGGAACATTCTAAGCCTTGTCATTAACGCTATTCAGTGCCTGCTCCCGTTACTAAAGAGTCCTGAGAAAAGAGTAGAGTGTCAGTTGTCCTAGAGTCAGTCTCTGAGAAAATCAGTCATTCTTGCCCATCGACGATGGAGGTGCATCTCAGAATTCGCTGTTTTTTTTATATATTATAGAGGGTAGTAAGTTTAGTATTTCTTGAAATTTTCAGCTCGATCTGATTACTTTTTCCTATACAACCAACCAAAATACTAACGAAATTTTTCGTAATTTTTTATAGTAATTTTTTATCGGTTTTTACGCAATTTTCTTTAGTAAAAGTGACTTTTTTGTCTCAATTCGTAAGACTTTTGATTTCTTGTTTTTCTAACTATAACTATTGAAGTCTTGTCCTTCTATATACAAAAATTCAAAAGTTTTCATCGTCTTACCAGGGTTTCCGAAGTACTTGTTTTTATATATTTTGTAACCAAAATGTCGGTCAATCGTATTTTATGCAGCAACAAGCAATCACTCTGATATTTCTACTAGTGATAGAGGACATCAAGTTCTACTACCTAGGATATATCACAATTTTGTACCTTGAGAAAAGTCATCGTTTTCCTATCATTAATAAGATATGTGTGAAAATGCTGGTCTATTTGCCGTAGACTCTGCTTTCATGACTGGTTAATATTTTCTTGTTTAGCTGTGTTTTTTGTTGTAGATAGTATAGTGATATAAAATTACTAAATCAGACTGTTGACACTTTTACTATAACCAAGAAAAGGATGGTACCCTCAGAGAAGGGTACTTTCGTACAAAATGGCATAAAACAAAGGATATTTCGAGATTTTGATAGACGAAAATTGATTTATATCAGAAATAAACCTGATATTCGGAATCAGCATGAAAAACTACACTAGGCAACATAGTTTTCATCTTGAAATATTTTTTATGAAAATTTCACTATATTCACCTTCAGTCATTCACTACTAATATATTACCCTGTGTTCCCCTACCGGTCAAATCTTGATGGAAAATATTTCATGAAGAAAAATGTGTTGCCTAGTGTTGTTTTTCATGCTGATTCCGAATATCAGGTTTATTTCTGATATAAATCAATTTTCATCTGTCAAAACCTCGAAATATCCTTTGTTTTATGCCATGTTGTACGAAAGTACCCTTCTCTAAAGGTACCATCCTTTTTCTGGTTATAGTAAAAGTGTCAACAGTCTGATTTAGTAATTTTATATCACTATACTATCTACAACAAAAAACACAGCTAAACAAGAAAATATTAACCAGTCATGAAAGCAGAGTCTATGGCAAATAGACCAGCATTTTCACACATATCTTATTAATGATAGGAAAAAGATGACTTTTAATCAAAAGTCCTTGACTTTTCTCAAGGTACAAAATTGTGATATATCCTAGGTAGTAGAACTTGATGTCCTCTATCGCTAGTAGAAATATCAGAGTGATTGCTTGTTGCCGCATAAAATACGATTGACCGACATTTTGGTTACAAAATACATAAAAACGAGTACTTCGGAAACCCTGGTAAAACGATGAAAACTTTTGAATTTTTGTATATAGAAGGACAAGACTTCAATAGTTATAGTTAGAAAAACAAGAAATCAAAAGTCTTACGAATTGAGACAAAAAAGTCACTTTTACTAAAGAAAATTGCGTAAAAACCGATAAAAAATTACTATAAAAAATTACGAAAAATTTCGTTAGTATTTTGGTTGGTTGTATAGGAAAAAGTAATCAGATCGAGCTGAAAATTTCAAGAAATACTAAACTCACTACCCTCTATAACATATCAAAAAAATCAGCAAATTCTGAGATGCACCTCCATCGTCGGTGTCTGAGTCTCTAAGAGACTTACTCTTAATTACTATGGAAGTGTACCCAATGATCATTCTCGCCTCTTCTGTTGCTAGTTGAGTTTGTCAGATCCAAAATTTTGGGACTCGATCGAACTGCATTTTAATACTCTCAATAAAATTTTCTAATCAGAACTAAATAGTCTTCCCCAAGATATGAAAGATTTTTTTTTATATTCGGTGTCGGAACACATAATGTAAGTTTTATAGCATACCTATTTCCAAGACGAAACTGGTTTTCAAGCCATCGAATAGCATCACGTGCTTCACGTTGTTCTTTTTTTAATTCATCAAGAATATCAATTACTTAAAAAAAAATTTAAATAAAATAAATATTTGAAAATTTTTATCAAACAAGAAAACAAACCAACAAGTGGAATAATAATAATAAAACGTTGTGATTGAACTAATTTTTGTACTAAATTAAGATTTGTACATAAAACCGATGAATCAATAACAAGATAAGGTGGTAAAGAAAATTCTTCATTTTTTAAACTATTTTCTAATTGACTTATTTCAGCTTGTAAACGAAGTGCGGCCATATCACGCATTAAACGAGATTTACGTTCTTCATCAACAATTGTATCTGATGATTGATTTGATGATGAATCTATTGTTAATGTTGATTGTTCAAATGAATTTGAAGCAATAAAAGATAATTTATCATTATCATAATTAAATTGAGAATTTGGTAATATTGATGTTGCATAATAACCAAAACGACGTAGAGAACAAATACGAATTATTGTCTACAAAGAGATGAATAGAAACAAAAATAAAATTCTTTGTTTTTTCTATTCTACTTCTTACAGATTCAAGCTTATTTAATGATGATAATTGATTTAAATTTAATTTCATATAATTTCGATCAACTTTCAATGATTGAAATGAACGTAATCGAATATCTTCATTAAGCATTGGTGATGGAAAAATAAAAACTTTTGTTTCAACAAATTTACTTAATAATGGATAAATCGATGAATTTGAAGGAATTAAACCTAATTAAAATTAAAATTAATATTAAATAAATATGTAGATTTGAACATACCACTTTTCAAAATATCACGTTCATGAGGTAAAAAATTTAATAATAAAGCTAATTTTGACCATAGACCAGGTGATATCTATATCAAATAAAAGACAGATAAATTTAGATATATATATATATATGAATAACACAAGTTCATTAAATATACAGGTAATAACATTTGAAGAAGACGTTTATTGCCAGCAAGCCAATCACAAAAAATTTTTATAGCAGAAAGAAGAAATTCATTTTCTAATAATTCAATTATTAATTTTGTACCATGATGAAGAGTGTTTCTACAACAAAAATATATTATCTTTTTTTTAGATTAATCATTCACAAAGAATCTATTTAAAATATTTAATGTATTGTCATGAAATAGAATTTTGAATTTTCTAATAAATGATTTAGATTTTATACAATTGCTTCGACATGTAACAGATAACATCCAATAATTATTTGAAATAAATCTCAACTTTTTGCTTGCAACTAGAGATGTGTGCAGGACCAGTTTTAGTCCCGGTTCCAGTCGCTGGAATCAGGATCACGAGAAAACAGTTTGTCTCAACAGGAATTAAAAACTATACTTAAATATTCTATGGTTTTAAGCGAATTATCTTATAAATTATTAATTAGAATGAAAGTCAAGAAACAAGTATGGAAGAATTTTTTTAAATGTGATATGAACAAAATTCTGAAATAATTTCCTCTAGACTGAGACTAGGACCCAATAAACTTGATTCCGCACATTTCTACTTGTAATTGATTGAATGGCTGAGTGGATCTAACAAAAAAAAAGTGATCTGTTAGAATCTAAGATACGTAGTACGGTCGATGCTTTTTTTACATATGGACATCAAAAATTTTCTTGTTATGTGATTGTCGCGTCATAGACTCACGGATTTTCTTCTTTTACGAAGTGAATATTCGATGAAATTTTCAAATTTTCTAATATTTTGTATAGATATTCCATGTCTGTTCATATACACAGCATAGATGTCCATCGCGGCTAAGAATCTGTCGCTGTCGCGATGTGATGAACCGTAAAAATAAACGTTGCCGCTGTCGCGATGATATTCAAAAAAGTGTTTCGATTTTCAAGCCCACAGCTCATTTGAACTAGAAATGCTGCTGCTAATTGACCAAATCTGTTAAGTCTTACACCGAGATTCTATGCAAATTCATGTATTTTTGAAATTTTTTCCTAAAAAACTGCTGCGATAGTTTTTGAAAATATCTGCCGCTGCCACTGCGACAGTGGCGTCGCCATGGACATTTCTGATACACAACCATTTTTATAAATAAAAACTTGTTAGTGCAGCTCTTTTGAGGCTAAAATGTGAAACTTACTTGTGTTCTTTAGCCTCATTAAATTAATACGAAGTACGTGATTAATCGTCAGAGAAACGATCTATCTTATTTATTTGTGCATTTAGAATAGAAGTTTCCTTCTTATTGATGTTCTATTCTTTGTTAGTTCTGTTGTTATTCCCTCGTTATTTCCCTTTTTATTATTTTAACCATTGATTTAACTGACATCCATTTTATGCGCATTAGGTTTCAACATATTATTATGGATCTCGATAAATTCAAAAACATTGATACTGATTATTTCTCAATGTTATAATTTGATCAGTTCATGTTATTTGCAACAATCATATGGCGACTGCAACACATCAATAGAATATCATTCATCATCTTTGACATCTATCATACAAGTGTTCATCTGTATAAAAATTAGAAACTACACTGTTTATAACATTTACAAACGTATTCTAGCCATTTAAATTACAAGGAAGGTTTTTTGAATTGTTCACGAACAGTTTAAGCTTGGTTGTTCGTGCCGTTCAACAAACTTTTCCGTTGCTAAAGAACTCTGGCGGCTATTGCCCTCAGTCACTAGGAGAAGAGTGCTCATTTATCTCTAAACCTCTCCTCTGTTGCTACGATTCAAAACAGAGTAGCGAGTAGCCAAAAAACTTCGTCTTAAAAATTACATTCCTTATTTTCTTTCGAAAAAAAATATAGGCGAATTTCACAAAATCCTATGTTGTATAGATGAAAAATTTGATTCAAAAATCAAGGTACGTCTAATGTCAAGACAATTTCTATGAATCTTAAAATAATTCTTCAAGAATAGCCTTACTGATCATTATCAAGACCTTGTTGTTGTTCATTTGTTGTATTATCAATAATAGGTTCGAGTTCAAATTCAGCCATTTTTTGTTCAATTTCTGCAGCTGCTAAAGCATCACTATTATGTTCAAATCCTATAAAAAGTATAAATTGTCTATTGAACCGAGACAAAAAAAATTCAACTATTTACCAGGTGGTACATTAATTTGTTTATTTCCAATCAGAATAGATTTAAATGTTTGATCATAATTATATGTTGGCATTGAATATGGATCATCAGCGGATGATGTTTGATCAAGAAAAAGTGGTGATGGACAATCATGTGAAGCAAATGCAGCAAATAAATGTGTTGATAAATCAGTAAATGAAAAAAGTGAAGTTTGTGATGGTTGTGAATCATTATTATTATGAAAAACAGCACCACTTTGTTTGATTTTTTCCATAAATTCTTCAAGTGCTATTTTAATTGCTAATTCTATAAAAGAAATTTTTAAATATAGAACATTGAAAGGCGACTATAAAGTTTTGACTACAGAACGGGATCTATGTAAGCTAATAGAGAAGAACTTTTAATACTGTATGCATTACCAAGTTCTACTACGGCCTGTTGACATGCCGATAGATGGCGCCACATTCATTGCATTCTACCGTGGCTGCGACCTTAGTAGAATGCAACGAAAGTGGCGTCATCTATCGACATGCCAGCAGTACGCAGCAGAACTTGATAATGCATACAATCTTATAAGTATTTCTCTATACGCCTATATCCCATTCTGTAGTCAAAACTTTATAGTCGTCTTTATTAACCTTCAGCTTCTTTATCTTTTTCATCTCGAACAGTTTGTTTTGTTTCTTCATTTTCATCTGATGAATCTCCCGAAAGATAATCAGGTATTTCATCTTCTGATCTATCTTCATCTGTTGAATCATCATCTCGTCGTTGATATCGTTCATTGGATAATGAACGTTCACTTTGATCATCACTTTTATTATCTGATGATGAAGCACTTTGTCGACGACGTCGAGACATCATCATTTTCACTCGACGTCGTTTTTCTTTAGCTTCTGCCTTTGGAATTAAAAAATAATTCTTTGAATTGTGTTTTTTTTTTCATTGATTTAAATACCTGTCGACGTTCTTCTTCTTCTTCGGAATCATTTTCATTTGTTTTTGTACGAGCATCGTGTAATTGATAAAAAGCATTTTGTAAACGAATTATTGTATGATTAACTACATGTGAAAATAGAGCAACAGCAAATGCAATACCAGCAAAAAGTATTGTTTCTAAAGATTTAAAATAGTTTTTAAAAAAAACATCAATGAAAGTAAACAACATATTTACGTTTAATTGTTCGACTACGTGTACGTTGAATACGATCAACAAGCATCATTGATATAGATAATAATTTAAATACAAGATCATCAGACAGAATAGAATCAATTTGATAAAACATACAAGCATTAAAATCATTTAATGTTTGTTGACCTAATTCTTGAATTTGACCACTGAATTAAAGTTTAATAGTTCTAATTTTTTTTGCTAAGATTTATTTTTAACTTACATATTATTTGATTCAAGTAATTGATGGGAAACATGTAAAAATTCGACAAGAAAACGACGAATTTCACGATGACTATTAAAACAAAGTTATTTTTAGAATCTGCATAGAATATATAATTTTTCGTAGGCACGGACGCCTATGATTGTTTTTTATTTTTACTTGTACGATTAAATCCAATATAACAATGGCTGTTCGCGTACTATTGGTTTCGAACTCTCTATGATTTTGTAGCTTTCGCATTGTCCGTAGTTTTTATAAATATTCTTTGTCTTAATTAAATATAAGGTTTTTCTTGTCATGAATCTATCAATTAGCATAGTCACCCATGGTCTTAACAGAGTTTCGTGACTTAATTCGAGGCATTCTTTGATAGATAACTTCAAAAATCCTTATGATAACTCACTCTTTAGATCCGATTGAAAGCTTTTTTAGGATATTCTTGAATAGAATAAAACAATCTTTGAGTTTTTCATCCGATTGCATTCGATTTAGAATTATTGTGGAGAATTTGTTAAAACATTTTTTTATCGATTCATTTTCCAACGAATGCATCCAACCACAAAAGCTATCCAGTGGAAAAATAACGTGAATATCTTTTAATCAGTTCACATAATTTATACAATCTTTTCTTTCTTAAAAGATGATAGTATGTTCCTTGAAGTTTTATTCCATATAGTTTCAATTAAATGTCTATGCTACAAATATTACAAGACAAATAGTTGTATTTATGGTCAAATTTGAATCATTTATAGTTGTAAAACGAAAAATACAAATCAGACGTAAACTTAATTCATGATATCTTTCACTGCTTTTCTGAAACTCGTACAGCAACGAGTTGATAATGCTCTGAAAGATCTTCAATAGTTACATAAGAAAAAAATCGATGAATGTTATGTTGTTTGTAAAAAGAAATAAGCCAATGTCGAACATTCGAATAGTTATATCTTTTAATGAAATGAAAAACGCTACAATTTGTCGAACATCTTCACAAATCAGATTCACAACATTAAATTGAATTTAACTAATTTTCATACTCCCAATAACAACCAATATGATCTGTGACGTGTTGCTGCTCTCATCTCTGTCATATCTATGAAAAGTTGTTTCTAATGTGTCTGTGACGAACTGTCAATCCTTTCTGTCATGATTTGTGAAGTGTGCAAATTTCTACTCCAGATACTTCAACACTCGTGTTAGATTGTGTTTTACAAAAATTGATGTCTATAAGACTATTTTGAAATATTTGTTATTAATTAAATCAAATGAAATAAAACTTTCATCAACATACTATCATATTATAAAGACAATAGATAAATCACTTGAACTGTTTTAAGACAAATCCATGGATTTTTTTTGTTTTTCTTCATGAAAAAATTTTAAAGTATTCAATCAATGAACACAACAAACCTTGTTTTATCATTTCGATTTTTTGTTTGTTGTTTAGTTAATTCCAAAAAACGTTTTTCATTACGTTCAAAAAGCATTTGTAAATTATCTTTAGCACCATCAAATGGATGTACTGTACTCAAACAAAGTAAATAGAAAAAAGCTGCATCACAACTACTATTCGATCGACCAGATAAAGTTCCTAATTGATTTAATGGCATTCCTAAATAAATAAAAATAAAAATAAAAATAATAAAATTATTATTTCTATAATACAAACCAATCTCGGGATCGAGAAGTACTGCCATAGTATAATATTTTTCAGCTGTTTGCATACAACCATCATATTCACTTAAATATCTACTAATATCACCCAAACAAACTAAGCATTTATGAATAAGTTTTAATAATGATTCAATTAAATTTTCAATTTTTGTTGTTGTTGTTATTGTTATTGTTGTTAGATTAATAGCTAAACTATTCGAAAATGAACATATTTAATAAAAAAAAAATTTTCTTACATACATTTATTTTCATTAAATAATTGAATAAAATCAAAAAAATGATTCATATTACGATATGGTTTTATCATTGATACAAATTTAATTAATAAATTTGAATAATAACCAAATACAGATAATAGATGCATACGATACATTATTTCAATTTCTATTATTGTTGTTTCATCATATTCTTGTCGATATCGTTTAAATATTTGTATTGGTTCATAAGCAGCTTTACGCCAAAGAAGATCAATAATTTTTAATCCATAATCAATTGGATCATCAAGTAAAAGTGTTTCACACATTTGTTTAAATCTATAGTAATTAGAGGGATATGATTTGATTTTTTGTTTTGTTCTGTTCACTCGAAAAAAAGTCATCTTACTTATCACGGAAACGACATGTTTCGGGATTGAATATATTTTTTAATGCATGATGAGCAGCAGCATAACGATCAGATAATCGTTTTGATAAAGTTAATGTATTACTAAAATTGAATATTTATCAAAAAATAGATTTCACTTAATGATATTTGTTTATCTTACATGTAATTTTTCTTATTTTTATCTAATTCTAATTTTGATTCATTCGATGTTGTTTGCGATTGTGGAATAACCATCATTTAAAAATAAGAAAAAAAAAAATGTTTTCTAATATAAATTTGTTCTGAAAATAATTCAATATTGATTGGTTGTTTCCTCATCCATGTTATTCTTATATTCGCCTCTGTAAATTTCCATTGATTGTTACGACACTTTATTTTGTGTAAGATTGTAAAGATATGTGTACGTATGTTTTTGGTACATTTAGATCATCACTATTTGAAATAACAAAAAAATGTCTGATATTCGTAATTATTTCAAAAAAAGTCCAACATTAAATAAAAAAGTAACTGACATATATTTGTATACAAAGATATTCATAGTATTTCATTGTAGCGTACTCGAGAACAAATTGATGATGAAGAAATTATTCCTGTATCAAAATCTAAACCAAAATTATCGACTAAAACTTCAATGGAAAAAGTTGTATCACAAACAAAAACTAATATTAATACAACACCACAGAAAAAATTGAAAATACAAGAAATTGATCCAATTGAAAAGAGAAAACGTTCGGAAAATTATAAATCATTTATGAATCGAGGTGGACCTGATGCACCAGGTTCAAAAACAATTCCAGATGGAGAAAAAAATTGTTTGAAAAATTTAACATTTGTTATTTCTGGTAAAGAAAAAAAAAGATTTATGATGAAAAAATATAAAGAAAATAACGAAATTTAATTTTAGGCGTACTCGAATCATTAGAACGTGATGAATGTAAAAAATTAATAGAAAAATATGCTGGTCGAGTAACAATAACAATTAGTGGAAAAACAAATTATCTTATTGTTGGTCGTGATGCTAGTGAAGCAAAAACAGATAAAGCTCGACAAACAAATATTAAGATTATTTCTGAAGATGATCTTTTTGAAATGATTCGTACACGTCCGGGTGATGAAAGTCCATCTAAAAAACAATTATCTACAACATCAAAATCATCTTCAATGACAGTAAAACGAAAATCTTCTTCAACTGTAAGTCAGTCTATAGATGATCCCGGTCCTATAATAACACCAAAAATATCTGTTGATGAATCAAATTTATTATGTAAGTATCTATTGTATAGATAAGACAAAAACAAAAAATTATTTTTCTTTTTTAATATTATAGGGGTTGATAAATACAAACCACAAACAATAAAACATCTTATCGGACAACAAGGTGAAAAATCGTGTGTTCAAAAATTAATTATATGGTTACGTGATTGGTATAAACATCATGGTCATAGTGATGAAAAAGTTAAAGCAAAGTCATCATTTACATTTAATCGTAATGAAGATCCAACTATGTTTAAAGCTGCTTTACTTAGTGGTCCACCTGGTATTGGTAAAACTACAACTGCTCAATTAGTTTGTCAACATTTAAATTTTGAATATATTGAAAAAAATGCATCAGATCAACGATCAAAAAAATCAATGACTAATCTATCGAGTGATACATATAGTGTTGTAAATTTTTCAAATAAAACATCATCTCTATCTAAATATGTTTTAATTATGGATGAAGTGGATGGTGTATCAGGTAATGCAGATCGTGGTGGTATACAAGAATTAATATTATTAATAAAACGAACTCGTATACCAATTATATGTATATGTAATGATCGACAACATAAAAAAATTCGTTCATTAGCTAATTATTGTTATGATTTACGTTTTCATCGTCCAACAATTCAACAAATTCGTGCTGGAATGTTAACTATTCTTCATCGAGAAAATATACAAAATATAAAACAAGAAATTTTAGATGAAATAATTGAATCATGTAATCATGATATTCGTCAAATAATACATACATTAAATCTTTGGTCTATTCGAAATATTACAAATACAAATAAAATAGCAGCAAAAATGATTGAAAAAACAAGAAATACTAATCCATTTGAATTATGTCGTTTATCATTTTCGGATGAATATCGTGAAAAATCTTTAACAGATAAAAGTGATCTTTTCTTTTATGATTATCAATTAATACCATTATTAATTCAAGAAAATTATTTACAATGTCAACCTCATCTATCAACTTTGAATAAACAAAAACGAACGTTAACTGATATTGAACATTTAAATTTAATATCAAAAGCTGCTGATAGTATATCTTTAGGTGATATATGTTCACAAATGATTTTTAGTAAAAATGAAAGTTGGTCTCTTTTACCTTATCAAGTAAAAACAAAATTCTTATATTTATTGTGCACGAAATGCAAAATTAAAGCAAAAGTTTTTTTTCATATGGTTACATAGAACATGACGAGTTGATCAATAATATAGGTATTTTCATTTTTTTTTTAAATGAACTATTAGGGAGAAAATTTCAATTTTTTGTCCGATGATTTACTTTTTCTAAAAAACAGATCAGTTTTTTGTTCCCTTCAAATTTAAAAATCGTTTATTTCAGATTCAATGTGATAAACTGAATATAGGAAACTCATTAATACATGAGTTTCCTACATTCAGTTTATCACATTGAATCTGAAATAAAAGATTTTGAATTTTCAAGGAAACAAAAAAACTGAAATTTTCTCCCTAACAGCTCATGTGAAAAAAAAACAAACATCTATATTCTTAATTAACTCGTCACGGTCTATCTAACCATATGAAAACAAAGTTCTGCTTTTAATTGTACATCTCGACAACTTTCTTCACACATTATTTTCTTTTTCAAAAAGGCTATTTTTTCAACTGTTGCACCATGTTCATATGTTCGTGGTCATCTTCGTAGTATGGTTAATTTTTCATCATATTTTGGTCAACGTTCTCGTACAAATAAAAATGAACGATTATTAAATGAAATTGAAAAACATATTTGTTTAAAAATTGCATCAACAAATAAACAACAATTTAATCTTGATTATTTATCTTATTTAAGTCAAGCACTTATATCACCATTAAAAAATTTCAAACAAGACAAAGGTATTGAACAATGTATTTCATTACTTGATGATTATTATCTTAATCGTGATGATTTTCAAACAATTATTGAATTAAATACATGGTCAAAAACAGGTCGAAATCAATATGAACAACTTGATACACAAACAAAATCTTTATTAACAAGAAATTATAATAAAACAAATCATCGTACACCATATACAATGATTGATATGAAAAAAATTAAAAAATCTAAAGGTCTTATGGATGAAGAAAGTGATGATGAACAACAAGAAGAAAATATTATTACAGATGATAATAACATAGAAGAAGATGCTATGATTAAACCAGCTAAAAAACCAATAATCAACAATCCGAAAAAAAAGTCTCGAATGAAATAAATGATTTTTTCTATATTTTTTTGTGCGTATGTAATTGCTTTTTTGTTTTATTGCATTTTTACCATTTAAATGACATGTTGGTTATAAAAATTTTTATGATACTTGATTTCATTTTCTCAAATATAACAAAACGAAAAAAGAACAGTCGAAAAAATATAATTATATTTATATGTTGTTTATCGCAACTATGATTGTAATTATAGATAATGCACGTGTACCTAAAGTGTAATTGTAATAAAAAGCATTCATGACATTGTTTGTTTACTTTTATTTAACATAATTCATTATGATGTACAAGGTAAAAAAGAATATGTCGTATGACTATAATTGATTTTTTTCTTTTTTTAAGGGTAATAAAATTGAACAAGAAATACAAGCCACTGAAAATACTTTACTCGATCGAAGTTCTTCTATCGGTAAGATTACCATATGAATAAATCTTTTGTTTTTCTTATTAGAAAATTTATATTAATATTTTCAAATACCAAGATTGTGAGAAAAAAAACAACTAACTACTAATGCTTTTCTTTTTTGTTGTTTTAACTAGTTTAAACTATGTATACTAAAAGAAAACGACAACGACTATCAGCTAAAATAAAAAAATCTAAAAAAAAAGGATCAAAGAAAAATAAAAGTATGATTGAAATGAATGGTTTGAAATGTGAAAGGAATCCGTGTGAAATAGCATGAATATATCTATATATCATTTTCATTTTATATCTAATTAAATATTTCTTTTCTTGTTTTTTTAAGTTGTAGTACGTAATTCAATATCACATAATTCTTTATCTCCATCTCGGTCTTATATGAAACATGTTAGTTTAATTTTTTTAACTTTACAAAATGTTGCTAGTATATTATTATTACGTTATGTACGTACAACACCAGGACCACGTTTTATAAATTCAACAGCTGTACTTAATTCTGAAATTCAAAAAACAATATTTAGTATATTATTATTGATTTACGAACAACGAAGTGTCATTACAAGTTTTAAAGTAATATATAATAAAATTATACGTCAATCAAAAGATACATTAAAAACTGGCATACCGGCGTTACTTTATACATTACAAAATAATCTTCTATTTGTTGCAATTTCGAATTTAGATGCAGCTACATTTCAAGTATGTATAGAAAAAGAAGAATTTCTCTCATTGCAGAATTAACTTGAAATTTTATCTCGGTAATATCTAAGTCGAACTTTTTTTCATGTCCATGAGAGAAAAGAAAATTCCACTAACAAGAAGACCACTCAAATTGATATCTACTGTTTGAACTCATATGGTGCTAGCACAAGAGGATCTTGGTAAGGCTAGAATGGTTCGTCGACATGAACCTTTGGAGTCAAATGATGATCGTTATATTGAATTGTCGACCTTGCTTTAGGTATACACTGGAAAATTGAAAAGCAGAATTTCGATGTAAGGTTTTGCTTATCAATAAGTGTAATGATCTATAGAATATCCTGAAAGTTTCACCTAGCAAAAATGCTTTTTTTTGTTGAGATATTGAATTTTCAAGTAAACTCGATTTTTGTATTTCTAGAATATTCTACGAGTCATTCGACCTATATATGCGCAAAATGTTACATCGAACTTCTGTTTTATGTTTTTTTCATATATATCCAAAGCTAGATCGAAAACTTAGTAAAATGATCCTAACCAGCTCCAAAAGCACATGGCGATGAACCATTCTAGTTTTACCGAGACCTTCTTGTGCGAACAACAGATGTTAGTTCGAATGGTTCTCTCGTAAGACAGTGATGAAAACTAGGAAATACATTTTTTTTAATCGAATTTTTATTAGTAAGAAAAGAGTTCGACGTCGTAGAAATATTTGCGATTGTCAGACATTAGTTTTCATCGAATCTATATATCAGTCTATAGAGTTCAATGCGTAAAACATCCGCCTCTATAGCGAATTTCAAAGGAATTAAAATGGATTAGAGATTTCAAGAAATCCTAATAAGAAATAGAATGAGTTATGAAAATTAATTTTGAAACAATATATATATTTTTCTATAAGTATCTTTGATCTTCTCGAGTTAAGTTTAATTTTTTTTTAGGTTAGCTTTCAATTAAAAATTTTCACTACAGCTATTTTTACGGTGCTAATACTTCGTCGTCCATTAAATCTTGTTCAATGGCTTGCATTATTTCTTCTTTTTCTTGGTATTTCCCTTGTACAAATCGAGAATATGACATCAGTAACACCAAAACACGATGTTAATCCTGTATTAGGATTAATTTCTGTTGTTAGTGCTTGTAAGTTTTATATTATTAAATTTTTCAATTCAATTGAAATTAAATATAAATAAACTTTAGGCACATTAAGTGGCTTAGCCGGTGTATATTTTGAAAAGATTCTTAAAGGTAGTGATGTATCAGTATGGATACGTAATATTCAATTAGGTTTATTTGGTATGTTATTTGGTTTTCTAACTGTGTATATATCCGATGGAACACAAATAAAAACAAAAGGTTTTTTATTTGGTTATACAGATATAGTATGGATAGCAATTACAATTCAATCAGCAGGTGGTCTTCTTGTTGCATTAGTTATTAAATATGCTGATAATATATTGAAAGGTTTTGCAACATCATTAGCTATTATAATATCATGTGTTATTAGTATAACACTATTTGATTTTCAATTAACATTTTTATTTTCTTTGGGTACAATATTTGTTATATTTTCATTATTTATTTATTCAAAACCAGATTTAATTACACATGTACCAATATTTAATATCATTTTCAAAGATAGATCAGTTTTATTTTAAAAAGACAAAGATTCATATTGATAATAACAATAGTTTATTATCGATTATTAATCAAAATTATATTTATAATAAAGCATTTATTAATAAGTGAATAACGAATTGTATTTAAAGCAAATTTAATATCATTTCTTTTTAGCAAATACTAATATGCAACATTAGTAATCTGTTTCCTTTCTTATACTCTGGTTTTTCTCTTCTATTTATCATTCATGTGTGATACAATTTCGTTTTTTTTTTAAAGTAACAAATTTTCTTCTAAATTACTTTACTTCACGATTGTTGAGTTTGTTTTGCATTTTATAATTTGTATCTAATCTGAGTGGTAGATCTTTTCTTTTCTTAATGAAAGTTTTAAACTGATGTTAATATTCAATCAAAACTACTTTGAATTCTTGTTTGGGATAAAAATGCGCATGGTATAAATAATGGATCAACTTAATACAAAGTTCTATTACTAATAAAGAAAAGCATCGAATTCAGAAAAGATCTTAGTGCCTTCAAGAGTTTGGTTGAAAGTGAAATCTTACACGATTTTTTTTTACTTGAACAAAATGATGAATCTTTGAAAAGTTAAGAAATAAGTTTTTATTTATAATTTTTAGTTCTACTGGAAAAGTACTCAGTGCTAGAATATTTGGTAGTAATGTAAAACAAATCAGATTATGTAAAATTTTATATTGAACTAACCGAACGGTTTTATAAAGTAAGGATATAAGTATTTCACTAGAACATCGTATGTTTCAAAATGTGCTGCCTGCCATCGAATAAGTTAGATAATATGACAAAAAATTTGAAGATCGTAAAAGGTAATGCAAAATCAAAGGCTTCAATTTATCGTTTCGATTTTTTATAAAGAAAACATGAAAATATACAAAAAATTGTTCATCTCTTTAAAGGATAACTTTATTAATATTGAGCTATAAGAACATATGTTTTGATAGCCCAGACTTTGAGAGAGTACAACATTGTTCTGAAATAATTTTTATATTTTTGATTATCAATTTTTTTCATCATTTATTTCACATTATTATTTGCCAATGGAGTATCGGTGCTGCTGCAGGCCGATCACAACCTTACCCTAACACTCTTTAATATTCTCACTCTCACTTTGTGATGTTTCCCACTATCAATCAAATTAATTGTTTTCAAGGACATCATTGGCCAGTACCTCTTCAGATCAGCGACACTGCAGCACCCATACTCTTTGATCTGCCCTGCTAGTTACACCAATTAGTGTATAGAGTATCGTCAATCTAGAATCATATTTTTAAATGGATATATATAGCTTTTCTACAGATACACGCACTTCATTTAATAATTGCTTTGGCCATGCATTAATCTATTTGATTCCTGAAAGTAATGTAGTGAATATAGATGAGGATTATGTAGATCATGTAAAAGTACCCAAGAAGAAATACTAAAACATTGGTGATCAAAAAGTCTTTTTTTTCTCCATTCAATAACTTCGGATGATTTTTTTAAAATGTTTAATAAATATCAATTCTGTAAATGTGACGTTTAATGAATGATGTTTGGTAGCTGTAATGATATCTTCTTTATCATAATGAATACACTATGTTATTTCATGTTATAATTCATCGATTGTATGGGTTAACTCGAGTTATGATATTATATGTATAGCTAGATCTTAAGGTAGATCTCAGTGAAATATTAAAGTTTCCAAAGGATTAAGCATCCTTAGAGACTTTCCTTCTAAAACTATTGTTATTTTACTGAAATTTTAGGTTATATGGCACGGTATATACCCAAAAAAGAAATCAAATGGTAGTATTTCAACCTTCATATAGTTGTTTTCATGTATCCATACGATCAAAATGTAAAGGAATACAATGAATAAGAAATTTTTCTTTAAATAGAATGGATAACAATCGATGTTTTTATTTCAAGAAAAGTTTGATTGATTTTTTTTCAAAGATTAAATGTTCTGATAGATTAATATTAAAACCTTATTGTTTTTTATGTTCAATTTCTTCCACTGTTAGTTTAATTTCTGAAGTATGTCTTTCAGTTTAATGAATTTTATGTTGAATTAAATTCAGCATTATCTAAGGCATTGTCACCTAGAAAAAACACGTCTAGTGCTGGAATGTTATACACCTAGTTATGTATCTTCTTGAATTAAATAAATTGATGACGATCTTTCTATCGACTCAGCTGAAGAAAGTTATATGAACATTAAAATGATATTGTTTAATAAATTAGAAAACGTTTTCAGATGACGTTTTCATCTAATTAATGAGCAAATTATGTTCATTCCCAAGATCATGTTTCTCATACCTATTATCCATTTCAAAAACAGAATGCCGATGGTTATTTTTTGAGCAGTGTTTGGTAGGAACGACGAAGAGAGCTGGAGCTTTCACCAGTCAAGAGAAAACACTCAGGACCATCGCAGTGAGTCGAAAGCTGATTGACCAGCAATTGATCAATCAGGTGAGTTCTTAGCAAAGATTTTGAAAACGAGATTCTGAAGTCATTTTCAATTAGACTTTGACATGTACCATGGCTAACCAGCGGAGAAAAGTCTTCTCTTTCAATCTATGTGAGCCCCAACTTCGTGGCCACTTTTGTTTAAGAGTTACAAGGGTTTTGTTGAGACTCCTAATTTCAGCAAATTGATCTTAGAAAGTTCCTTATGCTGAATCGAATGGTGATACTTCTTTTCAGTTTTAAAGCGACCTGAGATCATTATTTCAGTATTTTTGCAATTTCAAAAGTTTCGTTGATACAGCACCAAAATCGAAGTTTGAATTATTTTCAAAATAGTAATCTCAGATCGCTTTAAAACTCAAAACCAAAATCACCGTTTGACTTAGTATGACGAATTATCCCTGTACGAAGCTCCTTTGGAACCTTTCAAAGTCAATTTGCTGAAATCAGGGGAGTCTCAGCAAAATTCTTGTAACTTTTGAACATGAATGACTACGAAGTTGGGGTTATGTAGATCAAAAGAGAAGGCTTTCCTCTGTCGATTGACCCTATTACCCGTCAAAATCTAATCGGAAATGACTTCAAAATCGCGTTTTCAAAATCTTCGCTAACAACTCATCTGATTGATCAATTGCTAACCCATCAGACTTCGACTTACTTCGATGGTTCCGAATGTTTTCTCTTGAATGGTTAAAACTTCAGGTCTCTTCATCGTTTCTATCAAAAGTTATTCAAAAAATAACTATCAGCATCCTTTTTTCAAATAGATCATAATTCTGATGATACATATAATGTCTCGTCCTTTGCTTGTTGTTTTGTTAGTCATATGAATTTTTCTTCTCTTAACTGATATTAAATTCTTGATGATACATGCTCATATTTATGACTTTACCATAATTGTTAATACTGCTTATTATTGTTATAAACATGAATACTCATGCTGTTTTTTTTTTCGTTTCATTTCAAGTATGAAAAAGAACAGTGCTCATAAACAAACACACTCGCACACACTACTCGATCTAATTGCGTATAATTCGGTTTTTTTTATACATAAGTTGCTGTTGTTAATATAACTGCTGTAGGTTCTTCATAGAACGAAACTTTTTTATTTGAGTTTGAACGACGTACTGCTGAGCTAGTTAATCGTCCTGATGGTATTGAACTTGGTACTCGCACCATACTTGAAGATGTGAAACTTTGTAAATCACCACCACTACTACTTCGATCATAACAACCTGAATCAATTGAATTTGATTGATGAATTACATCTGTTGTAGATGTTTTCATTAATGATAAACTTTCATCACGTAATATTGATGATGAAGTTGAATGCTCTTTTAATGTAACATTAGCCGTCTGCGAATTTTTAACAGTTGGAATTACAGCTGATTTAGTTCGTTTTGTAGAAGTTTTCGGATTACGAGTGATTGATGATACCTTTATTGGAAGTGGATCATACATTGATAATGGTGTTGAATGTGGTGTTGACGTTAAAAGCACTTCAAGTGGTTCCTAAGAAAATTATAAATGAATATTTAGAATTTTAATTAAAATTTTATATTAATAAAACAACAAGAACTTGTGATAGGTGTATATCACGAACAGATAAAATGTGAAATATAATAGTGATGTATATAATCATATCTAAGACATAAATTTGTGTCTATCTAATTACTTGATTTTCGCCACGATTATTATTCGCCATAGTCATCGAGAAACGACAAAAAAAATATAAAAATATTTAAGATATAATGTTACAACTTACTAGGCTGATTGATTTTAATGATTTATCGGTTGAATTTCGTTTATACGAATAATTATTATTGGTAGTTCTTAGTGATGATGAGCCAGCAATTAAAATCGTATTAGCTTTTGATAGTAAATTAGCAGAAGAAATCGTATTAGCTCTTGATAGTGAATTAGCAGAAGAGATCGTACTAGTTCTTAATGATGAACTAGCATTAGAAACTGTATTTATTCTTGGTGGTGTAGTAAAAGTAGAAAATGCATTAGTTCTTAATGGTGAACTAGCAGTAGAAGTTGTATTTGTTCTTGGAGATTTTATTGAATAATCTTTTGATACACTTGTTCTTCGAATACGTGATGCATGTTTAAGAATATCATTATCAATTTTATGTGGTGATGATGTTGGAACAACTGAAATAGTTGTATTACGTGTTAAAGAAGTTCGATTTATAATAGGTGATTTTTCTCGTGACGGTTGCTGAGATTGAACAGGATTTGCTGCTAATGGATTCCGATGTACAGCAAATGTTCCACGTAGACCAGCACGTCGACGAATTGTCTCTAAAAAAAATAACGAGAAGAAAAAAATTATAAGTTGATGATCATGAAAAAAAATGACGAATATTCGTCATTTTCTTAATCTATTTACCTCGAACAGATTCTCCATTTGGCTGATTCATTAATGAACTCATATACATAAGGTCAGAATCATGATCACATAATCTTGTTGAAGATGCTATACCATTTGTCATAGAAAATATTTCTGGTGAATTCACAAAATTAGAATGTTCATTAGTTTTAATTGATGATGAATAATAATCTTCATATGTTTCTTCTTTTATTTGTGATGATTGAGCATATGATCTATTATGTTCACGCGTTTGATCAAAATCATTCGAAGACATTTGTTGTAATGCACTGAATGAACGAGAATCATTATATTGATCTTGATTAATTGTTGAATAATGAAGAACACTCGATGTTCGACTTGGATGTCGACTAATAAATGCTGGACGTCGTTGAAAACTATTTGCAGATTTTCTTTCTGATTGTTGACCTGATGGTGTCATTCTTGTTGGACTTAAACGTATACGAATACCATGTTCAAGATAAGCAGCTTCAATAGCTTGATAAGGTGAAATATTTGAAGGCTGAGATATTGTTGGAATAACAATTTGTTCACGAGAGTGATTATTCATTTCATCGGCATAATCCAATGGTGAAACGGTTAAAGTAGATGATTCTGTATTTAGAGATGTTGGAAAAGCAAATAAAGTGTTAGATCGATGTCTAATTGCTTTTATATCACTATTTGATATATCCATTCGACTACCATTGACAACAGCACCTAACAAACACGAACATTATTTTTTTAATAATGAAAAATGAAAAAAATTATTAAATAAAAACTTTTATTCGATATTTACCTTCGATTTCAAATGTTGGCCGTTCTTTACGAAGTGTTTTTAGACGCATATTGATTTGTATATTTTGTAAATGGTTACAAACTACCAACGATTAACGATGTTTTTTATTCAAGACAAACATAATAGAGAAACCGATGGAATAAAATGTGCAATCATCACAGATTTGACGAACGACAAAAACAACAGTAGCAAATAAAAGTCATCAAAGAAAAATTCATTTTTTTTCCTTACAATATTCAAGCGCACATTTTCCATTTGTTTCATTCGTATGATTGATGTTTCTATTCTTTATGAATACATTAAATGTTTCGTTTAGCTCCCAATACATTCGTTCGATCATTACACAACAACTTCACATTTCAAGTCTTCTTGTTTGACATAAAAGATGAAGTCATAAAATAAACAAATATTTGAATGGATCAATTCGAGAAAAAAAAAGAGAGAAAGAGAAGAGGAAAAAAAAAGGAGAAAAAAATGATACTACAAATATAAAGGTTTAGTTGAAAAAGTTTACTACGCATCACGTATGGATAATGAAGCTGCTTTAAAAGTAGAGTAAAAAAAAAACAAAGACAAGAAAAATTTGAAGATAATTATAACCCAGTAGAAAGAATTAAACATAATATATGTATTTAATCAATTCAAAAAATTTGTTACTAAAACCATAAGAAAAAACATACACCATCTTCTATATTACGTCAGCATCTCATCGAATATTAAGTTTCTACACATTTTTTTTATTATTTCTTTCATACATATGTCTTCTTATCGAATGTTTGTCTATGGTAAAAGTTGTCAAACAAAAATCTTAAATGATTTCTCTTATTAAATGTAACCTTATATAACAATGACATTATAAAAGGACACTCTTATATAAATCTTAAAACGATTCTAGAATAGTATTTATATATGCATGAATCACTAACACTTATTTATAGTGTACAGATCTTTCTAGTGTAGTGTAATATGCCATTGTTATTGTTTTCATGAATATAAAATAATTCAGTCAAAAGAAATTAATTGATAATGAGACATAAATGGTGTAGATGTGGGTGTGAGTGTTGACCGTTTTACACTGACACCCACACCTATACCCTGACTCTTTTCTACTCATAACAATTAGGAAGTGATTCTCTTTTTTAATCATATAGTTGGGAATATATTTCACTTCTAGATTATGTGTTACATTATACTTTTATTCATTGGTTGTCTTCTTTTTAACTGCTAATAATAATCACGTAGTAAGAGAAGTTTACATAGTAACCCTTAAATCACTAGCAATAGAAAAGATTTAATATGCGTAATAGCAACGCATTTTGTAAGGCTTCGTTTGCATTCTATTTGCAAACCCGCATTATTCTAAGTGATATCCATTATCTTCACTATTCTTTGTAGTAGTGAATTCAGTATAGATAGGATACATTTTGTTGATGATGCTCTTTTTCGCATCATTTGAATCAGTACAATAGAGTTAAAAATCATCTGATCATTGATGATTTGAGAAACTGCCAAAATATGTAGTATGAATCGCTTTCAATCTTTCTCATACGTAAGCTTACGTTCTACCGATGGATTCTATACATTGTTTGCAATTGATCTTGCACATTATTTGCTAAAGCACGGATCATACTTCATCTTGATGAATTTTTTTTTTAGAAAATCACTTGACAATGGTAAATTCGAAAGATTTCTCATTCAAATTCATTTATATCGAAATAAATGAAATGCAGTTTAATTTAATTTTATACGTATAACTGGAATTTTCGACCTTCATGAGTACGGTCATCATCAGTAAACAGACATCAGTTGTAACCATGAGTCTACTTTATTCATGACAAACAGTAACCGATGAACAAGAACTAGAATAACAAAAGCTATGTTTACCATATATAACAACTAAGTATATTCATGTGAATATACCCATAATATAGAGTAATCTTGATTATTTAAACTTACTCATGTATAAATTAACTTCTTTAATTTGTTGTTGATGATAACCGTACTCTTAAAGGTCTAAAATTTCAGCTATATATGTAAAATTAAAATTAAGCTGGATTTCTTTACTTCTGATACATTATTGTTATTATTCAAGTTTACTTACTTATTGATTGATTATGTTTCTCCTGCAGAATTAAATACTTGAAATATATAAATTTGTTAAGGGTAAATATAGCTTATGTTGTTTTAGTTTTTTTTTTATCAGTTATTGTTTGTTATGAATAAAATAGGCTCATCATTACAACTGATGTCTTTTTGCTGATGATGATCGTACTCATAAAGGTCGAAAATTCCAGTTAGACATGTAAAATTAACTTAAACTGCATTTTATTTATTTCGATACATTATTGTTATTATTCAAGATTTTACTTAAATTTTTTTTTATTCTTCAAATAACAAATTTTTTCTTGGTTGCTTTATTCTTATTGTTTGAATATTTCTTATTAATTCCCTATATTAACTTTATTGATGAAAACTCTTGAAAATCATCAAATATTTAATTGAAACTGAAGGTTATTAATGATACCAATACCAAATAGTAATTGATTATATAATAGTTTGACTACAAAGTATCGTTCATAATTCTGAGAATTTTTCATTTTTCTTCTAAACGTTAGTTTAAAAATTAAGAATAATATTATCCTAATTTTCTTTCATAATGATTAAAAAAAATTAAACAAAATAATTAGCGTTTAACACACTGCAAATTTCTTTTGCTTTTTATTTTCAAATACCCACATACTAATAGAAAGAAATCAAAAAAAAAATGACAATAAAATAACAAGAAGTGTAAAATATGGTTGTTAAACAATAGCAATGACAAACACGCGCACTATTTCAAGCCTCTATCGTCATCATTTTAAGGATTACAATAAAAAAAGAAACAAAAAAAAAAAAAGAAAATGATACGGAATGTAACACAGTGTGTGTTGTATAATAATATTGCTCTACTTTTTAGTTTATTCAATGTCAATAAATAGACTAGAACAATAGAATAAGTTGTTCAAAATATGTTCAACATTTAATTAATGGATAACAAAAGAAAGACAGAGATTCATTAAAGAGAATAAATACATTTTTAAATACCAGTTGAAATACTTTTATATAAAGGTGATTTAGATCCAACAAGATAAAATTGATTTTTATTTGAACTAAAACGAAGAATACCAAAATAAAGACCAAGTGGTTCTTGTGGAAATAGTCCAAAACAAGGTAAAATTGGTGTAAGTGACGCTATATCATTTATTGACTCTTGTTGATAAATATATTTGAATGCATTGGAACTAGAATAAACGAAAAATTATTATTACTTTTACTTTTTTTTTTGTTAAATAAATTTTAAAATTAGAAAACTAAAATTTCGTACGCATTTTGACTTTTAATTAAATTATACATATTGAGATTGATTGTATTACACGGTTCTAAAGATTTGAGTAATGTTGCCAAATTAATCGATTTGATTAAAAAGGCGTCATAGTTTTCTTTACGTAATGTATCAATATTTGATAATGGTGGAAATGGATTTCTATAAAAAAAAAAATAAATGAAATAATTCGAAATCATTTTTTTTTATATCTATAGTAGTTATTGTAAAAACATAGTAAAATTTAGAGATCAGTAATTATCCGAAAGTTCAAATCGAAATTTTCTTTTTTTAAACAAAAAAATCTCTAGTCTATTTAACTTTTCACACTCGAGAAATACATCTTGAATTGTTCTTTTTTCTTTTCAAATAATTAAAGTCAAACTTACAAGCTCGTTTGTCGTTTTCGATTAAAAAGTATTTCCAAGTATTTCGTATTAACTAGATTACCGTCAATAGGTTTTCGAAATACACGTGAAATATCTGGCATAAGAAATGATGATGATGAATCTGAAAATGTCCATTTATCCCAAACTCTATAAAAAAAAAAAAAAACATTTCTTCAAAGAAAAACAAAATAAAATTTCTTCAATAAATCTACCGTTTTCCACAACATTGTGTAAATGAATTTTTCATATTTTTATTATAAAATGTACGTTTTAATAAATATCCTAAACCATAGAAATTATCAACACGATATATTAAATCAATCGAACCATTGACAATATCATAAGCTAAAAAAAAAATAAAATTATTGAACAGAAAATTTACTTTTTTTTTTTGAAAAATTTCTTTTACAATTAGGATTCCATAATTGTATGGCACCAATTGTTTCATCTTTTCGAAATGTTTCACTTAATAATGCAAATACATAAAGAAAATCTGGTGATAAAATAAGATCTTCTTCAATAATAATCACACTATCCTAATCATAAGCAAAAAAATTTATATATTAAGAAATTTTTTTAAATAATAAATAGAATTAAATTTTACTTTATTTGGATAAATTTCCCAAATTTTATTTAAAGCTTTTTCATAATGTTCTAATAGAAATAAAATTTTAATTTCAATCGACTTTCTTTTTTTTTTTTTTTCATAATTACCCATATATGTTGAACTACTTGCTGTTTTTTCTCCTCGAAATCCAAATAGATCAATTAATGCAAGAGGTTCAGAAAATTTTTCATCAACAGCCACCTAACAAAACCAAATAAACTATCAAATAAATTTTTGAAAATTAAATTCTATACATACAACAATATTTTCTACACGAATACCCGGTTGCATTAATAAAGTTTCAAGACACATACGAAGAGAATTATGTGAAATTCCTAGAATATTAAAATAAATATTGAATATCAAATTAAATAAAACAAACCAGCAATAACAAGTATGGGTATTGAATATATTGAATTATCTTCTAATGTTTTATTTATTAATGGAATATTTGCTAAATTTTTATCAACATTTGTATCTTTAAATAAAAGAATTTAATATATTAAATAGAATTGAAATAAAAATTGATTAATATACCACTACAAAAATCTCCATAACCATCATAACGTGAACAAAAATCACGACGTTTATCATTACGAAATGGTAATGGATCAGGTCGAATTTTCATTCCTTTTACTAGAAATAGATATTATTGAAAATAATTATTGCAATATTAATTTAAAAATCAGATTCATCCAATTCATTTAAGTATTTGAATAAAATATTCATTTTTCGTATTAACAAATCCAACACATAAGTTTAACAAAAAACTAAATGTATTCTGATAGAACTACAACATATTAAATTGATAAAAAATAACTTTAAATAAAACTTACAGTTAAATGTCACTTCACATTTGTACAATAACTTTCATTTTTTTTTTGCTTCAGTAGTAAAAAGAATTATATGTGCAACTTTATCATAGGTATTATGTTTATCTATTTTTTTACAGCAAACTATGCTCCTTAAGAATTGTGTCTATGCAATGTCTGAAGTCGAAATTTGAAAACGAGTTCTCCTTGTATTTTTGAGAGGTTTCAGGATATTCATAACTTATAGAGTCTACATTATGCATATAGTCCGGACTGCAAATCGATTAATCAGCTGAAGAACTTTCCTCGTTAAAGTAGTCACACCATAAATTGATGATGATGATTCTACTATCGTTTTTTTTTTGCTGAATACAATCTTCATTAAACTCACTTCATACTCGTTTTAAGTGCTGAAATCGAATCATGAAAACTTAAATTTGAAATTTTAAGTTCTCTTATTAACAATCGATTGCTGAATATCTTTAATAAATTTTAAAAAACAATCATTCTTTTTTTTTCTTCAGAGTAACATTTATAAAACGACAAGATATTTTTCTAATAATATTTGCACTCACAAGTTTGTGGTACACACATTCGTTTGTCAATTGGAGGTGCATAAACATTGCCAGTGCTTGAATGTGACATCTAAATACACGTCCATGTATAAAAATTCAAACTAATCCCCAAACAAAACATATTTATAACAAAACATGCATATAATATATTAGTCAATGATTGAGCAGAATCCAATTTTCCCGTTACAATAAAAAAAGTATATATATATATATATATTAATATTCTAAATATAACTAGTCACTATTTAGAATATTTTTATTTGACTATTATGGCTGATGAAAAAAAAACCTGTACCACTTATCACCACAAAAGCGTATATATTTCTATTTATTTATTTTTACAACAGTCATTTACAAGCTTTTCGAAGGACAAACCTCTTCATAAGGGCTAAAACCTTTAATGCCCTTTCGACCCACAAATGCCCAAGCGTCGCGATATTTTAAATTTTGTATTGTTGCACTGCCAAGATCAAAAAAGAGATTTTTACAGTGCTGACTAACCCTAAATACATAAATAAAAAGAAAAAAGAGAGAGATAAAATCAAAAGCACATGTACAATTGTTTTTTTCATCTTCATATATATATATATATATGTATATATATAAACGGGAAAATTGGGGAAATTCTGTTCACTCATTCTCGTTCGAAACATTTATACGAAAATATATAACTCATATGATCACCTCTTCGAAGTTATAATTGATGTTCGTTTTGAAATGATGAATAAGCGTCCAGGAATCACGAAAAGCAAGTGACCCTATTTTCTGACTGCCAATACCTTGTAATATAATTCGAGTGAAATTTCGTAAGCTAAATAAATATATATATATATACATAATACATACATAAATTATAATCACACTATATTAAATATTCTTTAACATGCATATAATATCTACTAGAATAACTTACTTTGTTGATGCTTCATCAAATGTAACTGCTATAATAATAACATTTTCTTCAAGATTTTCAAGAAATATTTCTAAATTTGTACTATCTAGAAAAATAAAATAAAATAAAATAAAATAAAATAAAATAAGACAGAATTCATTTATTTTACCTTCTTGCCATGTATCAAAATGTCCGGTACGAATAACTTCTTTACCATTTGAAACAACAACAATATTTATACCACGTCCAGCATCATTAATACCTTTAGCCATAACATATTTTCCATCAACACATATTTTTGGTTCATCATTTTTATCTTTGCCTGTATAAACATGTACAGCAAATTCATTTTCTTTACATGCTTCTAATAAACCACAATTTTTCATTGATGTACCAACAGCTATTTTTCCTTCTTTATTTACTTCTGGACTCGGAAATAATAGTGGTGTTATTGAACCCACTAGATGATTAAATATTAGAGAAAAACCAGATTTTAAGATTAATAAAAACAAAATAGTAAAGAACATACAAGGAAATTTAGCACAACCACTTATATGTGCAGCAGGAGCGAAATCACGATTTCCTTTTGGTTGATGCTAAAAAAGAAGACAAATGATGAGTTTTTAAAAGTTTACAAGAATTGAATAGACAATCATGATAAGAGCGAAGTAAACAATCAGGTTCTATTGAAAATTACATATTAACTATTTATTTAAAGATAAAACCTAAATTGTAGTGGATTGGTCATAATGAATGGTCACTTTTTGCAAATCATCTTTTCATTGTCAACTACATTTTATTAAAAACATTGTGAGTACAATCTTTGCAGAATTAAAATATAAAACACGATATAGCTGCTGTTGCTAATTAGTGGGAAATTGTTTTAATCTATTGATTTTGAGATGCATTTCTTCATCATTCTTTTACTTAGCCATCCAAAAATGCAATAAGAATGTGGTTTATATATTAAGACGAATACTCATTCATACGTAACCTTTTATTGTATGTCAACAATGTCTGTCACAGTTTGTGGGGATGCAAATTTCTACCCTATTTACTCCAACACTCCTTTTAGATCGTGTTTAACAAAATACAATATACTACAAGATGAATGCACCGAAAAATGCTTATTTTATAAATGCACATATTGTTTTATAAAAAAAATTAAATTCTGGAATCATGGTTTTCAAGTTTACCCCTATTACGTATTATTGGTGATGACGTTTCATGCATAATAATCTAAAATATTGAGATTAGAATTATTCGTTAGTTATCTGTATGTGTATATGGAGTGCGCGATGTACTCTGTGCGTCATGTCAATGTTTCCTGATGTGTATGAAGTATTAAATTGTTTTGTTCATTGACGAAATTGTTGACTCGCAGTCATTTGTCTTCAGACTGTAGATGTCAAAGAACAACTTCAATATATTTCTCATATGCATAATGCTTCGTGATAATTGAAGACATGAGACTATTTTTAAAAGCAACTAATCATGCGATAATTCTTTTTGTATATTTAGTTTTTTAATATATGCCTCCTGTCGACTAGCAGTATAAACACGTTCTAATGATAGGTATTTTTCATTAGTGAATAGAATTTTCTTCAATCGTTGAGATAAAAGAGTGAATTAATCATTTACTAAGAAATGATCTTGTTCATATCTTTGAAAATAGGTCGAACAGAATTTTATTTTTCGTATAAAACAAAAAATGCATTGCTTTTCTTTATAAATTGTATAGCTTTGTTTGGTGCATCTTGTCCTATATTTTGTTTTTAAATCAAACTTATTAGATGATCAGAAGATAACTGAGAATCAACAGCCACTCATTATGACTCACCTGTTATATTATTAAATTCAACTAATCTAAACGTACGCTAAAATAGTTTCTCAAAATGTAGAGCGTCATACTAAGTATTTTTCGTATGACAGAGCGACATGGAACTCTCCTTCTCGGAATAGGCTTTCTTCTGTTCAGAAAAATCACTTTTATGGAAACAAAGAACTTTTCGGTGGAAAACACTTTAAAGGGAATCTTATCCATATTTTTTCGAGAAAACGTTTTAGCTAGAAAGTATCTTGTACCATACATTATCCGATGTAATTTCGAACACTAGTCTCGGATATACTATTGATTTTCAATAAAAATGCTTTGGAATCTGAAAGAAAAAAGTTCAGTGCAAAAACCAAGGCTTTTTCAAAAACCTGCAGTATAGTTAAGGAGTGTTTATGCTAACTATGATGATAGAGAACACAGAATAGAACATTCTAATACAGTTTGAGTCGGTTTGGATTGGCGCGCATTTATTTTACTGAGTCTAGTCATTTCGAAGACTAGTTGAGAAAAAACTTTAATTTTATTTCTCAAAAATTATACATTTAAATTAAACGATTTCTTCGATGATTGATACTATACGATATGAAAATTCAGAATATCTACTGAGTGCACTTACCAGATGGTTAAATTGTCATGATTGAGTGGTTATACTGTTCGGTACGCATCTTATAGGTACTGTGCTAGCTATGGAATGATCCTAGATAAGTCATTAACAACTATTTGTCTCGGATGACTCGTTCAATAGCATGATGACTACATTGTGACATACACCTACACTTGTGGTTAGTTAGTGTATATGCGAAGCTCAAGTAATTGAACGCAAGAACTCGGCGTCAGGTTGGCCTTCTGTCTACAACTACCACTAGTATTGGTTGTAAGGAAGATATCGGGTCAATGAATTCTGCTGCTAAGCAGAACTCCATATCGCAAGGTAACCGAAAGGCAGGGGGGGGTATTCTCGTAGTGAAAAACAAGTCACATGATATATTCAGAAAATTGAAGATTTATCGAAAGAAGATTTCATTGTCTTGAATGAATCTAACTGTTTAAGATCATTCTATGAATTTGTTCATCTGCTAATAAAAATAACTCCTACCATTTCAATAGCTTTTCCACGTGCAAGTCCTTTTTGTCCAAGCATAACAAACGAATCACGAAATTTAATAATTTTTATTAGTTGACTACCGTATCTTTCTAATATAGATAATGATGCGTCTTTTAATCTAAAATAAATTAAAATTTATTTGAAATATTTTCTTTTCAACATTCTATTAACTAACCCATATGTCATTTCATCAAAACTAGCTAGAATAATAATATCACCATCATTTAAGCTAACTTTAAGTGTTCGTAAGAAGAATGTTTCTAATAAAAATAACAAATAATTCATTTTTATTTAATAGAAAAAACTCTTTGTTTGTTTTTTATATTTACCTTCAAGATAAGTATCAAATGTGTCTGTTAATTTAACATCCAATGTTGCACCATCAAATGCAGCTAAATTAATACCACGACCAATTTTTGAATCTTTTAAATTTTTATGTACTAATCTATATTAAAATACAACAAAAAAAACCAACATGATAAACAATTATAATATTTATATATTTACAATTTATTATTAAAGCATATAATTGGATATTTTTCAACTCCATCTCCCGAAATAATTTTATATGGAATAGCATCATCTGAACATTTTTCATCAATTTCACATCCTAAAATAAAAAATAAATAATTTATTTTCATTGATATATTTATTTATTTATTTACCAGCATCGGGTATAGGTGGTCTTAGAAGTCGTTGTCGTTCGATTGGATTTTGTTTCTTAGATTTTATTGTTTGATTTTGATTAGGAGTTAATTCAATTTTAGAAGGAGTTCCGTTCGGTAGTACATCAGAACCTAAAAATAAAATGAATTAAAATAAAATAATAAATCTAAAAAAACTTACTGTCTCGTTTTGTAAGAACATATGTATTAATAAAAATAACAGTGATGGCAACTAAAATGAGCATTACAAAAAAATTGCCCACACCTCCAAACTGTTTGTGGATGATTCGTTTGAATTTTCTCATCCTTGAATGATTTAAACAGTCTAATAAACATTATTTATAACCATGTTAAATAGGTCTTTTTTGTTTATTCTTTCTGATAGTTTATCTAAAACAAGGACATTGATAACGAAGGTGTAGAATAAAAGTTAACAAATTCACACAAAAACGTCGAACAACAATGAAGAAAGCATACGATGTGATAATAATTGGTGCTGGACATAATGGTCTTGTTACTTCTGCTTATTTAGCTCGACAAGGTTTACGTGTACTGGTTTGTGAAAAACGATCAATTATTGGTGGTTCTGCATGCACAGAAGAAATTGTGAAAGATTTTAAATTTTCTCGTGCATCTTATTTATTAAGTTTATTTCGGCAAAAAATAATTGATGATTTAAATTTACGTGAACATGGTTTAAAATATTATTATCGTGATCCATTTTCATATACACCAATAAAAAATCCAATTAATAATAATCAACGTTCATTATTATTATCATCAGATAATCAATTAAATATGAAACAAATTGCTCAATTTTCAAAAAAAGATGCAGAAAATTATCATCTATATGAAGAATGGTTAACAAAAATATGTCGAGCTATTGATGAACTTATTCATTCACCTCCACCTGATCTTAGTCGAATGAATCAAAAATATAAAATTTTCGATCGTTTTCGTGCTTATAATTATTCAATGAAAATTTTTTATAATTTATTTAAAAAACTTCGTCTCAATGGTTCTATGGATTTATATCAATTATTAACTTCACCAGCAGGTCGAATATTAGATAAATGGTTCGAATCTGATGTTATTAAAACTACATTAGCTACTGACGGTCTTATCGGTGCTATGCTTGGTCCTTATGATAGTGGAACTGGTTATATTTTACTTCATCATGTAATGGGCGGCTTAGATGGACAAGCTAGTAAGTAAATAAAACAACTTTTCTGTGATGTTTCTTTTTGTAATCAAAAGCGTGTAAAGAAAGAAAACTACAAAAAGAAAAAAAACACATGCTTTGAAAGTCTTCGTATTGATAAATAAGTTGTTTTGTATAGAAGTAAAAAAATTGCACCTTCCTGTCCTCTGCATCACAGATCGTGTATCAGTAACGTCTCGTTATAATATATGAACTACTTTTTTATTACTCTTTTTGTCGGGGATTAAGTATAAGGATGATGAAGGAATATTGCCTCAAGATAGATAAAATAAAACAATCTTCCAGTGATTAGTAACAACAGCTATATCATGTTTCATATTTTAATCCCGCAGGGCTTGTGCTAACAATTTTATTATAAAGATATGCATTTTTCAATAATATTGTTTTCCGCATCATGTGTATCACTAAAAATCTTGAGATTAAATATATTTTCTATTCTGTTCGATTTAATATAATTTAAATCAGCAAATCTCAAGGTTTTATCAATCATGACGATTGATATGCCTAGAGATATGCAATTTTAGCTTTGTAACTACCGGGTTAGTATAATTAGTGCACACTGACAATGAACACTCACCGCTACAAAAATGCGATAGACTTTAATAGAATAAAATGTATCAATGTTGCATTAACTACGGATGTCAATGTAATCAGTGTCTCAATGGATCCTGTGTCGATGAATCATTGCTCAGTGTTTACAAAAATACTACACATCCCTAGATATGCCAATATTCCCTCGAGATGTCAGCTTAATCAAATTAAGTGTTAAATGGCATTTCGTTTTATACTGAAAGCAATAATACTATGATGAGGTCAAACAGTTGAACAAATAGAATAACTTGTCTGAAGTGCAATCTAAAATTTTCTATTAACTATGAATAAATAAATAGAAAAAAAAAACAAATCTAAAATGGACGATGTTTTTCAAGAGAAATTTTGAAAGTATACGTACCATCTTTTGTTTTTTATATCTCCCTTGAAAAAAAAAAAGTTAGACTAAATATTCGTACAAAAATAATTATATATTCTGATAGCACACAGAACTCTCTTCAACCCTGTCTGTATACATTTAGAATTGTACGTGTTCGCTAAAATAAAAATTCAAACATAGCGAAGGCACTCTCATTATTAGATTCTCCAAAAATGCATTTTGTGTTTTTTCTTTTTCGTTCTCAAAATATAGGAACAAGTTATTAGAAAAGTAAGTATATATTCTGAAAGTGTGTAGAGTTCTCTATCATTCTATACTTTTGCCAATGGTGAATAATTATCCATACATCTTATTTGATTACCCAATAACTATTTGTGGACTGCTGTAGAAATTATATAAAGTAGTCAAGTGTGATGGTATCAAAATGAGAGTACATTAACAGTATTCGAAATATTTATGATCAAATAATTGTAAGTCAAGACTGACAAAAGTACAGAATTTTATGTGCCTTCAGAATATATAATTGCTTTTGTAAGAATATTGAGTATAAGTATTTTTGTCCAGGGGGTTTATATAAAATGCTTCATTCATTCGAGATTAAAATTCATTTTCAGATGCTTGGTACTATGTTCGCGGCGGAATGGGTGGTATAAGTAATGCTATAGCATCATCAGCTCGTTCATCTGGGGTTGAAATACGTACAAATTGTAATGTTAATCATATAGATATACGTAATTCAAAAGTTGAAGGTGTTGTACTTGAAAATGGTGAAGAAATAAAAGGAAAATTAGTTGCTTCAAATGCAACAGCATATATTACATTTAAAAATTTAATTTTAAATGATATTATTAAAACAAATAAAGATTTAGATGAATTAAAAAAACATATTTTACAAATGGATTATACAAGTGGAACAACAAAAATAAATCTTGCTCTATCAGGATTACCGTAAATAATCAAAAAGAAAAAAAAAATATATATATATATATATACTAAGTAGTTTAATTTAATATTTCTTTTTTTTTGCTCCTTTAGAAATTTTCTTGCTAATCCAAATAAAAATATTAATGAACTTCAACCTCATCATCAATGTACAATACATTTGAATAGTGAATCAATGTCTGCTACACATAATGCCTATCTACAAGCATTAAATGGAAAACCAAGTCAATATCCATTAATTGAAATGGTTTTTATTCAAAAATAAATGACAGGAGCTCATTAGGACTAGTTATGGCTCACTTAATTTTTCTTACAAAGGAACATAAAACTTACTCGGTATTTATAGCACTTCGACAGACAAATTTAACTATATATAAATGCTACCTCTAAGTCTTCATCTATGGATACTTACGCCTCTTACAAGCTTGATCATCAATATAGCATTTCTTACTCTTGTGAGCTAAGAGGATAGATGATTCGTCTGAGAGGAAGTTACAAGTCAATGAGCTGCATTTTTGTATCAAAACATTATATAAATGATCTTTCGTTAAGCCAAGAGTAGATGGAGAAAAATGATTGAACAATCCAAATCGATGCATTTTCAGCCACTGTAGTCGATCTTAATAAAAATGAACATACCACCAAAATTTTCATGCTAGTAGAGTACATGACGAGCTACAAGAGAATGTATAAATTGTTAGCAAAAACAAAAAGTATGCCTACATGTTCGAAGTCGAGACCCTTTTGTTTGAATAGGAAAATTAGCCATTTTTTTAATAATTTTTCTCAGATTCATTACCTTTCTGGTCAAAAGAAGTTATATATTTAGATTGAGCATAAAAACTTGACTCTCAATTTTTTTATGCTAATTCTAAATATATTATTTGTTTTGACTAAAAATGTAACAATTCTGAAAAAAAAATAGGTCAAAAAATTGCTACTTTTATCTATCCAAACAAAAAGGTCTCAACTTCAAACATATGATCATAGTTTTTTGCTAACAGTTTATACGTGTTCTTGTAGCTTGTCATATATTCTACTAGCACGAAAATCTTGGTAGTATGTTCATTTTTATTCTCTATGATGTTAGACTCTCAAGATCGACTACAGTAGCTGAAAATGCATCGATTTGGGCTAATCGAGCATTTTTCTCCATCGATTCATGACTTAACAAAATATCGTATAGATAATGTTTTGATACCAAAATGTAACTCAACTCATGCTCTATTGATCACACTATGAATAAGGTCACTGGTGCATGACTTCATTTCAAAAGAAATAGCTGTCTTCTTAGCTCTCAACAAGAAGAAATGTTATAGTGATGATCAAGCTTGTAAGAGAACATAAGTACCCATAACTTAACAATTTGTAGTAACATGTATATACGATTAGATTTGCTAGCTCAAATGTTACAAAAATCTGGTAATTTTTATGTTCCTTTGTGAGAAAAAAATTAAATAAATCAAAACTGGTCCTTATGTATCTCCGTTCTCTTTAATTTTTGTAAATTGAATTTTTCGTTTTAGGTTATTCCTTCTTCACTTGATCCAACATTAGCTCCAAAAAATTGTCATGTAGCTTTACTATTTACTCAATATACACCCTATCGTTTACCGAATGGTAAACAAATTGAAATAACAAATGAATATAAAGAAAATTATTATCGAAATGTAATTAATTCAATTGAAGAATATGCACCAGGTTTTGAAAAACTTATTATTGGACGTGATATGCTTTTTCCATCGGATTTAGAAGAACAATTTTCATTAACAGGTAACAAATTTTTGATTAAAAATTTTTTTTTTTTGCAAATGTTTTTGAAAAATTAAAAAAATAAACAAGGTGGAAATATTTTTCATGGTGCACTTTCACTTGATCAAATTTATTCATTTCGACCAGCAATATCATGTTCAAATCATCGAACACCTGTTGATGGTCTTTATCTATGTGGAAGTTCAACTCATCCAGGAGGTAAAATTATTTAATTTAAATGAATTTATTTTTTTATTTTTTTGAAATATAGGAGGAGTTACCGGTATGCCAGGTTTCAATGCAGCAATGATAATGCTTCAAGATTGGCGACGTAATAAAAGTTCATTCAAATGATTATTGTCATTTCGTTTAAATATCAAAAATTTTATAAGAAGATTGAGATTGAATATTTTTATACTAATAATACTATTAAGTTTATTAATATTTCTTTATTATTTTAATATCCTCAAGGTCAAATAAATAAGAAATAAAAATGAGTTTACCTTTATTTGATTCAGTAACAGATTGATATTGAACTAAAATTCGAGAATGATCAATAATAATTTAATATTCATTGATATTTTAAATAGAATTAAAGTATTTATGAGTATAAGAAATATAATAACTACAAAAAGAAACAAAACAAAAATTCTTAACAAATCAATTTTCAATGACATATAAATTTATAATTTTCATGTATAACATATTCCATTTGTTCATAATTAATTTGTTACAAAATATTCATTTTTTAATAAATTTTTGGTTTAGATTATAAAGCTTATGTATTTTATTGAGCTTGTTTAACTAAAGCATAACAAATAATAGCATTAGTTTGTTTGCTATAGAAAAAAAAAGTGTTATTAAATAATAAAATCACATATAACAGCAATAGTTCTATAAATCACAAATATATATAATCTAGTACTGATTGTAAATATATTACTATATAAATGCGATATTATGTACTTGAAACATATACTTAACAAAAATAAACAATATTAGTTGTAAATAAATTCCAATTGATCATTATATCTAATGTATATTCTGACGAAAAAGAGTGTGGCAAGAATCACCAATTGACTACATTATGCACTACCCGTGACGACATCTAGTTTACATCGCCACATCAGAAAAAACATTACAATAGAAATAGTCTAAATCAAGTGCTCTACAAAATTATATATTTTATTTTTGTCTAAAATGAGTTTCACGCGCAAGATATCGCTACACTACAAGTATCAAAGGAGTTTCAAATCAGTGTATTGATGCATACTTGTCGTGATATAAATTCATAATAGCATCGCTGTAAGGAAACGTCTGCGAGATGTCCCTAGATAAACTCCATTATTTCGATCTATCAGAAAGATTTGATATGCGAAAAAATATCATTTGAAATAGAGTGAATTTTGTGAAAAATATGAACTTTTGAAAAATGAGTTTCATCCAAAGTGCATATATGAATTTGTATGTTGTAGTCGACTCGATGATTCATCGCACTGTGACAATAGACTAATCTAACCAATCCAGAAAAATATTGATTCTCTTTGTGATTGGCCAATAGAATAATCGCAAATACTTAATCATTCAGTTGACAGAAAAAAATGCAGAATAAATTAATTTTACCTTAGACGCTTTTTTTTTCGATGAATCGATTCATGCATATTGAGCTTAATACGGTTACTTACCAATTTGCTTTGTCAATAATAATGCTAGCTTTATATTTATATAAGGAAGTTCGATTTTTGTTCCTTTAGACTACCTAATGTTATCTCAATTTTATTCTAAACATACTTACATGCGAATGTGTCGTAATTTCTTTTTTCTCGCTTACGGTTGCTATCAATTATCACAATCTTTTTTTTTTCAAATAATAAATTTAATTTTTAATTAAAAATACCAAGGCGACGCAACTAACTTTTACTTTAAAATGTATGACAATGTTATTTTATTTTCTATTTAGTATAATATTAAAATACAGGAAATGAGTTTCGGTGAAATTTTTTACAAAGTCGTTTTTCATTATTCACAATTTTGTATTTATCATAGAAGTTGAATTATTTAAATTAATTTTTTTTCATGAATAGATTTTGTTACAATTGCTACAATTCTTGGTGGAGGTGTTCTGGGCCTCCCAACAACATTGTCTCGTAGTGGTTTTGGACCATTTCTCATTTCTATTTTTATTAGTTATTTTGTTCAAGTAAATCAATTTATGTTCTTTCTTATATATAAGTCAATAGTATTTTTGTTTCTTTAAAGGTATTATTAATATTTTCCTTTACGGATGTCTTACAAAAAGCTTATTATCGAAGAATTGAAAAATTAAAAGAGGTTAGCTAATTAAATTGTATAATATTTCAATAAATACAATTTATTATTATTGTTTTTTTTTTATCTATTTTATATAGAGTGAGCAAGAAGATGTGTTGATTCATATAGATACACAAGAAACGCCTACATATGGATCACACTATGATTTGGTAGCAAACCGCGGTAAGAATCAAAGAGATTCGTTGCTATTTATTATCAAATCTGTTTTTGAATTAATATATTGTTACAAATATTATGATTTTTTGAGAAAGAATTATTCCCGTCAATCGTATTTTACTTGATAAACTGTTTTAACAGAAAAGAATAAAATCTTAGAAGATATTAACATAAGAATATAACGAATAAAAAACAAAAAGAATTCGCGTCAATCACATCATATGAAACATAAGAAACGAGGAAGGATGTCAATTGTATATTTGCTTAACCATTAGTTCATTTTCTTTATTTGCTACCATACTACATACCACTCACATAAACATTTAAATACAGTTAGTGAGTAATCATTGAAAATAGCATACGAACTATGACAACAATATATCTCGTTTCCATTTTACATTTGTTCATATTAATGACTTTTAGTCTTGTTTTGGCTATTGTTTTCATTATTCAATTGTTAGTTGGAGTATGGAATATAATGACACATTGTTATTGTAAGAAATTATCGAATCGACATTCTATCTATAATTTTTACATATTTCATCATATAATTGTGTGTGTAATTCGATGTGTAGTAATATTTCTTTCTTGTTTATCTATAATTATGTTTAATCAATGTCTATCAATTGAAATTTTTATTCATTTTCTATTATTACTTTCAACATTTGATTTATTATTAATTATTATTGGTGAAACAGCACATTTTTGGGATTCAACAGTAAATCATAAAAGTACACTGTATTCAAAATGTTGTTTAATATTTGGTATAATTTTAAATTATTTTGTATCAATTCTTTTTCTTTCAATACATTCAACAGTGAGTAGTGAAAGTTCACTTATGATTGAAATATGTCGAATAACAACAGAAAAAAATTTTTTTCTTAAAAATTTTCATGATGAAAAATCTTTTATACCAACAATGATTGTTTATGTTCTATTTATTTTAATTGATTTATTAACATTTTCATGGATTTATATATCATATAAAGATATATATCATCTTAAACGAAAATCTTTAGCAACTGTCTTTTTTCGTTCATTAGTTTTTACAAAATTTAAACAATCTGAACGATCATTAATGGTTAATCTTAGTTTAAAACGTCTTCTAACTATATGTTTATTTGTTATAAGTAATATGATTACTACTCTACCAGTATTAACAATGAAAATTTTTAATATATCATTAAATATATATCAAAGAATATTTTTAATTTATTTTACAACATTACCATGGCTTGATTGTATAACATTTTTATTTTATCATGAAACGAGATTTATTAAGATAAATTTTTTTTCAAAAAAAATTACTTCGAATGATAATTATAATCGTCAACACCGTATTGGTCGACGTTTAAGTTCACATCAACAGAGTACTATTATAATGTAAACAGTTGAAGACAGATGAAATTATTTTTTGTATATGTGTTTAGCCTATGGTAAATCTGTCATTGTTGTTTGTTCCAGGATAGTTTTTTTCATTGTATGTGTATTTTTCTTTGTCTTGTTAATGCACTATTTTCATATTGCTTAGTATTCTCTTACAAAGATTTCCAAGTATTAAATTAAAGTCTTTGATTTCTATTAGCTAATATTTAGATCTTTGAATAACTGTATTCGTTCTTTCCTATAGATTTTTCCTACTGTCATATTTCACATTAAGTTAAAATAGACAGTATGTAAATTAATTATAGAGTTATGGATAATTACCATCTGATTCTATGTTATACATTACATGACTATTCATAGTATCGAAAAAGATATACATAAATTTTCCTAATATCATTTCATATTATCATAAGCAAGTATTATTTGCTTTACAGATAGAGTAAAAAATTTCAAAGACAAAAAACAAAACAATTCTCAAGTTTTCCAGATTTATGCTGTTAGTATTTCTTTCTTACTTTCAAGATACAAAATTCGACAGTGTCTGTATTTCGAAGAACTTGAGAAATATTCTAAGTCAGTTTTATTATTCTGTGACGTATTTCTTTCTTTTGAAAAAAATATTTTTCAGTTCTGCAATTTTTGAAACCGAAGCTATACACAGACACGTATCAATATCTTCATTGTTTTATCCAGCGTGGAGTCGAGTTACCGGAATCTCGCTAATATGACTTTCGCCAACCTGAATGTAACTTACGCATGGATTAGAGAAATTTCTACTAACCGCATTGTAATTGAAGACAGCAAGGAGATTTCTGACACTCTTAGTCATAACATGTGCTCTACATTAATATTCTTCCCTGACACCTAGTGGAAGTCCACCGAACTTTCGTCAATTGACGAATATTCACTGTACTTTCGCCAATACGTCTCCGGACTTTCGCCATTGGTGGATGTCCAGCTGGCGAAAGTCTTATGGGCGAAATTCGGAAGTTCCGTTGAGTCCGAGGGAGCGGTGCTTCTCTGAATGTTAGCTTACAAACCAGTCGAAGTGATACATCGTGTTCGAGATGAAATCCCAGTCACTACGTAGGGTCTTTTAAGATTAGGAAAAACCTATAAGGATTCATTCCCATGCTCTGCCATTTTGGAATGAAGGCGTTACAGTAGATTTTTTACCTTTGGTACGATATTTATAAAAAAACTGGACAAACGAACTTCGGCCTAAAACTTTGTTCACAGACAGCTCTTGAAGTTATTAGAATCTCCTAAAAAGTTCAGCCAATAAAAGTAGTCTCTTCTAGAGATATCAAATCCACAAAAAAAAAACATGATATTCTACCAGCAGAATAGAAAATCGAGTGTAATGGTCATCACTTCACAAGGACAGCGCATGGTAAAGAACCCTTCTAGGTTTTTTCTAGTCTCAAGAGGCCTTACGTAATGACTGGGGTCTCATCTCAAACGTGAAGTATCACCTACCGTGATTCTCTCTTTAGCTCTCCATCGCTCCAAGGAGAGAAAAGCTGGATAAAACGCTGAATACCTTGATTTATTGTTTACAATATTTTGTTAAAGCAGGTGACGATTGTATATAAAACTACAGTAAAATATTTATTGTATGATTCTCAATGAGAGTAAACTTATTATCACAAAGAATAATGAAAAATGCTTGTGTCTAGAACTGTATTATTTGACACAATCTGTATGATAAACTTTTTCACATCTCAAAACTCATGTGTTCTGATTTTTAATAGAAAAACCTTTATAAGTTATTTGAATCTGCATGGTTACCTGAAATATTAACATATATATATATATATATATATATATATATATACATTTTGAATTCTTGCTTCGTACTTGATTTCATGTTGATATTTCATGGAGTGTTTTTTTGTATGATAATGTACGAACTTATTTTTTCCTCTTGTTTTCTTTTTGGTAGTATATGATGCAGAAACAGTGAAAAGATGTTTACCAAATTTATATTCGCTTGGCGAACTATTATTGCCATATTTTCTTCCGTATTTATTTACATTAGTCATAATTTTCCAAATGTATGTATTAAATCTTTGTAAATCTTTGTATTTTATTTATGAATTTATTAGAATAATCGCATTGGTAGGTTATGCATTGGCTGGTAGTCAAGGATTTGCAGTATTGTTTCATGTGCCGTAAGATAAATTCTATCTTCTTGATCTATTTTTAAAAATAATTTTGTTTTAGATACATTAAAGTGATTCCAGGCTTTTGCTGGATATTGGCATTTGTCGTTCTCTTATTTCATTCATTTATTCAATCGATTATTTCTGTATTAACTTTCTTCAAATGTATACTTTTTACTATAACAGTAGGCAATTTAAAACAATAGTTATGTGATTGATATAAGATTTCTTTATTTTTTCTAATATTTATTTTCAAGATCATTATAACACTTGTAATTGGCTCGAAAATTCGAAATCCAGTGACAGATGATTATCATGCTATCGGAGATTCGATTTTGATGTGTACAATAACTTTAAGTAACATATCTGATTGACTTTTTCTTTAGAATTTTGATTTAAATATTAGACGGTTTTCTAAATATAATGCCAATGATGTTTGCTAAAGTTAAGCAAACAAGAGAGGAAGTAATTTGTTTTTTTATATGTTTATAAAATTTATTATTTGAATTGATTAAGATCATTGGTTTCAATGTGTCTATATTTCTTGGTTTAACAACATGCGTCATTCTAAATATTCTTTGGTATGTAGTAATCAAATATATTATGATAAAATAGAGATCCAAAGATAGAACTATCCAGAGTAGAGGTCGACAAGTTTAGTTCTAATTCAAATCTAAGGATCTTGTGAAAACGTTCTCTGATTTGAACTGATCTGTTCAAACAGTTCTTTTAATAGGAACTGTGCCGTTCGAACAAATTTTTTTCTATTATTGAAACGTCGTTTCTAAAAGAAAACAAACTTTTTCGAACAGTTCACGAGGGAATCTCTTCAAGTGTCAAATCGATCTACGACGGAGACGATGTTCATTTGATGACTACTAGCAAGTAACAGAATAATCTAGAATGGTTTGGTTTTTCGATTCTTGGTTCTCGAGACATCGACATTTTAATGGATTTTTCAACAAAAAAGCTGCGGTCCTCTCAAATCACATGATAAATAAACGTTCGAATTTCGACTTCAAACTTTGCATGAACAAAGTTCTTAATGAGATTTGTTGATTGAGCAACTTTTAGCTTTTCTAGTATCTCCTTTCTGAAAATATATGAACAAAATTTACTTTTACACATGAAAGAATTTCGAATATTCCATATGTTAGGATAGGAGACATTAGAAAAGTTACAACTTGCTCAATGAACTAATCTCATTGAGAACTTTGTTTATGGAAAGTCTGAAGTCGAAAGTCGATTTGTCACGTCACCTGAGAGGATTTTTTGTTGAAAAACCCAGTAAAATTTCAATATCTCAAGAATGATAGCTCAGAACACCAAACCATTCTAGATTTTTTGTACTACTCACTAGTACTCATCAAATGATCATCGTGTTGGTCGAAAGGCAATTTGACACCTGAAACGATTTCCTCGTCAGTTCTAGGAACTCATGTATTGGAAGAACTCTTTCGCTCAGTTGATCTGAACTTTGAACTGGAATCCTATCAACCCTAGTTCTGAGGTTGCCAGCATTGGAGAGGATCGATGACACAGGAGATCTTTGAGAAGATGCTAAAGTTGACAAGATGTTTGGTGAAGAAGGAACTCGACTGGTTTTGGGAAGAAGTCGAGCGTTTTTTGGAAATCGATGGGCAGAAAGAAGATAATAAAATGTTGACACTTCGCTAGAAAGAAACGAGAAATTTTTCAAGATTTGGATGGTTACACGCCTTCCCCGCTTGGAACACCCTTGGGTGATGATGACAATTGCTTATATTATGATATCCTGCAGGCTATTTGCAATGTGTCATACATTGTTAAAAGATAAGTCTAGAATTGTGAGGGGAGAAAAAAACTAATTCTAATTATTACATAAGATTTTGAGCATCGTCATGTTAACGACGATGATTGAGTAAAATTTCTATGAATTAAAGCATAAAGACTATATTATTTAAATTTTATTTTATCTCAAGGTGTTGGTCAGTGTTGGAAATTGTTCCACAACAAAGTGTTTGTTTACCGAATAACTTTAATGAATCAAGTCGAATGGCATATAATCTTTTTCCTGAATCACAAGATGAAGGTCAATGTATCTATTCACCTTCATTAGAAAAGTAATTCTGTTTATAAAAGATTATTTAAAACTCGTTAAGCTGAATGCATTAAAATGTAACATATGCACATAGTTACATTTTAAGTCATGTTGTCTCTATAGAGATGAAGCGTTTATAAACTAACATAGTAACTTGTTTCAATCATTTAGAAAACATAAGTATCACTGATTAGTAAAAAATTCTTTGCCATCTGAAAACTAATATCTGAACAAAATCAGCAAAAACGGAACATGACTATGACCGATTTGACTCTGATTCTTTTTAAATGTTTTTTTTTTGAACAGGCTCTCTTTGCATGAATATATGTAAAAATATTGGCTCTTTCAGTTCACTGCTAATTAAACTTAATTAGATAATTAATTAAAATGTAATTAGTAAATAATTCTCTAACCTCATGATAGACAAGTCCAAGAATTTCAGAACACATTGCACATCACAAACTAAGGCGATGGCAAAAATAGTTTAACAACAACGTATTTTTTTATTTTATTTTTTCTATAATATTAAGCAATTCACTCAAATCCAGACAATGATTTTAATAGTCGATGGAGTTTTCTATCTAATCCATTCAATATCAGATAAATTATGATGACAATGTTTCAAAAAAAAGGACACGATAATTTTCATGTTTGAGATGACTTTGTCGAGGCTATTTTTTTAACAATACTATTTTAAAGAGCAGAAAATGAAAATTCACCACATTCTCTACGACCTTTCCTTAAAAATTTAAAAGCTTCGGAAAAACCGAAAAAATGCGTTTTTTTTACAGTTTTTGTAGTACTTTTAACTTTTAAGAAAAGATTGTAGAAAATGCGGAGAATCCTCATTTTCTGCTCTTTAAAACAATATTGTTAAAAAACAGCTGCGATAAAGTTCTCTTGGGTCTGAAAACTAGTGTATTCGATTTTTTAAAAGCGTTTCCATCATGGTGCATCTAATATAGAATGCATTAGATAGAACATTCCATCGACTATTAAAATCACTATTTACATTTGAGTTAATTACTTAAAATTATACAAAAATACCTTGTTGTTAAACTTTTTTCCCATCGTCTTATTTTTACGATGAACCGTTGTGCAAGATTGAACTCTAAGAAATTATTTCCTAAAAACTGATTTTCCAGAGGTCTACTTTCCAAGTAGACAAAAGTTTCTGAAAACGCGTTTAAATACTCTAATCACAATTCCCATTCGCCTCTTTTGACGTCCATTCAGAAAACATCAAAACCAGTTACTTTCATCATGAAAGACGCATGAAAACATTTTAAAAGGCACGTTTAGTATCTAGTAAACGTGTGAAGGTTGTTTCCATAACATTTTGACGTGTTCTGCAGATAAAAATGATCTTTTTTTGACGTTTTACAATTGTCAAAATTGTCTTTTTAAGTGTCTTTAAGAATCTTTTATGATGAAAACAGATTGTTTTAGTGTTTTCTGAACGGACATGAAAACACTAAAACGAGAGCCGCGATCACAATATTTAAAAGAGTTTTGTGTTTTACTATCGTGTCGAGATCTTCGATGAGTATTTGTATTATTTAGAATTGATTTTTGCACTTCTCAATCAGTTATAAAAGGATTTTTCATTTCTATATTTGTATTCACTCATGTCGTTAACAACAAATAAACTCAATTTTTTTGAAAAATCTAAGCATCTTCAGGTAAACCTTTTTGTGTAAGAATTTTGTAATCTGAAGAGTTCTCTTCAAAATGTACTATTTCAATTTGCAGACTTTGTAAAAGGAAATATGCACAGTAAAAATTTTGTCATTTGCTTTATTATATGCTTTATTTATACTGAAATTTACTGCTGCTCAGTAAAGAGATAGAAAAAAGAAAAAATACATCATACAGAGTTATCAGAAGAGCGAGAGTACATGAAAAATAGTAAAAGATCATATATAAGATAGGTCCACTCGCGAACGTAGAAAGCAAACAAAGAGCGATAAGATAATCAAAAACAAAACCGAAGTTCAAAAACATGAACATATCGTTCGCAAAACGATCGGCTTTGACGTGAATTCAAACGCACACCTGTCTCCTTGAGAGTTGCAACACGTATATCACTTCTAAGAGACCGGTAAAAGGTCCACTGATGAGCGAAACTCAAAGTATTCGGACCGGTCAGAAGGGCCCCTTAAAACGTTTCCAGTAAAGATATAAACGATCTAATAGAGTTTATTCATGTGTAATAGAAAAAAAGAAGTAATCGGACCAATCAGCCAAGCCATAGGAAAGTTTTAAATTATAGCAAAAGATTTTATGAAGGGTTTCTTGCTGTGAAATTGTAAAATAGAAAAAAAAACGGGAAAGGCCCAAATAAAAAAGGAAAAAATAAAACTATAAAAAATTTGACAACGTAACTGAATAGCAATTTGTCTTTCATATTTAAACAAGATTTTGAGCATGGGTGTTCGAGAACGAATGTTAGACAAAATATAATTCAGAAAAGATCCATAAGAAGCTCGAATATTAATTTCATATCCAAGATAGTGAGAATTCTTAACACGCAATAAACGATATCCGCCATAAAAAAAGGTAAATCAGGGATACCAATTTGAGATTCCGAAAGTTGGTATACTGTTTCTGTAGGATTTAAATTGGCAAGCCATGTTTTACAGTAGATTGGAAGAGAAGCAAGCAATAGCTGACTCTTTTCCCTAAACCAACTAATAGATTCTTGAAAAGAAATACCGAAAGGTGAAACTATAACTACTGCACCATCATTAGCATAGAAATTAACATCATGTTCATTGAAAATTAATATGAGAACTGAAGTGAAAAGAATATAAAGATCAAGATAGAGAGCCGATCCTTGAGGTAGTCCCCATTCTAAATTAAATTTTGGTGAAAATTTGCTTCCAAAAAAGAGTTGTGCTATACGAGTATGGAACCGAGATAAGAAAAATTTTAGTAAAGAATGTGGCATATCGTACCGATGTAATTTTACGAATAAAGAAAAATATGAGATTTTGTCGGAAGCAGATTTAAAGTCGAGATAAGAAGTAAGTACAAGTCGATTTGAAGAGATAGCAGAACGATGAGCTTCAGCAATTATAAGAACACGTCTAGCAATATGTAATTTAGGTTGAAAACCAGATTGTTCGTTCAGAACGATAGCTGAGTCTCGAATCCAAGTTTTAAGTTTACGACTTATAATTCGTTCATATAATTTACCGAGTACACAATAACAATGAGATGGGTCGAATTTCATCGATTGTCGGAAAAGTTGTTGTTTATTGAAAGGTGAATCATTTTTGCATTTTTAAACAAATCAGGAAAAGAAGATGTTTGTAAAAATGAGTTAAGTAAAACAGTGAAAATATCAATATAATCAATGGGAAGTCTTTTGAGCATCATGTTCGAGTTGTTGTATAAATCTAAAGATGTTTTCGGTTTCAAAGTAGAAACGGCCGCCAGGGTCTCATCGAAGGTTGTTCAAATGTAATCAAAAGATGGTGCGAATAAAGTTTTGAAAATAACGCCGTACTCTCTTAATATTTTAGAAAAATCTGCACTGTCATTATCGAATCGAGGATGTGAGAAGTAATTTTTATAGTGTTGATGTAATAGAGCTAAAATATTCTCGGAATTTCGTATGAGCGTAGTATCTGTAGTAAAGCCTTTGAAAGCAGTCTTACTTTTCCGAAAAAACTTTGTAGAAAAATGCCAGAAAGCTGATTCTGTAGGATTATATTATGAAAGAAATAAATGCTATTGATGAAGTAGATGTGCTCGAATACATTCGTTTAATTTGGTCCGTTTCTCGATATATAAAAGAGTTGCAGTAATCGTTTTAGTTTTGTAATAACGATTTCCAATTTTATGAAAAACTTTAATTTGTTGTCGAATAGCTGGAGTTAAGGAACGTCTATAAAAAGAATAGGAAACATATCGGGTGATTCATACGTATGCAGCAGAAAGTGATTGAGTAAAAAATTCCGAAAAATAAATACTATCGAAATTATAAACAAGAGAATTAATGTATGGAAAAACTAAGGGAAAAAATTGTTGATAAACTGACCATTGGGTATCACGAAAAAAACCATTTATTTTTGTTGTTCAAAGACTTTCGAATAAAACAGGCCAATGGTTACTAGAATCTTGAAAATAAACTGAAGATTTCCATTCATCATCCGAAACAAAACCGATATCTAGTCTATTACTGAAGAGTTTAGAGATGGCATGACACGGGTAACAAATGTAAAGCTCAGTATCATCAGCGAACCTTTCAAACAGTCTTCTATCACGATTAGTACGAGTGCAATCCCAATGCAGCGAATGAGTATTGAAGTCACCAACAATGATTGTATTGGTGGTGCGATATTCTTCGAAAAGAGTGAGTGGAACAATTTCTGATGGAGGATTGTAGATGGATAACACACGTAGAGTCGATGATGACAAACAAATGTCAATAACTAAAAAGTTGTCAGTAGAAAATATAAAAGAACAATAGACACTAAGGTGAACTAAAACAACGACATCTCCCCCATACATTCGAACTGAAAGTGATAAAATGAATATAATCAGCTGTAAACTTACATAATTCGTTTTCACCTACGATACCAGTCTCAATAAGAGCAATGACAGTAAGCTGAAGGTCGTCAAGCGATGATCGAACTTCCAAGTAACGAGAACGAGTAGCTTGTGTGTTATAGAAAAGAAGTGTCAATGTTTTAGAGCAAACTGTTGGTAGAATAACAGATAACCATTGATGAAATAAATTTGTAAATGTTTATCGTTCTTTTCTTTCAGCAATCATAGAACTAAATAAATAATTATCGAATGGAAAATCGAAAATAAATAATTGATCATGTGGTAGCAATACAATTGACGGCTAATACGAAAAAGGTTTCGAATTGATATTCATAATAGTCATCATGATATTGAAGAAAATACGGAAACAGTGTTGGTCGCAGTAGAAGTATCAAATAATGGATGATTTGTATATAAGTTCATAATGTTATTATCAATCATTAATTTTTGAGTTTGTTCCATAGACTTTTTAAAATTTTGATGTTGCTCATAGGCGCCGTTCAAAAACATTGATGTTTTCTATAATTGATTGCCTATTGTTTCCTTTTGATTAACATGCATTGATGAGTTCGAAATGAGATGAGCAAGAGCCAGTAGAGTTTCAGTAATTAACTTGAACGATGGTAACATTATTTTTTCGACAAGAGAACTTACGCAATCAATTTTATGTTCTTGTATAATAGATAAAACAGTTAAGCTAGTCATTTGTTTAGCAAGGTTCGATAATTGGTCTTCAAATAGTTTAACAGTAGTTTGCATAAAACCAATAAAATTTGATATGGATCTTAATGATTGAGGAACAATAACTGTTGTAGATGTTGATTTAGGTGCAATGGTATTCAATGTGTTCCCTGTAGCATGATGTGCTGCTGCTGAAGGTATCGGCCAACATGAAATAGGAGTAACTACTGGAAGCAATCGTTCACCAACCTGCCGTAAACGGTGTTGTAATTCTTTTGAAACATAAATATGATTCGAAACAATGCTGTGTTCGACAAGTGTTGTGACGAGCATTTTTTTTTTGAAATTTAACATAGACGGATAATGGTGATCGAAAGCGTCATGATTTATATCAAAAGGATGATTAGGTAATTTTGAGCAATTAATACATCGAATAGAACTGCACTGATGATTTGTATCAATTAAAATAGGTGTTACACATTTGTTGTATATCTTGTGTGTACTTGAGCAATGTGACGAGAATCTAAATATTGCTTAGTAGCAAGACGTACATTTGCAACTGATAGATATTGTGCTTGTAAGCATCGATCACAGTCTTGAACAGTTTCAAAATCGATACGAACAAGTGTAGAATTGTTTGTGTTTGAAGAAGTACAAATACGGTGTAAATATTTAACTGAACGAAACTGTTTTTGCATTTGTTCTAAAAGATAATTATCATTAAGATAACATGGAATATTTAAAGGAAGAAGTGAAAGTTGGACTGGTAAGCGATGTGATGATGTAACTTGTATGGTAGATGTACCGATGATAGATGGATAAGTATTCGTGAGTAATAGTGAAAAGATATCTCTGGTTGGAGCATAGAGCAACAATTGGTTTTTATTATTTAAACGCCATGATATATCACTAATTCGAGGTAATGTTGGATGAGCATTGATGAGTGAACGTAAAAAAATGAACAATAGCTGGTGATGAATGTGATGTAAAAGCTGGTACACCAGTTATGGTAATAGGTGGCTACGATATCGAATTTGTGTATCTAAGAGCTTCAGAACTTATCGATGTTGTTTGTTCTTCAACATTATTAAGAGATGAATGTGATGATGTAGATAGAGTTGAAAGATTGGTGCGGCTATTGAGTTCGTTGTCAATACGAATTTTGGTGTTATTGTCCTCTGATTCAGTTTCTTGTTTTGGAATTATTCGTTTCCTTCGAAGATGTATTTAATTTGAAAATAGTTGCTGATCTTACATAATTTCACGAACAAGTACGAAGTCGGCAAGTGTAGACCCAAAGATGTATTATTTTGTGTTGATTTGTTCTATCCAAAATGTTCGAGAATTGTTCGAACTTGGAGTAAAACTCCGAAGAAAAAGAGAAAACTTATCAAATTCGAAAAAAAAAATTGAAAAATTAATTTTTTTCGTCACATCAATAATGCTTGTTTTTCAATAGTAGTCCAGCGAAGCAAAGATCTATAGAGTAATTCAACATACATCTATTACATAAAACTTTGCTAAAAGAAATTTCAGAGTCCAGAAATATATATAGTTTTATTTCTTGAAATTACGCCACTGACGAATGAAATTGCCCATAGATCTACTAATTTAACAAAGATGTCAATAGGGATGCTATAATACCATTACCGGTAATAAGTAATAATCACCAAAAAAGTAATAAAGTCATACACAAATAAGATATAGAAATAGTTCTAATCATATGTTAGAATTCCGCTTCGACATCAAAACATTATGACGATGTTAGATCTTATTTTCCCAACATAGATTAATCTCAATATTTATGCATTATTGATAGAAGAAATATCAAAGAGGGAATAACGGAATCGTGAAGTACAAAAGTCCCTTACATTTCTAGAATTCCTCAGGATTCTCGGTAAGCTCCTAACAGCCTATTAAGGAATGCCATCTGCGTCACACCAGCTTTCCATGTTGATATCTCTTTTTCCTTTTTGAATGTGAATGCCGGTGAACTGAAGACTCATATTCGTACCCACGTACATATACACCCACCTTCATGTTGTATTTATTGTTTTTTGTTATTACTTTATGACCATAATAACTTATTACTCGTAATTACGTATTCCTTTATTACTAATAAAAAGTAATTAGTAATAAAATAATAACAAACTATTTCATATTTCAATCATAAAAAAAATAAAAGCTTTAGTATTATCAAAATAGTAAAAGCAAAGTAAATGCTAATACAAAGCATAGATGTCCATCGCAGCTGAGCATCTACCGCTGCCGTACCACGGCGATAACTAAGAAAAGCTAGCGCGACGCGATGAATTGTAAAAAAATTGCCGCTATCGCGATGGTATTCAAAAAAAAAGATTTCGATTTTCAAGGTCGTAGCTGGTTTGAACTAGAACTGCTGTTGTTGATCGACCAGCTTTGCTGAATCTTGCAGTATGACATATATGAACATCGAGATTCTGTACACATTCATGTATTTTTGAAATTTCTTCCTAAAAAATCTTCTGCTGTCGCGACGCCACCGCCCTGGTGGCAGCAGCGCGGCAGCGTCGCCATGAACATCTCTGATACAAAGTAATAATAATTATTACCAACTACCGAATAATAGTAATGTAGCATCTCTAGATGTCAACTAGAAAGAGTATTTATTTTTTTATTCACAATGAAAAGATGCCAATCGACTATTGTACAGTAATATCTAATTTTTATCATTGTATTTTATTCGTCATAGTTTTAAATGTTTTATATAACAATAATAATTATCTTTTTTTTTTTCTTAAGATCTGCAAAAAATGGCGAAATTGCAACAATACCATTAAGCATAGTTTGTCTTATTAGCTTATATCAAAATTTTTATTTCTTTTTTAATTTTTTTTGAATAGATTCTTGAAAACAGAAACTCTACTTATCAATATGTTTCAATACTTATTAAAATATTTATTTTCATAAGTATTACAGCATCATTTATCGCTTATGGTTCAGTCCTATATCATACAAGTGAGATTATTCAATTTATATTTAGTGATTTAAGAATTTTTTTTTTCTTTAGTCAAAGGTTTTGTTGATTCATATTGGAATGTAACATTCGAAATTGAAGCAAAATCTCGAGGTCTTTTGAAATATCTTACTATACAACGGTTAGTAATTGATTTTGAAATATTTATAGTAACAAAATTTTCATTTCTATTTATCATAGAGCTGTTCGATGGGCTTTTTCGTTGATAGCCTTTGCAATTGTATTTGCAGTTGCATTTAGTAATCCAAAAGTTTGAAAAAAAAAAAGATTTATTAATATATTAATTCTAGTTACCTAGTATTTGTAGGGTTTTAAAATAATTTTGGAAGGAGTTAGCAATCTTTTAGTAAGCATTGAAATTGGAGTTTTTATTTCAATAATGATCTGTAGAGTATCATCGCCGACTTTCAAGTAAAATTATTTGATTAACGTTGTTTATTTCTTTTTTCAGAAATATTTTTGTTTTAGTTCATATATAATTCCATTTCAATTACCAAATTGGTTTCGTTATTGTCGAAATATCATTCCGATTTATTTTATTTTTATTTTTATTTTTGATATATATTTTATAATTCAACATCATGGTTAGAAAAACAAACATAATTGACACTCTTACTTCTTTTTTTTAATGTCAAAGTAATCTGTATTGTGAACATTTTGCTCAATTATTTTAATCTTTTTCTGCAAAATCTCATATCTTTCTTTTTTCGTTTTTAATTATTCAGTAACCATCCAAATTTGATAATTTAATATTTTTAGATAGAAAAACATAATGCAATCAAGATCGTCTCGTATTGGATTTGAAGGAATGCTCTCTGGTGAACAGAAATCTTATATCGGTTTTGAACAATATGAAGATGACCAAAAGCAACATGCGTTACCTGTTTATCCTTTAAGTATGATTTTAAACTATTTCTCAATTATTAATTTTATTCTATTGTAAAAACAAATGATACACCGAAAATCTATCGGCTTCTTATTTCGACATGAAAGTGGAATTAAAATGTATACCAGAGTTGAATATTGTGAATACTCGAGAATTATAAAACAGCTAAGGGTCCATAATTGGAGCCACTTATCCTGGTCTAATGTTTTCTTTATAACTATAAACACAGAGCTGCGCAAATACAAATACAATTTGTACTTTCATTTACTCATGTGATTCCATCAATAGGATATGTATTTTCATCACTCTATGTATAAGATCAAAGTATTTAGAACTGTAGAAGTTGTACTTTGTACTGTCATATACTGTGATACACTACTTTCATCACTCTATGTATTGAATGTGGGTTAAAGAGCTGCGGATTCATGTTTTTGTGAATCCGGACTTGATCAGGTCCCAACCCGAGTTTTTTCCAGCAATATCTGACACTCTCTGCGTACATGAATAAGTGAAGAATCAAGAGTTTAACTATTTTTGACCTACTCTCAAAAACAAAAGTCAAGGTATAGTTATTTCTTGTTGTTTATTTTCCCACTATTCGATATTTGATAAATTAAAAAATTTTCGCTTAGTTGAAAAGAGTATTATGTTAACAAAAAAAAGAAATTGAACAGTTAATTAGTAAACAATATTTGCCATTGGAAATCATTAAACGAGTAGTAACATCAAAATTTTCAGCTGTATAGAATTGTTTTAATTGTATTGCTGTAAGCGAGATCAAGCAAGAATATATTCTATGTACACAATATAAGGATATATGAGTTTATATTTTTGTAGACCAAGGAGGTAAAACGGATAAAAATTGTTCATTGCTGTAAAAGAAAAGTTAGATCAGAAAAACTTTAATTTCTTTTTAATCTTTACTCAAAACTTCTTCAACATAATTGATCTTATGACTTGTTATAGCATCGTATATTGTTAACTGATTTTCATGATATAAACCAAATACTTTCTATTTTTGCGCGTTTGAAGATATTTTTAGAATAGAAACAAATCATATGTTATCCTTCTGGGAAATTCATAATACTATCGTAAAATAGTATGCGCACAAAAAAATAATGAGTCGTGTAGGCATACAAATATATGAAGTATACTATTTATCTCTTATTGTTTTCATTGTTTCATCATTTATTTTCTCTAGTACAAGCACATATTTTTTTGTATGAAAACAATTGCTAGTCATTTTTATGAACAATAAGTTTTGCTTATTATTATTATTATTCAATAATAAAATTAGATCCTCAATTCAGAAAATTTAAAAATATTTCACTTATAAATGATCTATTCGATAAAAAAAAACCTAATTAATAAATTAACAAGAAACGAACGTAGTTTTCATTTAAAGTATACTTTCTGTTATCGTTTCTTTTTTTTCAATCTATTAGCTGATACTATGCCGAATCCAAATCAATCTCTTCAAAACAACTTCTCTGATTCGAATTATTCATCATCTGTTGCGCAAACAATGCCATCTCCTGCACATTCATTTAAACAGAATACTAAGTCTTCTACATCAACAACAAAGAATCTTTCATATCCACATTTATTTGCTATCTATAATGAAATTGTCAATGAATGGTCTCAAATACAATGGCTCATATTTGTTGATAATCATAAAGAGATTTATTTAACATTAGATATTAATACAAAAGAATGTTTAACTGTACAAATGGCTATTAATCAATATTATCTTACAAGTGGTAGAGCATTACTTTTTTCTCGACCTGAATGTTTATTAATTCGAACAAAATCAAAATCAAAAAGTTTAGTTTTACCGAATTCAATTATTTCAATTGATAATTTATTAGAAAATAATATTGCTCAACAATTATTTCGATATAAATTATTAGCTATTTTATGTGATTCAATTGAAACAAATAGTAAATTAATGTTTTATAAAGATAAACAATCAAATAATTGGTATGTTTATTATAATCAATCGATATCAATACCTTCTCATTCTAATATATTATCAAATGATGAACAAATTCAAATTGAATCATTTATTCAAGAAAATAATCAAATAAATCATATTAATCTATCAAAATTTACATCTCCATTATCAGCATTACATAATCATCCAATTATTTATGTATATATACCAGAAAAAATTTAATGAAAATTATTTGTCATTTATGAAAGAACTCAGAGAATTTAAAATATCGATATTGTATAATAGACATATTTCATTCCGTTTTGTTGAAACAAGAAAATTGTTTAGTTAGTTCATTTTCGTGATCGACATTATAATGCAGATGATTATTTTTATTTTTTATGACTGTTTATGTGCAATATAATGTCTTAAGAGAATGATTAGCTGTGTTTCAGTTTGTTTTTTTTTTTGAAAATAAGATTTATTTTTATGCCTCGCCTTATTGTTAATAAATATATATTTGTTTGTATTTTTGTTGTAAATTCTACTAGTGTAGAATTCGAAGTAGTATAATCTTATTTATATGAGACTGAAAAGGACATGAACTCACCAATTAGCATTTAAATCAGATAGAAAGGGTTGGAAGAAAATCGATGAATTGATAAGAGAAATCCTACAACTGATAAATTGCTTTTGAATCGAAACCCAAATGAGCTATGAATATTCAGAAAAGAGTTCGTACCCTTAGCTTATTGCTACGGGAATACTGCACTTTTATGATATTTCGTACAATATGATCTAAAGGGAGTGTTGAAATATAGGGGTAAAAATTTGGGCCTCCCGATCCCATTCACAGACCATGACAGGCGTTGTTCATATATGATCAAAGACCGTATATCAATAATATCTCGTTATAATATATGAGCTACTTCGTTATTGCATTTCTGTAGGATTAAGTAAATGGATAATGAAGAAATATGTTCCAGAATAGATAGAATAAAACAATCTATCCGTAGTCAGCAACAGCAACTACATTGTGTTTCACATTTTAGTCCTGTAGGAATTGCACTATTTTAAATTCATGCCGTAGTCTCCCACAAATACACCGAAAAAAACCTGGTTTTCGAATTTCGACTTAAAATTTTGCATAGAGACAGGCTTTAACGATAATAGTTTATTGGAAAAGTTTCATATCTTTTCATTGTTCCTATCCTAAAATATAACTATGGTAATAGCATTTTTTTTTCATCACTCATATAAAATGGCATATCTGACGTGCTTATTTTAGCACAGGAGTAAATCAAAAGATCTGAAACTTTTATAAAAAAAAAAAAATCTACTCTTGTGAAGACTTGTTTCTATGCAAAGTTTCAAGTCAAAATTCGAAAATCAGTTTTTCTGCTGCTCGTGAGAGAAACCATAACATTCATTTAAAAATTACTGTAAAAGTGCAGTATCTTCGCAGTAAAAAGCTAAGGGCACTCATTCTCAAAAATTAGTCATCATTTTCCGAAGATTCAAATAAATTCCTATTTGAAAAAATTTCAATGTCATTAATTCATCATACAATAGATGCTCATTTGTCAGGATAGTTTAAAAAGAAAAATTTAGAACATATATCTATCATTTCTAACATCATAACAAGATGCGTAAAACACTGACAGAATAGTGACTAATGCCGACCAAATAATCATGACACATAGTGTTACTGCTACCGAAAATCTTCATATGTGAATTTGAATTAACTCTTACACTTCTATAAATTTGCTAAGTCAGTACACTGATATCAGATAAAGAAAGATTAAATGATGAAATTCGTCCGAACAAGTTGTAATCAAAAGTGTTTTTAGTTGATTTCTGTCTACAAAAAAAAAAGATATTTAACTTTTCCTATACTATCTTTCGATATAAGCCTCATCAAAGTATAAAGAAACGTAGTAGTCTAATCTTTCTTTTGTTCCATTGTAGAATTGGTATCACAACAAAAAGAAATTGAAGAGATTGAAATACAATAATATCGCGTTAAGCCTATGAAAAACAAAAAAAAATCACTCATAAAACGATTCTAGAGCCATACAAACTAATTCTTCCATATCGATACTTATGTTGTTTTCAGTTCAATGATAACCAAGTAGAATGAAGCATAGTCAATTCGGCCAGAAAATGGTATAAACCTATACGCTGAAATCCAGTAACCCGATTCGATAATCTAATTTCTCCAGTTCTGGTTGAAATCGACCATAGCCTAGGCAGAATCAGGTTACTGGATTCCTGCTTCCAAATTGCTACCAATTTCCGGTGGGAACCCGTCAAAATCATTGTCTTATGAAAATATATTGCCACGAAGAAAATCGAATCGAAGATCTTCTGTAATGTCTTTCCAGGAGAAATATGTCTGTATATATATATATAGTCATTCAATGAATTGATTGCAAAATGTTCACAACGAGATAAATAAATTCGATATCATAAATTATGCGTATTGAGAAGTCAACTTTTTACATGCAATTGAAATTTGAGAAAATTATTGTATGAAATATCAAGCTGAAATCAAAGAACAGTTAAGAAAAGAAATATAGTGATATGGTCAATTTTATTTTTCGGTTATGACAATAACAACTTCATAAAAGTAACAATTATTTCTCAATAAAAAATATAATTAACGAAAAAGTATTCGTTTATGAAAAGTTTTGATAACAATAGCCAGTACAGATTGCTACACTGCTAATACCTGCATATCGAACAACTTCCAAACAGACTGTTTTCACAATTGAATGTGAAACATATTGACGAAAGAATGTCAAAGGAGTTCTACTTGCAGCACATGCGCCAAGACATTCGAGTAATTCAAAGTTCTATCGACCTTGTGAATCCATAAAGGCAACCTTGATTCAATAGCAGCACCATTCGATAGAACTACTACACTCTATAGTAGATAGGCGATATTAAAAAATCGATGAAGCATTGCATTTACAAAAAAATGAAATATTCTTGTAGAAATTTTGTAAATCTGTTCTACTTAGGAAAAATATTTTATCTTTGATTTTGATGGTTATGAACGGTTGTGAATAAAATTTACCTCTGTCGACTGGATTTTTACAAGTGCTAAACAATGCTTTGAAAACTATTGTAAGAAAAAACATACACATATTGTTGAATCTTATATTGTTTTTCTGTAAATTTTCCTAGGAAGTCAAAATAACCTTGAAATATATCTAATGATCTGTGCAACGGATTGGAAAATATAGTTTAGTCATGATTATCTTCAGATTTTTCAAGTCATTTTCATCGAATCATAATCAAAATAATAGTTTAAACAAGTAAAAATTTGCTCAAATGCCTACAAGTGAATACTCAATAAAACTAAGCAAAATCATAAAATCTCAAGACTAAAACTGATATATGACTTTAGTTGGCATAACCTTTTTTTGATCTTATTGAAGATCTCTTCACGTATTTGTACTCATTGTATCTGTTACAAGTTCTTCAGTAATGTTTTCACTATTATGATTACTAATGATAAGTTTAGTATTGAAGACTAGTGAATCTGTGATTTCCGACTTCTTATGCTTTATTTGTAACTAGATTTATTACATTGCTGAAAATTTCTTGTCATTGAATAGTCTATAAATATGATGGAAATGCAATAAATGTTATTCGAATTCAAACATGTAAAACTATGCGTACAAACATATGAATTGTACTCTTATGATCATTGCTAATTTTCGTTTTATGAAACATGAGTAAATAAAAACGGAAGATTGAACAATTGCAGGCTTGATCCAATATAATACATTAATCAAAAGGTTGACATATGTTTTATAAGTATCAAAGAGAAAGAATAGTCTCCTGGCATAATCAATTATAACTTAGATATGCTAATTCGATTTTCTTGCAAAAGAAAATAAATGAAATCGATTGTGACATTGTATTTATTTGATTTTAGAAACGAGAAAAGAACTGAAGTTCAAAAGATTTACTATGTTAATTAATCTGTGTGCAACAAAAGTTCCCTCCTATTTAAATGAATATACTATTTTATTTCGATTGCAAGGTTTAAAATGGAACATATATATATATACAGAAGAGTTCGACGCATACACTATGAGAATTCGTTTTTCTTCTGCTTGTTTCCTTGTTTAAATATATGAATCATTCGATTCGATGGCTTTATGTGGGGTTCGATGACATGTCTTATTGAGTACTGCTTTTAACTTTTCTCCTTGACAAGCTGAGTGTTTGTTTAAGCCTGTGCCAATGATTCTGAATCGCAATGAATTCAGATGAACAAGATGACCAATCTAATAACTTAGTTTCGTTGTGATCATACACTATTTTCATTCAAGCGTATTATTTGCGTCAACCGAAGCTAAAAGTTCTATGTATTTATCACCGCATGTCAGCTAAGTCAACCATTAAACTCGTTGAATGTTTCAATATATCTAATTGCTGACTAACAGTTTTTACTTTTTAATGAGAGAAATTTTTTTATCGTGTTTATCAAGTACAATCAATAATCTTATTTCATACAAGCAAGTAAAAATGTGGTTAATTATTCGACGATCATTATGAAGTTAGCAGGCTTTTACAATAAATTGCTTTATTTACTTTCGGATTTCTTTCAGAGCACATAAGCATAATTCAAATATCCAATATTGCCTTTTTTTTACTTCTATTAACCAATTAATAAATTTGAAGAATAACAATGACAAAACACAGAAACTGGATATAAGTAATGAATTGTCAGAAAATCCTGTGCCCTAACAATGACAAGTCTTTCCATTACTTAATTATATACGAGATGAATGAGTTCAAATCGACGAAAAAACTTTTATCACGTATTGAATGATGAAAAATTTTACAAGGTTTATTTAGCATAAACATGATGGTATCAATAGCATTTCTACCTTGCAGTATGTTTGTGTTTCTACTATAGGATTCTTGTTGAATATAGAACTCTACTTATTTTTCTCTTTCTTGCTTCACACTACTGACATCGTCTATCGTTGATGGGAAGGCACACGATGGAGAAAAATGCACAATGAGAGAGAACCTAGCAGACATGTGTCAACAAGAAGAGAACGAATGGCTATGCAAGGAGTGTGTCAATGATAAGAGAATGAATAGCTGCATAAACTATTTCTTTCTGTTACATATGAATCATAAAAAGTTATAACTATGTCTTTGATACAGTAAAAAAATCTTAAATCTTCTAAAATCTATTATTTATTTTTCTGCAAGTGTTTGTAAAATATTTTATTATATCAAATATGTTTTTATATTACTTAAAATATCGTCGAAATTCTATTAAATCAATAACATCTAGTGTATTATTCATTTTATTTCGTTGGCATCAACGTATTCATTTATTTATATTTATAACTGTTTTATTCATAGTTAGTTTAATATCTTATTATAAACCATTTGGTCTTCTATATAATTTAAAACATATTCGACCTGAAAGTTTATCTACTGTACCTATACGTAATGATTTAATAAATAAACAAAAACAAGAACAACAACAAGCTTATGAATGGCTTAATAATTTTTTGAAAAATTCTAAATATTATTCAGATATTATTTCAAATCAAACTGATCAATCACGTTTTTATGATTTTATTCAAATAAAAAATATTAATTCAACTTTATCATCCTATAAATTATTCGATAAACCTAAACAAATATTATTCAATAATCATACAATTATCAATGATCATATTATTATTTCAATTTTATATAGTCTACAAGATGCAGATCATCGTGATGGTAAATTTTATGTTGGTCAAGTACTTTATCAACTTTTAAAAAATTATCATTCACGTTTTATAATCACATTATGTGAAAATGGTAATCAAAGTAATAAAATATCAGATGATATTAAATTAATTCGACGTTTAGTACCAGTTTTTATTATTAATACAATTGATTCCGATGAAATAATCGATATATATGAAAGAGAAAAACAAGCACATTTACAATGTATTCTAGCTAATTTTCAATCATTTCCAAATGTTAATTATTTTTTACTATTACAAGACGATGCACAACCAATTGGTGATGATTTTTATCTTCGTTTTCTATCATTAATTGATTATCGTATTAAACAACAATGGCCATCAAATGGTTATAGAAAACAACCAGCTTTTCTTAAAATTTATCATCCAAGATGGTTAATTGGTTATTTACATCCATCATTTTATATTATCGTACAATTAATTGCAACAGGTCTTCTTCTTACATTTATTTCTTTTATTTGCTTTAATTTATTCCAAATCATTAAACAGGTTGGTTAAACTACAATAACAAACTTTTATTTCATAGTGTACATATGTGTTACATAGAATAAATAATAAAATGATTATTTTATCTAGACTTGTGAAATATTTAAAAATTATGTTTTTGATACATACTTTCATTTATTTTCTTCTTATATAGATAATAATTGGTTTTTTAACTAACATTGTTAAATTTTTCTAAGCTATATATAAAGAATGAAAATTGATTAATCTAGAAACTAACTGAGTTCTTCTGAGTTTATGTTTTTAATTTTTGGGTTTATTACTAATATTTGATATTGAAATTATTATTTTATTCAAGGGTAACAATACTAATCCTTATAATTCTATAAATAATATTAATCAATTATGGTTGCAACACTATGGTGCATTATCATTAAGTAATAATATTACATTTATCAATCGTCTTATTTCTAGTAATTTAAATCAAATTTATTTTATATATTACTTTCTTCTTATAACACTTGCACTTATTTTACTTAATCATTCTAATGTATCATGGACATGGCGTTCATTACATCCATCATTTTATGCTATTTATCCAGCACCATCATGTTGTATACCAGGCGTAGTCTATTTTCGACAAACATATATACAAGTTATTGATTATTTAAATAGTGTTAAATGTCATAATGGATATGCGATTGATACAGCATTTGATGATTTACCAAAACGAATATCTCTACAAACATATCTTGTCGAACCAAATTTAGTTCATCACGTTGGTTTATATTCAAGACTTCGACATACGTATATCAATCCCTATTTACTCGATTAATTAATGTGAATTCATGGATATTGTGATAAACAAATTAAAATCCTGATCAGATATTTGCTTTGTTTTTTGCTTCTTTATTTATTCATATAAATGAAAAACAAATTAGATTTAAGATGATTTGTCTTTCAATCTGTGGTAGAGTATTTTTTTTTAAGCACACGAAATGTAACACCGAATTTTAAAAATCCAATATATAATCGCTGTTTTGTAAAATATGAATGACACTTAATATCACTATTCATCACTGTTTAACTATAGATAGACTATTGATAAATCTGAATAGACGTATGCTGATCAATATATGAATGTATTTGTCATCATAACTAATATTCGCTTCATATTCAATAAATTGACGAGACATTATTGATTTCTGAACTATAACTCACATGAAATCATAACGTCTACTAACAGACGTTCAAATGTTACGATCTAATCTAAACCAATCAGTAGCTTACAGGATTTATATTTGTTTTTTTTTTTGATAAATTCCGTAATAGATCTTATTATCATACTGCAGGAACAAGACTAAAGACAAGTACTTCGCTGAGAAGGAGGGCGAGAATGATACTTAAGCCGGGCAAATAGCTGAAAGCTAACCAGGACTCGAAATGAGCGTGGCGATTCTAAACTTTTGTTGGGTCATCAGGCTTAAATTTTATTAATCGGTCAAAAAACACTAAAATCAATTGAAATCTATCTTTGAAGTTGAAAAGTCAGAATGAAATAGCGTCATTTTAATCGATTTTATTCTGATTTTTCGTCAAAATTTCTTACATGTGTTTTACACTTCCCAACTGATAACAATCAGAACTGTTTTATTATGCAAACATTTTGAAAGTTTCATTTAGCTAATAAATAACAACAGAATATTTACTCGATTAAATGACATTCCTTATCTACATACAAGCTCGAGTGCACTATCAACTGCATTAAGTGACATGGGTTTTATTGAAGTAGAATAGTATTAACTGTGTAACTAAAATAGTAACTGATTTAACTGTTTGAAATTGATCAATGAGCATTTTACTCGTGAAAGCTAATGATAATAAATGATAGCCTTCAAGAAGTTCGAGTACTAGTGATAGTGCCATTGTCAGCTAGACCAAACCACGTCATCAAAAAATATCCTGATTTCGAGGTTCAGGACTGACTCCTCAGAGCTATGGCTCTCTTTTAATCACTCCGTCGCCAAAAAAAAAAACAAATCTCAGTAGCCTCACAGTCTCAATAAAAGTAATAATTTTTTTATTGAATAAACATTCAACAAATGATTGCTACAAAGATAACTGTTATCACTCATCTCATTTTGAAGTTTCATTATTAAAAAGAATTTTTGCAAACTTATTTATTAATCATATTTTATTCAGATAATCTTACAAAATAAAATTCTTCATATTGCACTAATATATTATTATTATTCATACTATAGCGTCATCTATGAAACTCCATATTATATTCCAATACGTCAATAATAATCCAGATGCTTTTGGACTTGTCTTATGTTGTTTTTTTTTAATTTCATTCCATAAATATCGGATATTCTTTAGATGTTATTATTAAAATAGATGAAAGAAAGAATGAAAATAGAACAAATTCATACAAAACAACTATTAAGAGAACGGCGTCTTTTATTTACCAAAGCCAAATTAAAAGCTGTTTCACGTACAAGTGCTCTACTATCTGGTTTTGCTATGGTCAGTGTCTATTGTGGGTACTTGATTCACAACAGAGAAAAAAAAACTAATATAATTTACGAGTATTTTTCATTATTTCTTTTTTACAGGTTGCTATGGTGGAAGTGTCATTAGATGATCATAAACAATCGAAAGCATCAGTACCTTTAGTTACCACCTATTCAATACTAACATGTCTTGTAGTGGGTGTACATCTTTTAGCTTTGATGATAAGTACATGTATATTACCACTAGTAGAATCTGGTGATCTTCTTGTTTATGAAGATTATGAAACAATGCATATATATGTTGAACTTGCCTGGGTTTTAAGTACTGGATTTGGTAAAAAAAATTATTCTTTTTTTTTCTTTCTTTGAGAACGTAAAAATCTTTAATTTATTTAATTTAGGAATATTTTTATTCCTATTAGAAATTGCTGTTGTATGTTGGGTGAAATTTTTTATTTTAATGCGTCCAGCAGCTATTGCAGCAACAATGATTATTGTGCCAGTTATTATATTATTTTCTATATTTTCATTACATTTTTATCGACGTATTGTAGTGCATAAATTAAGTCATCATAAGAATGAATTAGATCAAATTGAAATTCAATTAACGACTGTAAAACCTTCAATAGTTAATAATATTTGAATGAATAAAAATTTTAAAAAAAAAGAATCTCATTGCTTTCTGTTATATTGATATCTTCAGTTCATTAAGTTATTATCTTATCTGATCTTGTTTTTCTTTTATTATTATTTTTATTGCTTTTCTTCTTTCATAAATATTTTTGTCTTTAGATGCATCTTTTTTTTTTAAAATTGAAATGTTACAACGATGACTGCTGAAAAAGGAGAAGCAATCAAAGAAAAAGGTCAGCATTGAAATAAAGTCTTTTTATATCATCGTTATGTATGTCATAATTGTAGATTTAGTATTGCAAGAATATTCGTTGAACTTTTTTTCTTTTTTTGTTAAAAAATTTAATAAGATATTTAAATAACTAATTTGTGACACAAGAACGAATATACTTCAGCTTTTGTCAAATTCAAATTAAACCGATATTAAGTACAAAGAATAGAATATCAACAAATATCATTCAATCTTCTTTTAAATATACAGGATTTATATAACAGATAGTCTCTAGAATTTGTACCTTCTGCTGATTTATAGATAGGTTCTGGTAACAATTAGTAAAAAAAAGAGTTGTGCAACACTAACTCGAGTTTCAATTAATTCTCTGTTAGATCAAATATAGAAAATGTTATTGTTACTCTGTTAAACAGTACAGTACTTGTATCATATTTAACAATACAATTATGTTCGAAGTATAGTTTTGCCTAGAACTTCGACAGAATTGAAGTCACCGAATTCAAATTCTTTTATTCTTACATGGCATCAACTTTATTCTTCATGTACTAAGTAATGAACAAAAAAATTGAAAAAACGTTCGATATTATCTTCAACATGTAGCCATTGTTGTTTAGGATTTTTTCATCAAAACATTTCCGATGATATTGTGATTACGAACGACAGTGATGTTATTCGTTTTCTACTTTTATCATTAATATGTTGTATCAACGTATTAAGATTTGTTTGTGAAAACTGTAATTAGTTGACCATTTCAGAATTCAAACTGGTCGAAGTCGAGTTTTGAAGTCAAAACGTTTGACTTTGAAGATCACTAGCTGAAAGTTGTTTTTTGTATTAACAGCCATATGACCAGAGATAAAACCGGCCTATCTGATCCACTCAGACTGGTTCTATCTCTGCATATAATCTTTAGAATCAGACCAAGATTGTACATAAAAATCTTTTTTTTTTGACTTGACGAGGAAAGTCCTCCAACTGAATAATCGTTTTTGAGTCAGAACTATGTGCTTCATGTAGACCCTAATGAGATATAAATACCCTGAAAAGAATTTGTGCTCTTAGTTTACTACTGCGAAGATATCACATTTTTACAATATTTTTTTAAATAAATGCCGTAGTTCACTTTATGAAGGCGAGAAAAACTGATTTTCAAAAGAGACAGGGCTTACTGACAATAGTTCATTTGGAAAGTTTTTAGATCTTTTCATTACTCCTGTTCCGAGATATGTCTATGATGAAAGTATGTCTTTTATATCGTTTATATACACTGGTAGATTCAATGTTCCTATTTCAACATAGGAGTAAATCAAAAGATCTGAAACTTTCATAAAAATCTATCTATCATTAAGTCTTGTCGCTTTCAAAAGTTAGTTTTTCTGGTCTTCCTGAGCCGGACCATGGTATTTACTTAGAAAAATATCGTAAGAATATCGTAACTTCGTAGCAATAAGTTAAGGACCCGAACTCTTTCGAGGACATTCAAAAATCATTTAGATCTATATGATATACATAGCGTCGACTCAAAAGCCATTAACCAATTAGGAGATTTCCCTCATGAGACATATGGTAAACATACTTACAGGATAATTCCATTACACAAGCGAAGTATATCAAAAAACACAGTATAGACCTATTCTCAGCATGATAATGTCAAAGAAAATTGTCATTAGAATTCAGATACGAAACATAATATAGCGATTTTTGTTTTGTTTTATAGGCAATAAACATTTTTTACAAAGAAAATATAATGATGCTATTCATTGTTATAATCAAGCATTAAAACAAAATGGTGAAAAAGCAATTTATTATGTTAATCGAGCATTATGTTATATAAAATTAAAACAGTGGGATAAAGTTTATCAAGATGCTCGTCATTGTCTTGATCTTGATCCAAATTACATTAAAGCTCATGCATATTTAGGTCAATATTATATTGAACAACAACGATATGATGAGGCAATAACATGTTTTAAACAAGCACTTGAATTAAGCAAAGTTTGTTGTCATCTTTTTTTTTTTTTTTTTTTTTTACAAAAATCTTTCAACATAGAAATCATAAATATTCTATATTTATTTTAATTAGATTCAAAATAAAAATTTCGGTGATGAAATTCAACGATTATTACGTTATGCACAAAAACGTCGTTTTTCTCTTATGGAACAAAAACGTATTGAAAATGAAATAAGTTTACAAACATATCTTCGTTCATTAATACAATCTGATAAAGAACGACGTATGCAATTAAATATTGAAAAATATTTAGAAGAAAAAGATTCAACACAATCATCAACAAATAGTCTTTCGATTTTAAAATATTATTTATCAAAAATGACAAATCATCATAATCAACAAACAACAACAAATTTGAGTTCATTTGTTTCTGTTAGTCCAAAAATAACAACAACAAATAATAGTGAAACAAATATTGTTATTGATCAACAACTTGAACAAGCATTACATGAAATAGAACAATCAACAGATCAATCATTAAATGAAATGAATAATTTATTTAATGAAGTTGATATAAGAAGAAAACGACGTGAAATACCTGAATATTTAACATGTAAACTTTGCTATGATCTTATGAGAGATCCAGTTATTACACCATGTAAATAAAAAAAATAAAAAATAAAATATTTTATCTACTTTGTTTTTTTTTTGTTTAGTTGGTATTACTTATTGCCGATCATGTATTGAAGAAAATCTCTATAAAGTTAGTCATCTTGATCCAATTGCTAATAAACCACTTGTCGTCGAACAACTTGTTAATAATCTTGTACTTAAAGAAATAGTTGAAAAATTTATTAAAGAAAATGAATGGGTTAATTCCGAATGTTTTTAGAAGATCAACAACCAACATAGACATTTGTATTCTATAATAAAAACAGTTTTTTTTTGTATATACATTATATATATATATATATATATTTGACAAGAGATGGATAAGTAAAAGGAAAGAGAAAAATAAATAAGAACAATATATGTATGTGTTTGTTGATCATCAAATAAAATATTTTATCAATTAGAAATGAAATACTTGTTTAGTTTATTTAAAACTGAATAATTATGTATAATGATGCAAAGATAATTTTTTCTCGAAAGTTTAAATCTTCTATTGTTTGGAATCAATATAATTATATTTAACTATATCCTTAATTAGCTTAGCGACTGTATCAATGAATATATATTCTAAAGGTGATGTTGACAGATTATAGTTTGTCCTTAAAATTTTGATATTCATATATTGGTACAGTTGATAGATTAATCAAAGTTTGTTATAACAATTAGTCATGTTTGTTTATTATTCTACTTAGCAACAATACTTTAATCCATGATTGTTAAATACTTACATGTTTGCAAGTTATTTTATTTAAAAAAAAACCTAGGAATACATAGTTAGAAATATAATGTAATCGATAGATGTCTCGAATATAAAATCGAATGATTATCTAATACGACAAGTCTGTATAGATTGAATTTTTATCTGTGGTGATGACAATAAAAATTCTGCGTTTAGATTTAACTCTTATCTGTTGAGTTTATAGTCATGTACATTATCAAGAATTCTTTGAAACTTATTAATCATCTATTAATAGAAGATTTATATTGATTATTTTTATGAAAATGCTTGATAATTACATAGGTAGAAATAAGATTCTATATGGTTTATTCAATTAATTCATCTCAAGAATTGTCTTGTATATATAAATTTTCGTAAATCCTACTTTGATCGAAAAACAAAATATGAGAAAAATGCCGGAAGTCAAAATGCCACACATCGAAATGTCGAAAAAGAAGATGATGATAGCTTAAAATGTCAAAAGATAGGTATGTTGACTTATTCAAACATCGAAATAATACAAATTATTATTTATAATTGATGATAAAGGATTCAATATGTGTGTGGGTAAAAGTAAAGAGAACATACACACTCACTGTTCCTTACCAATAGTCTGATAGTATCATCTTCGTTTTAGAGATTGATTGTTTAGGTTTCTGTTTTTCATGTTAATAATTTCAAATATTAGAATTATCAGAAGACCGTAGAAGATTTCGATATTAGCTAGGTAAATCTAAATGTTTTCGTTCTACATCCTTTTTTTTCCTTTCTTATCTACAATAATGCTTTAGAAAAAAAAAATAATTTATGCTCATTATAAGAACCTTCAATGGTAAAACTAATGTCTACAATCGAATGAAGATTATAGTAGATCATGATTATTTGCTATAAACTTATTGATGACGACTTTTTTTTATCTGCTGCATCGATCGTAAAGCATGTCCTCACGTAAAATGCTAAAAAGAAAAACAAGACTATATATATTACTCTAACAAATCATCTACCTATTCGATATCAAAAGCAATTAAGTCATAAAACAAAAAAAAAATCATTATTTTCTCTAAAACTTCTATTATTATTATTGTTCTTTACGACAACAAGAATAACATCAGCTATTTCTTTTCCTTTAGAGTCGATTTTCAAATATGTTTGTCTTCATATTAATTCTAATAATATTCAGTAGTTCATTCGTCAATGGAGCCGATCAGAATACGTGTACCCCAAATTCAATACAAAAGAATACATCAACGATTTTAAGTAATCTTCGTCGAGAAATGCAAAATGAAGGTATTGGTATATATGTTATTTTTTCTGATGATGAACACGGTAGTGAATATACACAACTGTATGATAGACGTCGTGATTGGATTACAGGATTTAGTGGTTCAGCAGGAATAGCAGTCGTTTCTTTGCGAACAGCAGCATTATGGACAGATAGCCGATATTTTACTCAAGCTGAAGAACAACTTGATTGTGCAAATTGGCTTTTGATGAGAGATAGAAATCCCGGTGTACCAACTCTTATTAATTGGTTAGTTTCCGAAGCAAATCAAACAGCATTAGTAAGATTTCATATTTGATATTATTTGTTAAATGTATTTAACATATATTTATTTCAATTCTTATCTTTATTAGCCACCAGGGACTACAACTGTATTCACTACAACATCATGGTGGACATCTGCTAATACTGCATTAAAAGAAATTGGAAAAGAACTTCGTCCCGTTAATGATCTAGTCGATCGTATTTGGCCAGCTGGTGAACGACCAAATCAATCACAAAATTCAATTGTTACTCATGAAATTCAATATGCAGGAGAGACCGTCGCTCAAAAATTAAATCGTACAACAAATGAAATTAAACGACGTGGTGCAACAACAACTGTTATAAATGCTCTAGATGAAATTGCATGGCTATTCAATTTACGTGGCTCTGACATTCCATATAATCCTTTTTTTAAATCATATGCTATAGTACATGCTAATTATGAAGTTAATCAACCTGAGTTATTTGTTAATTTATCACAACTCAATACTAATCAACATCCTCCGGGTGTTCGTCTATTTGATTATTCCATGTTTTGGTCACGTTTAAATATAACAGCTACCGATACAAATATTAGTAGAATTTGGGTGAGTGCTAAAGTATCACAAGCTATATTAAGTTTGATACCTAATAATAAACTCTTATTGCCATTATCAAATTCACCTGTACAACGTATAAAAGCAAGAAAAAATCCAATAGAACGAAAAGGAATGCAAGATTGTCAAATACGTGATTCCATTGCTCGTATGAAACATCTTGGATGGCTTGAACAACAATTGAATGATGGAAAATCTGTCAATGAAACACAATCATCTGAACAATTACTTGTTTATCAAAAACAACAAGTTATATTTCAATTTCCAAGTTTTCGAACTATATCAGCATCGGGTGATCGAGCAGCTATAATTCACTATTCAGCAACGCCAGACAAGGCTCGATTAATTACTAAAAATGAAGTTTATTTACTTGATGTAAGTGTCAATATTTGATCTATATTTTTTATAAATAAAAACAAAAGGACTTGTACTCTAGGCTGGTAGTCAATATCTTGATTGTACAACAGATATAACACGAACACATCATTTTGGCAGTCCAAAAAATCTAGAAAAACGTGCTTATACACGTGTACTTCAAGGTGTACTTGATATTGCTGATGCTGTTTTTCCTACTGGAACATATGGTCGATCACTTGATCATCTTGGTCGTATGCATTTGTATAGAGATGGCATGACCTTTGGACATGGAATAGGGTTTGTATAATTTTATTGTTTTATTAACGTACTATCTTTGAATTTTTTATATCATTGTGAAACTCACATCTATTTTCGAAGAAAATTATGAGTGGAAGTTTTAAGTTGAAGTTTTGCGGTTCTCCTCTCTCATTTATAGATTTTAACAACCGGGATTAAATATGCTAAACGACATCAGTAGCGAGGTTCTGACGAAGTTTTTGATTTTTTTGCACAGATAAACGATTGTATGATATATATTCAAGGACGATGTTTTAATTTTCTACAGCTGTCCTATGACCAACACAAAAGCGTGTAAAAAAAAAGAAAACAAAATTTCTATTCGAAATGTAGAAATAAAAAAAAAAACATAATGTTTGCTCACAATTGATTATCGTTGGAAAAGAACTATCGTCTTGTTAAGAGTTTATATTTTGTGTATTTTGTATTAGAATAGTGAACCTAAAGAAGACATGTGAGTTCCACCTTTTTCAGTTCCAAAGAGGTTACGCTAACAACTGGTTTTTTTTCTTTTATAGTCATGGTATTGGTCATTTTTTGAGTGTACATGAAGGTCCACAACGCATTGCATCTGCCTACAGTCAATATGAAGAAGCATTAGCTGATGAAATGTTTATTTCTAATGAACCTGGATTTTATAAACCAGATGACTTTGGTATTCGTATAGAAGATGATATTGAAGTTGTATTAGCAAACAAGAGTACATATGACAATACACAATATCTACGTTTTAATACAATTACACTTTTACCATACGAACGTTCATTGATTGATGTTACATTATTAACAAATGCACAGTTAAATACTATTAATCAATATCATACAAAAGTGGCACAAGTTTTAGAACCATTACTTTCAGGCGATGAGGCAGCTTTAAATGCATTGCGTTCTCGTACGGCAAGAATAGATCTTCCATCAACAACAACCTCGAATTCACCTTCATCAACAACAACCTCGAATTCACCTTCATCAACAACAACCTCGAATTCACCTTCATCAACAACAACCTCGAATTCACCTTCATCAGCAACAACCTCGAATCCACCTTCATCAACAACAACCTCAACGTCACCTAATAGAGCATTTATGAGCATTAGTTCACCATCTCTAATAACTTTCGTTTTGATTTTAATACATTTATTTTAAAAACATAAACATTATACAATAACTGACAATTTTATTTGGAATAAAAATTTGATTATGAGCTTTGTTCTAGATATGCTTACATCACTTTAGATCGGATGAAAGGAATTGATATTATTATTTTTTTTGTTTTTGATAACTCTTCGTTTTTCAGATGATAAAGTATAATAACATCGGTTTGTCTATTGCTATCTAGATACGACATCTGTAGATCAAAGAACAAAGACAATCCACCAATCATGTGTCATAATATTCATTTTTATAATTATCAGTCATATATATATATTTATCTGTACTGATTTTGTTATTTTTATTAGTTGCATCTATTAATTTCTTGTTCATGTATAACAACACAACAAGATAAATTTTTCCAATAGTTAATTTGTGTTTGCGTTAAACATTGATCTCGCCATTGTTTTGAATGTCTACAACAACATCGTATTGGTATAGGTAATGTTACATTCGATAATGAATATCGTTTTGATGTTATAGGCAATGCAGCTAATTCTGGTACACTAGATTCAGCTACTTTATCATATGTCACAAAGCTTTGCTTTCGCGATAGGTTTATTTTTGTGTGTGACTATGGTCGATAATCATGTGTATATGTAGTAAATAAGGGCCAGTAAGGACGTCTTTGATTGCTTTTGAATAATATTTGTATTTTAGAATTATCAAATTTTGAAGAAGAAAAATTGTTAACTATCTGATATAGTTGATTTTGTTTAGAATTCGATGAATTGAAAGTTTGTAATTGTAAAGGTAAACATTGTGAACGATACGATTCATAACGAGGATAATGAGAACGAAGTGTAAAAACATTAACCATATTTTTATTATGAGATATAGATCAGAAAAGAGTAACTCATAGTTACAAGAAAACAAAATTACTCAAAAGTTTATTTTTAATTTATAAATATTGCACACTAATTTCGTTTCTTTTTTTTAAATATATAATAATAGTTCTAATATTTGAATTGTTAATAAATGTCTCTTAATTGATTCTTCAAATCTGTCGGTTTTTTATTAAACAAAAACTAGATCATCTGTATCAGTAATTGTTATAATTGAGTTGTTGATCTGTTGTTTGTAATGAAGATTACACGAGAATATCATTGATTTCAGCGACTGTTGTTTGATGTTTCTTGGATATAATTGTTCTTTGTAGTCCTTGATTAACTATACGTATTGATATTTGTGATTTGTTGGAAATCTAGACAAATTAATTATATATTCGTTGAATAGCAATTAATATCAATTATCAAAATTCTTTAGTTCAATAATGTTTAGCTAATTAGTTTCGTCATCAAGATTTTCTGATGGAATTTGTCCAATCAAAGATATATTCAATATTGGCGATAGTTGCATTATTTAGATACGACGATAGTCATTTAGATATATATAAAATGAAAAAAAAATAAAACGATTTATGAAAAAGCTTTTTTTGTTTCTAATGTTTAAAAAGTATAAGATTATAATCTTGTTTTAGATGATGTTACATTCTCGCCATTTTCTAAATCGTTTAGCAACATCGACAATTCATTCCCGTTGCTTTGCTGGTACTCTTGTACTTGCTGAACAGGTCGATAATGGTAAACTTGCACCAGTCACTCTAAATACGTATGTTTGCCATTGATTTTTATTTAGATTATTTTCTAATATATATATTTTTTTTCATATTTTCAGATTAACTGCTGCCAGTCAATTAAAACAAGATGTTGATTGTGTTATTTTTGGTTCTGAAAAGACAAATGAAACTGCTAATGAATTACAAAAATTTAATAATTTAAATATAAAAAGAATTTTTGTTGCTGAAAATGCTGCATTTAAAAATTTACTTAGTGAATCTGTAACACCAGCTTTACTTGATTTACAAAAGAAAAATAATTATACACATATTCTTGGTGGTTCATCAACATTTACTAAAAGTATTTTACCACGTTTAGCTGCTTTACTTGATGTACAACCTATATCGGATATAACAAAAGTAATTGATAAAGATCAATTTATGCGTTTAATTTATGCTGGTAATGCTATACTTAAACTTAAATCAAATGATCCAATTAAAATACTAACTGTACGTGGTACAGCATTTGAAGCAGCTAAACCAGCTACTGGAAGTGGAGAAGTCAAAGTTGAAAAACTTGATTCATCAGTAAAAAATGATCTATCAGAATTTGTTACACGACAAGTTCAACAATCAGAACGACCAGAATTACCTAGTGCTCGAATTGTATGTATATGTACATTCGAAATTTATATTTTTTGTTTTTTTTAATAATTTTATTTCATTTATAGATATTTTCCGGAGGTCGTGCACTTAAAAGTAAAGAAAATTTCAAATTACTTTATGATTTAGCGGATCTATTTCCTGGTCAAGCAACTGTTGGTGCTTCACGAGCAGCTGTTGATGCTGGTTATTGTCCAAATGATTTACAAATTGGTCAAACAGGCAAAATTGTTGCACCTGAACTTTATATTGCTATTGGTATATCAGGTGCTATACAACATATTGCTGGTATGAAAGATAGTAAAGTTATCGTTGCTATTAATAAAGATGGAGATGCACCAATATTCAGTATAGCTGATTATGGACTTACTGGTGATTTATTTAAAATTTTACCTGAACTTACTGAAAAACTTAAGAAAAAATAAATCTTTTTTCTTTTTTTTTCAAATAAATATAGTTCTTCTATTTCATTTGCGTTCTTCTTTCTAGATGGAAGTTGATATAAATTCAATTATTAATGTAGATTCTTTATTAAAAATTTATCCATCATTACAACGTCGTTTTTTTTCTCGTAGATAAAATGTAATTGGACTCAACATGAAATGCCAGCTCGTATTGATGCTATTGAAAAATATATTAATGGCAAAAAATATCAAGAATTATTAAAGAGAAAAACTTGATAATGATTATTTGAACAAATTTAAAGAATTTCTTGAATGAAGTACAAAAAAAAACATCATGAGTATGTGTGATTTTCTATATTAGAATTAATTCAAAAATAAATATGTAAAAAAGGAGACAATTATTTTATAAATTAACATGGCATTATTTAAATAAAGAACCACATCATATCATGAGACATATTCAAGGAAAAAGATTTAAACATGGTTATATTCTTTGTAAGTATTTTAATGTTTTAATAATTATTGAATAAATTCTTCATCTAGGGAAAAAATGTTAAGCGAATGATGCGTGATGATGATGATTTATCAGGTTTATATCCCAGTAAGTTTTAGTTTATTTACTTGTAATGATCAAATTTTTCTATGTTTTTAGACTTTCGTTGTTTACGTGCTAATGATTCAAGAGTACGAAGAACAACAGTATCATCAGCAGAAGATGGTAGTAGCGGTATAAAATGAAAAGCACTAGCATTACGAGTAAGAGATGAAAAGTTATTTATAGATAGATTTTGTACGATTGATTGTATTATTTTTTAGATAAAAAACTGAAAAAAATACCAATGGAAATGATTCAACGGAATGGACGACAACAGTGACTCTGATTATCTAAATTTTTTGTTCATTTGTTTTCAATAAAACTGATATCATGGAATACATTTGTTCATTTTTATTGCATCCTTTGAAAATTCTCACAGATATTAGTTTCAATACTTGTACAGTTGAATCGTTCTCCGTTTTTTTCTTTCGTTTTGATTGTTTCATTGTTATTCAATTAGATTAAAAACAAAGCTTGCTTTTGTCTTTAGAGAAAGATATTTCCGTCAGTAATGTGTTTCATACAAAACGAATGAAAAACTATTTCTACACGAACTAATATAACCCATTCTTTTTCTAATGATCACTGCAAAAATATTGATGTTTTAGTCGTTCTAATACTTTTTATATGCGTAACAAATTGATGACAAATAATTGTATTGTTCAATACAAACCATTTTGTTTCATTCAAAATAGGCAACACGTCAGCTCCATGAGCTTCGCTTAGCTCACTCCTAAAAGCAAGAAAAGAAAGTATAGAACATTGACTCATACATTGCTAAAAACATTCTTAAAGTGGACTGAAATAAAATTTAAGAAACTTTTTTATGTGAAACATATAACTATCAGATACTATTGAAAACTATTATCTTTCCGATAGTTTTGTAGCTTGTCATTCTTCTCTATGTAAAATGCATATAATTACACTAGTGTTCCGACATATTTTATTAAGTTTCGCGGGTAAAATTGTGTGATAATATGAAAATGTAACAGATAACTTATTCAAAAATAAAAATGCAGGCAAGACTTCCTTCTATGATCTAAAATATTTGATACGTTTCATATTCAATTGCATAATCTGCAAGATCGAAAGTCAGATGTTTTTATTCTAAAGGATGAGTCACAAAATAACACGACCGTCAAAAAATTTGAAACATCTTCGCCTTGGCTCGGTTGGATAGGCTGATATTTATGTTAATGGCAGGACCTTATTTGAAGTTTTTTTTTCATACGAATAAAATAAAGAAACACTAATGTCAAGTCATATTTTTAGCCTCGCTTAGTTTCTTAGATAATTCTCAGTAGTCATCTAAGAGAATGATAAGAAATCAAAACGAATTTTATGAACGATACTATATCGATGCACAGAGAGCAAGTTTTTAACATCAGTCCATATGTGTCAAACTTGAAAGTTAAAACTTGAATAGTAGTTGTTCAATTGAACTCAACTTTCAAGTTTGATGCCGCTGGACAAGAAAAGAGAAAAAACTTCCAGACATTATAAAATGAGAATGAAATGTGATTCAGTGTATGAATTCATGGTGCAATGTATCCTTTTTTTCGCATGTTTCTTGTCTTGTAACACAACGGATAACAACAGAGTAAAAAAGATAGTGAAGAATTCAAGAAAAACGAAAAGAAAAAAGAGCTTGAACTATGACAACAATTGAAGACAAATAGAAACATCAACAAAAAAATTCCAATATACTAAACAAATTCAAGTTATTTTATTATATTCGTTTTTCATTAATAAACTACAACAAACACCGTAAACAAAAAGAAAAAGTCGATAACAACACTAATAACAACTGCTGCCGCTGCTAGCATCGCATCTGAATATACGAGCATAAGGCCACGGTATCCTCCGTATGCTCGTATATTTCAGAACTTCTTACTGGTGTGGCTCGATGCCAGCATTGATGATATGAATAACGACGATTACATTAGCAGATGATGGAGTTGGAGAAAAAATCTCATGGTAAACAATAGCATTTCATTATTGGAAATAAAGTTCTTCTTTCACAAAAGAAAAGCATAATACCATGAATAATAAATATTATAAAAGTGTACGTATTACATCATTTAATAAAAATAGAAGATGCAGGATATACAAGACCACAATCACGACGAATCATTTTTTAATATATTTTTACTAGCACTACTCTGTTTTTACAATGTTTCCGATAGCTGCAAAATCTAAAACAAAAAATTCAACAAACATTTGTAACACAATACATATTTATAACACCTTTGACCATGGATGGGGTGTAGGCGTGGGTATGTGTGAGCGGATGTGAGTATGGGAGTACACTTGATGAAGAGATAACTATCATTCACATCTACACCCTATAGAAATATATTTTTAGGAAAGTAAATATATATTCTGATACAGCTTGAAATTCTCTATCATTGTATGTATTTACAGATTGGCTTGCATTCATTTATTGAACAATAATTTGACTGCAGCGAATATAACCATAGTTAACAAAAACTAAAAAATTCATTACTTTCCTACTTTTTTCAAAATACAGTTAGTATGAAAATAAATTTTTCAAACGGCAATTCTAAATTCTGATAGAGTATGAATTTCTGTATCATTCTATATATGCTTGTCTTGCATTTATGTGCTGACATAAACTGATCGAATTTGGCATGAATGGTTTTCGAGCAACAATAGTTATTGGCATTGAAATGATGACACAAAAAATAAATCTTTAGAAAATTTGTTTTAGATTTTGATTAACATAATGTGGCGTATTTCACATCGAATTTCTAATTAATTTAAATGCATTTACCTTTTTTTCCTTCTTCAAATGCACGACTTGTATTTACCTAATTTTGAATGGATCAGATGTCTACACAAGGTCAATATTTATTTTTGTTTCTACATTCTAAAGTGTCAATAAATCTTTTTTTGCTCCAGTTCACACAATTTTTCTTTGCAGTTATTAAACAGTAAAAAAAAAAAGATGATTAAAATCTAAGTGTGCAAGCACATTGGATCTTATGTCACAAACCTTGAAAAATGAATCCATCATTAGTGCAAATATTGATGATAAACATTTAAGCGACTTAGTTAACATTGGATTATGTCAGGAATTCCACTGTATTAGAATAATAATATCAGACATTTATAAAAAAGAGTTTATTTCATCAGCTCTATCTAACTAATATTAATAGAAGCATTTTTTCTATTTCAAGTCAATTTAGTCTTTCTTCTTAAACTATTGTTAACTATCTAATGGTTTTCAGTAACTCAACAACGTTAATGAAGGTAAACTATGTGAATAGAAATTAAAATGTTAAAAGAAGAATTAGATTGAGTAGAAAGTTAATAATTCCTACTTAGTTTATTATGGAGCTTATTTATAGAAAAACAATAAAAATAGGCGATAAATGACAGATTTGAATTAATTAAAATATTTAATTGATCAATCAGATAAAAAAATACAGGATACATTCAAAGTTATTTGTAGATTTTTAATGTTAAAATATCCATGATTCTAAATGAAAAAAAACTAGCTTTATTTTTTAGTTTTTTTTTATAAATAAAACTTTCTTGATTTTTGAAAAAGAAAACAAGAAAATTTTACAAGACTGATACAAACTCATTATTAAAACTGCGTTTTTTTCACAGTAACTTGTCAACTAATAAAGTATTCAATTCAAGTTCGAATGTTTTCTGCATGTTTCTTTTAGTGTAATAAGATTTTGTAACGCCTTCAAGGAGACAGATGTCCTATGTAAATATTTTCATGTTATCCTCCCCATGTGAAGAATACATAACCATTTAAATTGTTTAATAATTAAGTAGTTCAAGTCATAATTGAAAGCTTGAAATGAAACATTTCAATAATTGAGGTCAACATTCAAAGTTTGATATTAATGAAGATTATACGATCAATTAGCATTATCTCAGATAGAAGATAACAAAATCAATAAGCGAATATGCAAAGATATACGACGCTAAGATCTATAACCAATACTTTGAAGACTTTGACATAAGTAACATCATTATGGACAAGTTTGAATATCTTTATGATGTCATTCGCCTATTTATTGCTCATCAATTGCAACAACCATGAAGAAATGATCGACAAATTGATGCAAATAGAGCTGTTGATGATCTAGAAAAATGTCACGTAAAACGGTAAAACTGATAAATCTAATAACATCGATATTGAGAAGTTTCGAAGAGAAGTATTTTCACAGAATATATACCGAAAGAAAGCATTTTATATAGTA